ACACTGACGGCATATTCCACGGCAAAGCCCAGCACAACCAGAATCAATACTGCATTCATAGCACGTATAGCCATTGATCCCAATGGATGCGATTGCGACGGGTGCTAAATTTAAAAGGAGCCCCAAGACCAATCCTGACATTGAGAAGAATAGAATGAATGTCCTCGCGCTGTGGTAGTAATGATTCTTCTATGATTTGGCTCCGGCTGTACTGTGTTTATGCTCTCTACTATTTGTATGTCTACTATTTGCTCAGCTGTTAGATTCTTTTCTAGCTTGCCGCTTATATATTGTAGCTCAAATTCTCCGCCAGTCTGGTATTCGGGCCTGACCCTACAAGTCGCTGAAACATCCTGATTGGACTCTGCACAATATTTAGCTACCATTTTTGAGAGGTAGTTTTTGGATGAGCACGTGAATTGATACCTTGATAGGTATGCTGCTTGACGCCCCGAAGCGCCGTGAATCACTTTCTCATTCATAGACAATTCGCTCGGGAAACGCATCGATTTGGTTACCAGGTCTTCTCCTTAGACACAGCAGTAACATGGAGCGCGGGCCTTTTGCACTTATTGATTTTGGGAAAGTGAACGCAGCTGCAGATGACGATCTATCTGGTTGGGCACTTGACGGCATCTTGACCATCAGCATCTAAGGAGGACCAACCCCAGTAACAATCACTCCCACCGATCTAGTCACAGATCTACAAACACACGCAGGACTGTCTTGGGTACCTAGCTAGTCACTCCTTCACAAGACTCACCTAAATGAGACCTCGCTCTCCCCTGCCAATTATTTAAGAGCCACCCCACACCGCAATCTCTAACCCATTGCGCATCTACTCCAAAGTCACCAACGCACCGAATCAAATTGCAGATTTGCGGAACTTGGATTCCTCTCTAGAAGCGTTGTGGTGGCACGGGCAATCCAATCTTCCACACTTCATACGCAAACAAGGGAATCAGCATGCCTTTCACACTGTCCTACATCATCACTGCAACCCTGTTGTACTTCATCGGAGTAACCACTGCCAATGCATGTTACGACAGCGGGTTGACGTTTGGTGAGATTATTGGAGATATTACTCAGCCCATCAAAGATTTCTGCCTCGATCATCATGGCGCAACTTTCAAACAAGGTGGTCAGGTAAGGAATGCGAGTTCTGCTATCGAGTAAAGGATATTGCGAGTTTGCAAGCTGATCTAGCGACCAACAGGCTAAGGGTTGCGTGGACACGCGCAAGGGCAAAAAGACGGCGAGTCTTAATGTTACGATTGAGTTCACCTCGATTCCGCATGAATCGTGCGCTTTGAACTTCACTTTAAATGCCTGTGAAGAAGTCTTACTGCTTGTAGGGTACCACCCCTAAACCACCACAGTTTGTGGCCCCCGAAGACCATACTAATAACTAACCTTTTACTTGTACTAGGCGGCGAAGAACTGCCAACGAGGTGGGGAGGGAATTATTGTCCCTCGAGAGTCCCTCATGAGGAGAGCCAGAGATGAGGGGCACAGCGGACACGATCACCGTGGCCGGACAGAAAATATTCAGGGCGGAGATGCTCATCAACCTTCTCCCACGACTGGAGTCTCTCTCGTCGTACACGGGCACAACTCCAATACCATCATTCAACGTGATGGAACATCCGCGACGAGCCTTCTCCTCTCATCAACAGCCAAGGGCAACGACAGCATAACGACAAACGCGCCATCGCCAGAGACGATGAAAATCACCACGACCTTGCCGATTACTCTGACAATTTGGGCGACCACTCACGCCTGCAGCACCCCCACCAGTACCACTACAACCACAACAACCACGACTTCAATAACTATGAATCCCGCAACCACCACAACCATCACACCCACTAGTAGAAGCTGCGATCCAGAGAGGCCATACAGCCAAGTTAGCTCGCAGGCTTCAAGCAGTGTCAGCGCCATGAATGAGTATTTTACAGCCAAGATCAAGATGAGTCCCGGTGACTGTGGCTGCGCACACTGCTGAACTGGCACTTCGACATGGTACAATCCGGTCGGCCCGAGTTTGCAACGGGCCTCGTCCGAGTTCATACTTTCTCATCCAAGAGGTTTTGCGGCCGGAGATGCAGGCATCTATTGGTTCATATGTCCAAGGACTCTAGTCCAGGGTGTTTTGAGGATGCACGGTGGGAATCCTGGGGCGGCCCGCTTTTGCACACACACATCTCACATGCCAGTCCAGGCCAGCCGCACCACACAGCAAGCCTCACTTCGTCTTCTTGGTAAACATTTCATTTCAAAGGCCAGGGTAGCAACTTCTACATAGCCACGGAAATTTAATATCGTCTGCGATTCAACGTATCATACTGATCAGCCGCTCAAGGTAACATGTATCAAACAGACACCACAGCCATTCCTAGCACGTCTCGCATTTGGCTTCAAAGCTGCGGCCAAATTTCCGAGACTCCCTGTTGAATTACCCGAACGATAGCATGATTGTTAGAAAGCACCCATATTGCTTCGCAAAAACTTAGCTAAGACATCAAGATGCAACTACTAGTAAATGTGTGTATGGGAGAATGGAGGAGTCACCAGGGTGGGCGGGTCTTTGGCACGTGAGAGAAATCTGTAATCTGAAACCACCGCAGCCTTTGATGCCTTTCCACTGGTACATGATGGCGAGTTACGTTTCATAAAAGGAGACGTGTGAGTTGTCAAGGTTTAAGGCACATTGCAGGTTCATTCCCTACGAGGCTGCATATGTTCGAGACTGCCAAAGCTGGACGGCACATGATTTTGGGGAACAGCTGGGTTGTGGGCCCGTGAGATGGTATGTGTGTCTCTTGGGGTACCGAAGATCCAAGGCCTACAACTATGACGCATCATAAATGGACTCATACGGGCGCAGAGGAGCTTCACGTTGTCAACTAACTTCCCGCTCAAGTGCGGCGTATCGCTGGCAAACACGCAGTACTAACTTGTGTCCTTCACCATACGGGGATCTCGTAGTGAAATGCGGTGTAGCATGCAGCTCTGGACCATTTAAAGGAACTCCCGACACAAGGCATCCTTCAATGTTCCCAATTTCCAAACCTGACTACAAGATCCCCAGGTCGTCAACCAAACATTTAAAACAACCATCGACCACGGAACAGACACAGAAAACCCCAACAACATGCATTTCAAGCCCTCTGATACGATTTCCATGCTCCTCGTCTTCTTGGTGGGACAATCTCCGGCCTATGGCGATTGCTATGAGATCGGTTTCGGATGGACCGAGCCCGGCAACGCTACTGAAGTCGCGGATGTCATTTGCCTGGATATCTGAGGGCTGCGAGAATGCCTCTAGCATTGTAAGTCAAGCCACGTTGGAAGATGGGCTGCTGAGCAACGTCATATAACCAAATCCTGACCACAAGCATTACCTAGGTATGCAGAGCTCTCGCCGCATCAACCTCAATGCCAACCACATGTTCGCCGGTATCGAGAGTGCTGATTATCCGGATCCTGTTGGCAATGTCCATCGTGAAGCGGTATAGAATTTCTTCCACGGGTGAGTTTGAATTGGGACCAGCAATTGCATTGATTCGCGAGGGGGGTGCTAATGCGATGACCTGAACCAGGCCCCAAGGGAGGATTCTTCATTTTCACTACACAACAACGTTTTCGAGTTCACAGTCATTTGCAGGGTTGACAAACAGAGATACGAAGAGGTTTGGTGCCTGGAGGATTTCTAGAACAAGACTATCCCTTCAGTAGACAGCTTGTCTTGCGACCTCAGAGGCGCGAAATGATTACTCACGATCAGTAAGACAGCGCAATGTTGAGGGAAGCACCCAGCGGTGACCGGGGCGAGCCGGCAAAGTAGATACTGTGATTTGATTTTTATTGGCATGTGAATTAGGTACTGAAAATGGTCAGAATTGATGCGTCAAGTGCTAGCAAGGCAGGAGACTCTTCAAGTCCTCCTCGATTTCTACGTTTATTTGCTTCCATTCTGACTGATTGACTATCGATGAAATATCGTACCGAAATCCTGTGCCCAATTTCTACGGTTGGGAGGCCTTCATACGAGTGCTCAGAAAGCTACCGTGCAAGTACTTGTAGAGCAACTGGCGCCCTGTAACTTCCATCCGCTACCAGCTGTCTACCTTGCATGCAGAAGAGTTGTCTCTGATCCAGGATGGGCCCCGTTGCTGACACTGACACCGACGCCGAACCACTAGGACTACCTCTCGACTCACGCAAGGTCCGGTGGTGTCGCCGCAGCCGTGATAAAGGAAGCCCGGAGCGGAGGCCACGACGAGGTCGACGTCGTGCTGAAGAGAATCGTTATCAGAAACGGCACGGCGTCGGAATCATCACGCGGCACATCACGAAACTGACGGCGGCGGTGCCCGAGATCGGCGACAGCGGATTCCGCGATAGTATTTATTTCCAAGGCACTAGTGACATGGAAAACATGATTTGGACGAAGGCTGGACACCCTGGGGCAGTTTCTGATGGGTTCCAGAAGTCGTGGTCCTATCTGATTTGCTGATCTATCTTGAGACCGTAGTGTGTGAGCCCCAAAGCTGATTAACGTTTCCCAGGATAGCGTTGCAGGGAGAGTAGCAGAGTTTCAAGGCAAAATATTTTCAAGTGTTCAAAATCATCATGTGGTTCAATCTCAAGTCATGGTATTTCGAGATTTTCCTAATGGCCTCACGCAGGGAAATATTGGAAACCGCGTGCCATTAAGCAAATAAAACATGGCATTGTGTAAATGGGCACATTCACCGATTCTATCTATCTTACATGAGGAGCCATAACGTGCACATATTGAAAAAGAAAACATAACATCACCACATCAACGGCATCCCATTCCTCCATTGCACACTGCGTCAGCCTCAGTCTCGATAAGATCACACACGAGACCTCAAGTCACCCTGACCTCCTTCCCGGAAGCCCACAGAAGCAGCACGACCTTCTTGCAAGTCAAAGCTCTCTTTCCATATGCGAAATCCAATTCCCGTTTCTCATTAGTCTCCAGCTTTTTCCAAGTCCCACTCGGGTGAAGTCCGGGAGTGAGGGGTCTTCATGTTCAACCACACCGTATTCTGCCTAGGTGGTATAAGCAAAGACTTGAACACGAGCGCAGACGGGTAAGAACTGACCCTTTTAACTCGTCTGTCACGAACTCACACCGGTACGTGTAAGTATGGGAATGTAAATGCGGCATCCAGCAGTGGTCGGTCACCTTTCCCTTGACGCGTGAGTCACGGTTGACGACTTCCTCGCCGATCTTGAATCTTTCCAGGGGGGGCTTGGGCATACTGGAAAATTTCCACTGTCACCGTTAATCACTGCACGTTGCCTTGTATCTTTTTTTTTTCTTGTGAAGCCGGTGAGAAACAATGTGGACTACGTGATGAATCGCTTCTATCTTGCACAGTTCAACGAGAGACAGAGGAGTTCTTTATGTACTCCTCAAATCTGGTGACCGTGTTGTACATGGTATCATCATCCTCCTTTGTGAGCAACCATGCGTCATGGCTTGCGTTGGTGTCGGTCAGGTCTTGGATTCTAGAAGTTTTAACCCATTTGGCGCGGCTGCCGCGTTTCAATGCGCCTGGCCAACTTGTAGAGTCGCACAAAGCACTTCTTTGTTGGGACGATTCCAAATAAGGACACAACGGAAGTACGTATCTCAATCTTTTCTGCAGACTTAGCCCATCCATGGATGTGTATGCCCGGGGGGGGGGGGGTCCTGCCAGCCATCACGACCATCGGCGATGTCTGCAGTCTCCTCTAGCCAGGACCATGGACCGTCGAGTGGCAGCGCCCCATCACTGACATGATGTACAACATTCAAGTTCTGCTTTCCTTTCTCGATCATGCTGCTGGAAACTTTCTACATGACTCTTTAATATGGACACCACCATTCCCAGGGCTGCCGCTCACTACACTCAGTGTAATTAGTGTAGTATAGTGCGTGTAAATATACACACTATGTTATTTATTTATTTATTTACTTATTTATTTCTTTATTTATTTATTTATTCATTTATTTATTTATTTATTTCTTTATTTCTTTATTTCTTTATTTATTTCTTTATTTATTTCTTTATTTCTTTATTTATTTATTTATTTATTTATTTATTTATTTATTTATTTATTTATTTCTTTATTTCTTTATTTATTTATTTATTTATTTATTTATTTATTTATTTATTTTTTATTTATTTATTTATTTATTTATTTATTTATTTATTTATTTATTTATTTATTTATTTATTTATTTATTTATTTATTTATTTATTTTATATTTATTTTATATAATTAATTAAATAGTTAATCTTTCCCTCCCTACCCCCCCCCATTTACACTTAAATTTTAAACCCACTACACTATACATACTTATATTAAAAGTCTTTACTTTACATTATATTTACACTAATAGTTGTAGTATTTATATTTACATTCCACTAACAAGCCCAGTGTGTGTAGTGTAGTGTATGGCAGCCCTAGCCGTTGGACGGCGTTAAGATGGGGCGGGATGGGCCGCCAGGATCTCGATGGATGCCTCACCCGGAAAAACTCGATGGGTTCCCCAACCGATTACTTTGCTATTTAATATGACCAGATTCATATTTCATGTAACTTCAAGTATCTGACCGTTCCGAAGACCCACTAGTTACTAGTGGACACAGGCTTCCAGCCCCATCACATTGTGTGATTTACCCTGTCGCTCGGGTGAGCGATACAGGACACCCGTGAGCGCTCTTTGCTGTTAGAGCTACCTGTGGCTCATAGGGCTTGTCATCCTCGCTCTTGATGTCGCTAAACTCCTGCAACATCCTTGATACTATATATGAGACCTCCATAGTCGCCTTTTGCTGTGCCAGGCACTGCCGAGGCCCCGCTCCAAATGGCATGAATGTGAACGGGGGAGGACTGTAATTGTTTTCCCAGCGAGATGGACAAAACTCATTGGCATTTGGGCCCCAGATGCTCGGATCGCGGTGGAGCGTGGCGAAGCAGGTGTCGAATAGAGTGCCGGCTGGCGCGAACACTGGAGCAGTACCATCAGAGCCTCCTCCGGCAGGTAGAATTGTATCCTTCAAGGCAACGCGATTGTTCTGCGGAAATACAGGGTACAGACGAAGAGCTTTCATCCAGTCAGCAATAGAGTTCAGAACAGAGCCGGTGTTAGCAGGCATACTCTCAGTGATAACGTGTTGCAAGGACTTGAACTGCGGCAGCTGGTCGAAATCCAGGGGCTTGTCGCCTGCGGCCAGAACTTCAGCTCGCACTTGGGCAGCTATTCTAGGGCTGCTGGCCAAGTTCCGGATGACATGGCTGACCAGAGAAGCAGTTGTTTCGGTTGCTGCCATCATGGCCTGCACTGCCTGGTTCCGCAGAACAGTCCTATCAGCCGTTGCTCGTGCCATGTTGAAAAGTAGAGTACGTCTCTTTGTTGCGTCTTGGCTATGTTCGAGTGAGTCGATCTTGTTACGGTATTCAATAGCTCTGTCGACATATACATCGGCGAATTTATGAACCTTGGCGCATGCCTTGAGCCAGGCACCCTTTGGCATCAAGAAGTTCAGAGGTCCCAGGGCGATGCGTATTCCGCAACCATTAAAGCCAGCCTGGAATGCATCTAGAAAGCCCTCTGCATGCGATGGGGGAGTGCCTGAAAGCATTCCAATAGGCTCTCCGAACAGAAAGAGCGTGTTCAAATCGAGATACTAGTGCGCATAGGTTAGTGCGCTGGGAGCGATGGCAAGGATTCGTAAGACAGACCATCCTCAGGAGATATGGCTGTAGATCAAACTTGGTGCCGTCCTTTGGGACCTGTTCTAGGAGGATACGAAGGTGCTCTTCGAGGGGTCCGAAATCCGAAATATGGGACCTGTGGAAGCCGGGCTTGAGCAGATTGTGAGAGGCCTTCCAGTCAGAGCCGTCAGTCGTGATGAACCCCGTGCCACAGAATGGTCTCATGTTGTGTAGTCGCAAAGGTTGGACGCCCCAGTCTGCAGCGTTTTTAGAGAAGACCGCCCGTACGTTTTCTGGGTGGACTGAGTACACGGCACGTGAACCGAAGTTCAGGGCTTCGAAAGTATGGCCATATGTATCGTATCGCCGTTGGTGTTCAACCAGAAACTTGTTCTTGCCGATAGCGTCTCCGGTTCGCAGGAAGATATCCAGGCCGAATACGGGGTCCTTGTGCTTGTAGCGGGCGGCGGGCTGGCATCCATGCTGTTGAGCGGTGAGTTGTAGCGCATAAGTTATGTAGAAGCGATATGCAGCAACAGCGGCAATAAAAGACGCCAGCAGCACCAGTAGCGAAACAGCAGTCATGATGGTTTTAAGGTGGTCAAGATGTTGTCAGCGTGAATGTGTTTGTGGAGTGGGGTCTGTTCAATCTGTAAGTTTAAAGTAGAGATACTCTGGGGTGGTCTAAGTGTTAAATCCATCCCCTCTGTCACGAGATGGATCACAGAGACAAAGCAGCTATCCTCAACACATATTTTACAATCTGTGTAGATAGATTGTAGGATAAGAGTGAAGGGCAGGGGCTGAGGGGTGGCTTGGGGTCCCTGTGGGGGTTTGTGCGGGACCCCTTATCGATAAGGCTGCCACACCTTCTGCCCAAGGGCTCAGGGCCCAACCTTCCTTCCTTCTTTTCCTCCTTAGGCAGACCTACTCGTAAAATTCACATAAGTTGGTGCAGACTTCGAGCCATAAGTCCATGAAGCCCAAGTGACGTCTCAACAAGCTATGTCGACATTTATAATTCTACTACACTGTAGCTGAGGACAGTATTTGAGAGGTGGTTAGTTCATCTTATCACTTACGTGCAGCGAAGAATCAAGCTGATCAAAGGCTCGCTGGACGTTGAGAAGAAGTGGACTTCAAGACCAGTGTAATAGAGATATTGTAGATTCACTTATAAACAAGACTACCAGCCCAGAGAGAACATCCTGACTAACAAGCCCAGAAAGCTCACACTTCCCTGACGACGTCCTCAGTAGTCGGGATAGATGACTTTTGCGTCTTCATCAGAGCTGGAGACGGTTGCTACATCACCTAAGGGTGTGATCACGGAGGAAAGTCAGTGTGGTGTGTTAATCGAACGGGTCGTATTCCGGTACATAGTTTTATATGGGTGCTGTGTGTAAAACCTTGTACTAGGTAAGTGGCTGAAAAGAATTGGGTGAGTGGATATAATTGCTGGGTGAGTGGACGTTGGTTCGGTTAACGACTGCCCTGATTCCTACGCGTTGTTGGACTGGACGCCTCATCGACTGTTGGGTGTTCATTGAACATCGATGTGCCACTAAAATTCGACGCTAGCCAATTATTTACTGAATTCCGTACCAACGCTCTCGCACTTCCTTGAAGTGGCACCACTCGTCTCAGCCCCCAGCATTACGGGCTTGATAAGCTGCGACGCTCTTCCAACACATAGCACAGCTCGCGGCCTTGTTCACTCGAAGCACTCCAACATTGACAAACAGGACACCCAGACAGTGGGAATTCCTACTCATTCACCTGCTGCATCAAAGTGCTAAATTAAACCACTCCACTATCATTATAAGGGCCTAGAAGAGCTTGTTCCAGCCACACACCCAGCTTTGGGTGCAATCGAACGCCTCTTTTCGATTGTGAGGGCCTGTCAGACTTCGACCATTTTGAAACATTGGTGGCCATGGCCATCCAAAATTTTGTCTCGTATGAATTCATGACGAGAGATGTCATCTTAGGCGTTACTCTGGGCATGGTAGGTTCCGCATTGGTAATGCCACCGTAATGATTTGCATGGCTGATCAAGTAATCACATAGATATGCGTATACGCAACCCTAAGATGCCTTTACCTTCTGGTATTCCATCCGCTCGCCAAATTCCCCGGACCAAGACTGGCTGCAGTCTCTAACCTCTGGTACGCCCGACATTGGTAAGTACCCGTGGACGTCGATCCAACATTGGAAGCCATGGTATGGTAATTGAAGCTCATCAGCATGCATCAGGCTTTCAGGCCGGTACCCATGGGCGATAGAAGATGCTATTCGCAAGTACGGGGACGTTGTGCGAATTGCGCCAAATGAACTGGTCTTTTTCACCCCAGAGGCATTTCGCGATATATACTCACCGGCGCATCGTGGTCTGGAGACCTTTCGAAAAACAGATTTTCAAAATCGTGGTGCTAATCTCGGTGGAATTATCTGGGAGGAAGACCCTGTCAAGCACCATCAGGTTGCCCGGAAGCTATACCCTGCGTTTAGTCCCCGCTCGATACGGATCCTCGAACCTCTTATGCACAAGCACATGGATTACTTCATCCAGCGCATGAAGGAAATCGGCACCCGGGAACAGGGACTCAACCTCGTCGACTGGACCCACTGGTTGGCCTGGGATACGTCCCAGGATATATCGTGGAATGAAGAGACACTCTGCATGCAAACCGGTACGTGCCAATGGCCTCGGTTTCTTCTAGTTTGATATCAATCACTAATCCGAACCATTATAGAAAAAGACCCGGTTGCCTTAGACGTCCTGATCTCCTTCAACGCCTTTGCTACTATGATTCAGGTTTTCAAGAGATTTCCATTGCTAAGCCCTATCAAATATCTATTTGCCCCGGTGAAGAAGCTTAGCTCATTAGCAGAGATGGAAAGTAATGCGCGGAAGAGTGTATTACGCCGTATCGAGAAGCGCGGCAATGTACCTCACCTCGATCTATTCGAGTATGTTCTTTCAGACGACGAGAAGCCGCCAACAAATGATGCAGAACTTCGACATATTGGATCTGTAGCCTTACAAGTAATGTTTGCAGGGTTTGGCCCCATGGCTGACTGGTATTACTTTACACTCTTCATACTGCTCAACGCCCCTGAATCTTATAAGATCTTGACGGATGAGATCCGAACTGGCTCTGGGTTTGTCAATTACGATGACATCAATGTCCAGAGTACTGCAAATCTGCATTATCTCATTGCTTGTCTAGAAGAGACACTCCGAATGGTTTCCAACAATTCTACCGGCCTTCCGCGATACAGTCCAGGTGCCGTTGTTGATGGACATTTTATTCCTCCAGGCGTGAGCAAATTATTCTTGTCAACTGCGCTCCTTTCGACGCTAATTATCTACAATTGGAAACCAGATAACCGTTCAGAGCAGTCCCCACACTCTCGGCCGGAGCCCCCGATATTTTCATGACCCAATGCGGTTCCATCCAGAACGATACCTGCCGTCGTCGCATCCGTTATATGACAAGGCATTCATCAACGATAACATCAAGGGACTCCCCGCATTCAGTCTTGGCCCCCGCTCCTGTATCGGTCGAGAGCTTGGGTGGGCTGAGGCAAGAATCTTCATGTCAAAGCTACTATGGCAGTTTGATGTGGTCAAAGCACCAGGCGAGACTTTGGATATGGATGGAATGGAGCGTGATCTGATGCATTTTGGCTTTCTCACGAAGCCACGATTTATGGTTCAGTTTGTGCCGGTTCAGCGAAGGACGTCACCCCCATCAATCTGAGGTGGAATCTGAGCAATGATGCGTGCTAGAGAAGTTGGGGAATATCAAGCATGTAAAACGTATTCGTGAGACAGGTTTATCAAAGAATGATATCTTTGCTGAATGCAAAACCTATCTATCAGTAACATCAGGCACGGCTCAAGGTTGAGATATCTGGCAGCACACTCGTTTGCACAAGGTAGGGCCTAAAGATTAAGAATCACTGCTCAAGCACACATCAGCCCGTGAACCTGGTCCATTCATTTGGTTGGGCGTTTGAGTTGATTGGTCACTCACACGAATGTTTAGCAGGACCAAGCGCACGGCGTGAGTGAGTGAGTCAGTGCTGTAGAAGTCCAAATTCAAGAAGCATCCGCGGCAGCGAGATTGCGAAGTTCTTCCCAAATTAATTCGGCCAACATACCAACCCATCATTGAATCAACATCCTAGCAAAACCCATATCAATGACATCAACATGCTCATCAGACCCAACATGTTCTTCCAGCTCTCCGCCGTCTTGGCGCTGCTCCTGCTCCTGCTTCCTGGAACGACTGCAACCGTGACTGAGGCCCCGCCTGAGTGTGACGGCCTGGGCAAGTCCTGGTCCCAGATCGGAAGCAGCGACACCATCACAGCCGGCGCTATCGACCTCTGTAGCGGTTTGAATTCCCCTGACGGATGCGACCACGGCTGCACGGTATGCACTGCGCCCCCCCCCCCAACACGAACCTCAGGATGGATTAGATACGGAGCCGTGCTGTAGGCGTTACTGATCAATGGACTCACTATTTGACAGAAGAAATTCGGCTCCTTCGATGTGAACGATAAGTACTCGGTTCGCATTACCTACAGGTTCGACCGGGAAGTCCACAATATCACCCTGCCGTGTATGGAGCATTTCAACCAGGTACGTCCTCCCGGAATAATACACCTTGCCACCTTGGCTCGGTGGTTGCGGGCTAACGTTTTCTGCTCATCCTAGACCAGGGAGATTTGTGACAAGGGCGGCAGAATTGACTTCATGGTTCACGACAATGCCGCAGTCAACTCGACCAGGATTCATGGAAACTTTACTGCTTACCCCTATCCGAATAAGTGCTAGTACGAGGCCTAGCGATAGAATTTTCGGTGTTGAAAGACATTTGAATGACTGATAGTTTAAAGGAATTTCCATGTCTCAAGCTGGTGACTTCTGCTTGGTGAGGAGCACGTGGAGTAACAGGAACTGGGAGGCGTTGATCGGCAGCCGAAGGCATACTAACCATCCGGGTCCGGATGCCACAATCCATCAATGACGTAGTGTTATCTGCCATTTTAATGGCAAAAGCGTGATCAGCTGAGTGTTCTTCCTTTCATTTACTCGGTGCTTCGTGACTGAACAGACTGGAGAAGCAGTGACTCGGAATGCTAGGCTGCGTGCAGCTTCCGAACACAAGACGCAGCCAGGGAAAAGCTGCCCATCAACAGGCATGATCGAAAAGCTATACAGCCTCCAAACAAATAATCCATTTTATCACACCGTATTCGTAAACAGAATCAGCATGTCCTTCAAGCTTGTTGGAGCATATGTCCTACTGGCCCTCTTCACCGGAGGAGCGCTTGAGGGTTTCTACGACGGCTAGGATATGTTCGTGGTATGACACTGCCGGTGACTTGACCGTCGAGAATGACTTCATTGAAGCTGTTCCCAGCTGAATAGCGACGTCCTCCCTACAGCTTCCAGCGCTACCCGGGCTATCATTCCACCAATAGAGTATCAGCCAAGATGACTTTTCTCAGTTACGGCCATCCTGCCCTGAATATGAAGCCATTAGCGGAGGGATGTGGTAGGCAGATTGTGTGCGGGGATAATGGCACATCGTTCACTCTGTCAATCGACCACCAGTGGGGCTGGGACTGGGACGCAGCATGGCCTAGATGTTTGCGTAGAGGATTACAAACCCACAGCAGGCGGATGATTCTCGGCTTGGCCTGACTACTACAGTAGAGCTTGGACCATCAAAAGTCTAGGCACTCCCTACCTAGGTACCTAGGTACCCTAGGGTAGATGGGCTCCCTCCCAGGCAAGCGTGGCATGGCAACCAGCAACGACAGCTTCTAACCAAGCTACATTCACCGTAAGGTATGAAAACAGCTGTTCGGGGGCGCAAATGTCTTGGCAATCTTTCCTCAGGGTCACATGGCAGTGGCCTGGGGTACTTACCGCCCCAGTCTTGCCATGACAGCCGTTGCGTTGGGAGGCCGCGGCCGTGCAGAGGGGGCCAGGCACAATGAGACTTGTTCAATGTTCGACTCCTTGAGATCACATCCTTCGACCGCTCCGTTTCCACCGTGTCTAGTTAACTGTGAGGGGCGCTCAAGCTTTGATGGAAATGTGGAGATAAGGCAGGCACGGGCAAAGCGCTCAACGGCAATTTAATGCCCAGGTGGTTCATGGGCTTGAGAAATTTACAAAGGAGTTGTACCTCTCTATGCAAACATTGAAAACGGCATGAGCCCTGTCATTTCTAGAGTAGCCAGCTACCAACAGTTGAGCTCGGCTCGGTATGAATACAACATCACATGCTGCCACCTCATTATGCGATAGCCCCATCCAGCAAGGAATCCATCATCCACTCCTTGGTGTCGTTCACCTGCTCCTCAGATATGGCACCCGCCTCGGTGAGCCTCTCCAGGGCATTGTAGACAAAGTGCTGGCAGTTCCAGTCAGGCTCCCCGTTGACCGGCGTTGAGGCGATGGTATCCAGGAGCTTCCGCGGCTGAGACGTGTCGACCTGGACCCTCCCCACGAGACGCCCGTGGATGAGGTCGACACTCATCGGGTATACCTCCTCGCCGTCGACCTCGAGGTACTCGTAGGGCTCCTGCTCGGTGGGCCGCTGGGCGTGCGCCGTGATGTGGAAGTCCTCGACATCGGGCGAGTCGAGGTAGAAGATGGTGTGGCGCCTGTTGTATGTGTCGTACGGTAACCCACGGAAGATGAATATCCAGATGTTCTGAGTCATCAAGGGGGCCTCGGCCTGTTGCTGGATGGCGCCTGTGTTTTCTGTTGTCTTATCTGGCGTGCTCAGGCTGTCCTTGGTGGCACTGCGTATGGCGATTGCCGTTGTCCCTCCACTCGAAGCTGGCCCTCCTGAGTCTTGGCCGTGAAAGGGGGTCGAGTCTGCGAGCATTTGATTGCGTGAATGAGCTCTGGGGAGGGTGAGTGAATGGCGACAGTGCACAGCTGGCAACAGGAACGGGCTGATGCTGACCTACCTACTGGCCAGTAAATCCACACTGTGGCTGTGATGGCTCAGGTGGTGTGGGTGGGTGGGCCCGACCCGCTGTCAAACTCTCTCCCTCGAATCGTTCGATATGTCGGAGACCCGAACCCTAGACTTTTGGAATTGAGTTTAGGAGTAGCGCCTCGTTTGAGCGGTGTCGGACGGGTTAGTCAGCAAAAACAACGTCTGCAAACGGACTCAGGCAGGTCTTCGATCTGAGCTTGGTCATGCTGCCCAGGCGCCCACCTGGCAGGTGTGCATCATCGGATCGAACCTTTGGGAAGTGAATTGGTATCCTCGAAAGAATAGAATCGCTGGGGCAACCACCTGGCTCTATTGTAGCCCACCCGCAGATGATTTTCTGCCCTCCGTCGGGCCAGTCACGTGAAGACGTCCACATCTCTCATGTCTCACATTCAAGGCACACATGCGAAACACTCCAAGCATCATTTAGGACCCGTTCATCGCTGAACCGCTGGTTTGCCAGATGGGGGTGTCAACTGGTGATGGAGACGGCACCTGGCACCAGCATTAACCTAGAGACCAGGCCTGTCCAGGACTCATGGCACTGCGACTTCTAGACGCACTTCTCTCCCTTGAGTAACTTAGAACTGGCAATGCTCTAGGATCACCAGTATGTCCAATGCGAGGCCCATGGGTGAACAGAGAACTGGAGAGCATACTAAAGCACAAGATGGACACTCTACTGACACATTTCCATAGGTACAACTGCCTTGAAGGTACAGCTGCACAGCCGCAGACTCCCGAAGTATATACTCATTAACTACGAGTGCCGATGCTCTTCGACTCGAAGCCTATACTAAAAGCTCAACTGCACGCTGATGCTTAGAATTTCCCCTGCAACTGTGCTCTTGAGAGGCCCGTTTCCTGGCTGCGAAGCCACTCTGATCAACCGAACGGACCGGAACGGATGTATACGTCTATAATAATATTCATCATTCATTCCCTGAAGAGCACCTCTTCAAGTAGTCATCATTTCAACCCTTGCCAGTCGAGAAAGTGCCTTGGACCCAACTCCCTCGTTCCTCTGATCCGATGCCCCTCGCAATACACAGCATCGCATTCCGGTGCCGCGACTACCTAGGTCATCCCTGCAAATACTGTCAGAATCATAGCCTACAAATGCAATCTCGCAAGCACATACCATTCCGAACCTCCTTCCACAGTGAGACCTCATGCACCTCCTCAAGACACTGCTCCTTCCAGTTCTCAAACCCCTCGCCAGCAACCATATCCAGCGCCAGGCCCAGCATCGCCTCCGCCGCCTCGGGCGAGCCAGAGTACTGCCTGTGGGCCCTGGCGTTGCGGTAGTAGACGCTGGACTTTTGCGCGGCGGACGGCGGCCGCTCGGCGAGCAGCGAGGCGGCGGCCTGGATCGCGCGGCTCATGTGCCACGTGTGGTCCTCCTGGGTGTCCTCCCACTGCGGCCCGCCGTGCTCGCGGCTCAGGATGTTGAACATGTCCCGCACGCCCCTGACGAGCTGGTTGGGGCGGCCGCCCGGCCCGCGCTCGAGCCACGCGTCCGTCTCTACGAGCCGGCTGACCTCCGTGAGGGCCTTGAGGCACGCCCTGGAGAACCGCGCGAGGCCGCGGCCTAGGAGGTGGCGCTGGCCGGTGGCGTCCATGCGCGTGTATTTGTTCAGCATCTTGGTGATGTCGACGGCTGGGAGGGTCTGGATCTCGGCTGTCAGCGAGGCCGCCAGGTTGGCGTCCACTTTGCCGGTGATGTGGAAGTGCGCGGCGCCGCCGAGCCAGTCGCTGTACGGCTTGAGGTACTCGGTCTGGTTCTTGAGGCACATCCAGTCCGGGCTACATGTCGTGTTAAAGGGGTCATGCATTGTGATCCGGTGTCGGATCTGGCACTGAGCATTCAGGCAGAAGGCGTGCCCGCTGGCCACGGCCCGGCAGAACATGCCGAGGTCACGGGAGGGCAGCGCGAAGCTCCACCGCCTGGCTGGGCCGTCTGAGTCCTCGTCCTGCTCGCCCTCGATGTTGTGTGTCATGATGAAGCCTGGGTAGCTGGCAAAGGCCTGCTCGCTCAGGGGCACGATGTAGAGCATGGACCCGATCAGGTGAGGGCTTAGGAGGGCGTTAACCACAGAGATTCGGACGAGCTTGTGTGTCTTGATCATCACAGCGAAAGCTTCGAGGCGGATCTGGCGGCAGGTTCGGAGGATTGAGGTGTTCGTGATCTTGTTGCGACGGTCGTAGTCAGGAGGTGTTGGGATACTGGACACGCCCTGAAGATATTCCGGGTACGGCCAACAGACAACCTTCCGGGGCAACGGGAAGTCACCAAACGAGAAGGCATAGATGGCGTCTCTAATCTCTCTGGGAAAACCCAGGAGGAGGTTTTTGGAGTCTTGCATCTTGGTTGGGCTGCTTTCTTGGGCCTGCTGTTCTTGTGGTGTTGCGGCGATATCGGCCGCTATCAGAAGGGATGGAGGGAGGCTCGTCAAGAACAAAACAGGTCAATTTGCAGAGACATGGGACAAGAATCAGAGGTTCCAAGGTTAGCGTTTAATATTCTAGCTGTGACGACATTAAAAATGACCAGGCAGGCAAAGAGTTACCCTAGGCAAACGGCAAGTGAATGGGTGTTGATGACTGGAGATAGGACATGTTGGACCGACAACGGACGAAAGTCCACGCCCTCCTAGTACCGTTACTGGTTTGACCACGTGGGATTACCTTTGAAGCAATGGAAAGGAGTGCAAAAGTGAATCCCCTAGAATTCAAGGATAAACATCACACAAGTTGGGCGGAGGCCTCATGAACCTCTGTTGGCCCCAGCGTCCAGCTGTTCTGCAACGATAAGCTGCCACAGCAGTTCATCTCAGCCTCTATGGGATTTCGTAGGCCTCTGCAGCATCCCAACGTCATCCAAACGCCCATGGGCAACAGCCAGGCGTGTGAATGTGTAAGGGCCGAAAGCTCATGCCACGTGATTTAGTGACACAGCTGACTTTAGGTGATTCCATTCCTTCTGATGTCCTACTCTACATAGAACACCACCGCTGGACTAGGCTGACACTCGTCAACTTCAAGCCAGACCTACTCCTGCATGAAGCCCACCGTGACTACAATGAGAGGCGACACCGTTGTGAAATTCTCATAAATCCAGTCCAGTATTCATATCGTTTGATCATCCTGAAACTTGAACAACATGGCTTCTGATGCTTGTCTTATTAATACCAACATAACCCTTGTACAATTTAGGGACTGGCAGTCAGGATGCCACGGGCCTTCGACCGTTTACCACTGTGTGAATGCACCACATCTGCCTTCAGGATTTATGATATTAAGAACGAACCCACCATTAAATCCTTCCAATGAGGAGAATACTACTAGTGTATGAATTTCACCCATGAGCGATAGGTTATAAGTGGTGGTGGTTTCGTTTTTAATCTCCATACATATAAAATGTATGTGGCGTCTTCATACTGTGGTAAAGGCTCCATAGCCTATAAGTATTCATGAACTTCACTCTATCGCCTAGATTTCAACTTTGGATATTCGGCGCGATTTTATTCGTTGAAAATTATGTATATAAACCTTGGTTTACACCTTTACATGGAGACGGTACCTTAGTCTCGTGCCGCACCTCCAACACTGTTGTTCTGCCAACACCCGGGTATTGAATGCGCAAGCCGAAGATAGTCCTACAAACATCCGCGATTGTGATATGCGCAGTTACAAAACGAAGCCGCCAGAAGTCGTCTGAACCTAGCAAGATGTCGATCACTGCTAAGGCGTCTCTGATAAACATAGTCAGAGACTCAATGTTTTCTGAGCCTCGAAGAGGTCATCGTAGGCTCAGACGCAAGGCGATCCGAGCTACAGTTTTCTTTGCCTATGTAGAGCATACTTGCGACCGCAGCAGGTCGCAGGGACTTGCATCCGAAGTATTGTTTGATTTAGTTGAGTCTCAACAGAGGAGCCCCAGCGTATATCTTTTGCAAGGCGGTCCTGCTGTTACAATAGGGGAATGTGCCCTGCGCAGGCTCCAGATCGAGGACGCCATCCTTGGCGCACTCTGTCGAATGCGCTTGATTCTTTTGAAGCGATCCGTGGGCGGTCGAAGACAAATACTTGCAGCGCTATCCGGTATCCGAGTGACTTGGAGTATGCGTTTCGCCACCAATCGGGGTATTCGGATCTAGTTGCCCGGGACCGGAGTAACTACATATCGGGCTCCCGGCTCACATCAATCGCCACCTGCACATGCAGTGTTGGCAGCTCTAGCAGCTTGGCAGGGTCTGAATACCAATAGGCCCCAGATCGTACATTTTCACTGTCTTTACATCAAGACCAAGATCTCAGGCCATGTGTGTCTGCAGTTAGGAATGCGATCGTATTGGTGAATGTTGTGGGCGGTGACGAAGAACTCAGCATGCCAGTGTGCGGTCGGAGTATCAGTTGCCGTCACCGTGGTAGCAAAGAGTAACTGGGCACCTGTGTGCTCAGGTGTAATTGCGGCGGAGCCAAGGAGATCGCTCAGATCCAATTCGCAGGTGGCAAATTTACTTGACATTGTTTGCTGTCTTGCGTTGGTCAATGATACTACTCCCAGCTACGGACCGAGGGCGAGTTGGCATGAGTCGAAAGTAATAGTATCCGGACCGCAAGCGCTGTTGGCCCAGGATCAGGATGAAGTTCAAAATATTCACTACTCGTGCCCTCAACATCATTCGTAAACCCTGCCGAAGAATTTCGAATAGGGCACGAATGTAGGTCAAAGTGACAATTGTCACTTGACAAACTTCACCCGCGCTCTTCCGTGTCGGGACAATCTCGCTTCTCCCGAGACCATGGTGAATTCGAGAGCTTTTGCTGTCGGGGAGAATACGAAACGGCTGCATGACACCCTTGTGCGTTCCCACAATGTCGGAGTATTCACTGCTCGGGTCAAGGCGTTCACGCCCGCGAGGTGGCAATCAGTGAGTACTTGGGGGGACTTGAGCGTTCCGTCTCAGTGTATATATGATGACTCCCTCGCAGCTCGATCCTCATAATAGCATCCAATCTTGATCCCATACGTAATGTTTAATTCCAATCGTTTAAAGTACGCCGGGTGCATCCACATCCAATGACCAGCTTCACACCCCTATCGTTCTCCGCCGGTGGGATGAGGCCCCCGACCAGTCCATTCGGCGAGGAGATACGGATAAGCGTCTGGAAATTCAGCAAGCTCGTCACCAGCGCATGGAGATCTGCTATTGGGGACCCCAGGCCTGGGAGGTCTACGTTCGGCAAACGAGGCAAGGCTGTGCCCCGAGATGAGGATATGGCACAAGCCTCGTCGCCGGAACCTAGCCCTGCTTTGGAAATGAGCTGGTCACAGCCGGCGCTGAGAGAGGCTCGTCATGAGCACAGAAGGTTCTCGCTGCGGCCTTCCGTCGGCGAGGTGGAGATGAGCTCAGTAAATGGTGAAGTTCGTCGAGAGTAAGAACATCGAGAGGAGTAATAATCGTGTCGTTTGTGATCCTGATGATGTCAGTACCTACATAATCGGTGAGATTTAAGACCCTGGGGCTGTCTATGGTTGCCGGCAATCGCCGATATCTTGTTGAAAATGCTGACATCTACCCAAGGCTTGAATTGCGAGTTTTAATTTCGGCATGTCTGTCATGATGCATTTGGCTTTGGCAGAGGCGATGGAAGCTGCGTTAAATGTCCCCAACGACGAAAAAGAGAGAGCACGTTGTGTCATGGAGGTATTCACTTCTAAAGTTTTCCGATTAAGTGGTTTCGTTTCTAATCACCATACATATAAACATTAAATTGTCAGTAAACATATCATCTAGATAGGCTGGGATTCTACAACCTTTTGGAGGCTCGGTGATTATAGTCCTCATATACCGATAATGTGCTTACTGACAGAGTCACGAGACGGGAAAAGGTTATTAATGCTTTGGTAAAAGGCCTTGTGATGAATCACTGATATGGAGAGCCAACATATGCGACGACACTCAGAGAGTTTGCGGACATCTTGTATTTCTCTCTTCGTATTTAATTCGTTTCTTCAATCCCCATGGGGGATTCCTAATACAAATGCTAAGTCATGTGATTGAGTTGCCGATGGAGGGAGGATAGCCACCTAAGCTCCCTTTGCCTCAACCACCAAGATGTTACGGTGTCACTCAGCTACGCATTTGTCAAACTTGTCTATCTTGCGTGCCCGATCAGCTTAGCCAGATCACGGCTGCCTCTCTTCATCCGCCTCCAACACCGTCTTCCAACACCTGCATCTCTCAAGCATACGAAACACGTATTGTACGGGACCTTGTTGGGACCGTCAGGCCGATTAGATCAGAGAGGCCAATGTACCGGGGCCCTGCCCGCGGCTCTTGGGCGACATTATCCGGAGGACGAGCGAGGACTTGACATGATAGATGGCCAGAGCACTTGCCCTGCGTGGCCTCGTACCCAGTACCAGTATTCAGCACTAATCACTAGGCAACGACGGTGCTCATCGGAATGGTTGCCGGCATGTACCATGATTTACCACTGCAATGTGTCCGAGACATAAGTTCGTTGGCCTGTGTCAATTTTGTTCCTCTTAAAGCAATGAATGTGATTTATCGTAAAGGAGGATATGAATGGTTGGTAGTCCCAGCCTCAAAATCCAAACTCGTACTAGCGAATCGTGGTCGCAGGATTTGTTGTTGGCTTGGACTTCAGGAGGCTTGCATAGTGGCCGCCTGGACGTGTTGGATCGACCGGATGTTTCGCCTCGCTTGCACGTGCTCGTCCAGACGAGCGTGCGATCCATGGATGCGAGACTGAAGGATCCCGTGACGCGTGACGGCTGTTTTGATAGGAGTTGTATGCGCAGGTGGGATTGGATCGAGATAAGGGTCCCCATATCATATCTCGATCCTTATAGCACACACACACGCCTGACACGCTGACACGCAGCAGCGTTGGTAGCGTGCGGGATGTCTGCCAGTGCATTGCGCTGTAGATGAAAGTGGGTCGGCCCGCGGGTCGGATGTGGCGGTCACTTCAGGCGGCAGGGTGGCGCCAAACGCGGGCAGTGTGTCTCACATGCAACCCCCTCACCGACCTCGTCGACCTCATTTTTCACCCAGCGCTTGCCGCTGCCTATCAGGCTATCTGCCCCCAAATTAATCCTGCCTTTTTATCCCAAACGTGGTTTTGAGTTCATGGTCTGACCAGCAGCCCAATTCGTATCGGTTTCTTTGTCTGGATGAACGCACAAAACCGCCAACATGGCATCGCGATATAACGACGACACCAACGACAGGAGCAGGTCGCCGTCACCGCCCTTTCAAGACACCCCGACGACGTTGTTGTCTCAATCACAGCACTTCCTGCCGCCAACACCAGGGCGGAAGGTGACATGTCCCCACAGCCAGCTCCTACACAGGAAGCCTAGGAGGTGAGCTGAGCCCGATGACTTGAGCACTGGATCAACCTCGGACTGATTGACGGTGGACAAACCACCCTCCCCATAGATGGCCGCTCGTGCTCCGCTTCGTCAAGGGCGCAATCCACAGGGACATCGCCCTCGCAGTCTTCCTGCACGCGGTCTACACGACCGTGATCGTGACGCTGCACGTGCGCCTGCAGCACAACTTTGGCCTCCCGTCGAGCGTGGTCTCGTCGCTGTCCATCGTGGTGGGCCTGATGCTCGTCTTCCGCAACCAGACGGCCTACCAGCGCTTCTGGGACGGCCGCAACAACTTCGCGACGGTCATCACGTCGGTGCGGAACCTGATGCGGTCGTTCCTCGCCTGCTCGGGGGGGCCGGGCGTCAACGGCGCGGGGACGCCGCAGCAGATGTCGCTGGCCGAGAGGGCGGACGTCGAGCGCACCGCGCGCGTCCTCATGGCCGTCCCCGACAGCATCAAGAACACCCTGCGCGCCGAGTGGGGCGCCCTGGGCGCGGCGGCGGACCAGGGCGGGCAGGGCCTGCTGCCGCGGGGCATGAGGGGCCACGAGGACGAGGGGCTGACCATGCCCGTGCAGCTGGCGTTCCTCGTCGAGGCCTTCATCGCCCGGGGCCACGCGAGGGGGTGGTTCCACGCGCCCCAGGCGTCGCAGCTGACGGTGCAGCTCAACACCCTGGTCGATGCCTTTGGGCGCATGGAGACCATCCGGCTCACCCAGTTCCCCGTGGCCATCCTGATCCACCAGCGGCAGGTCCTGGCCCTGTTCGGGTGCGTGCTGCCGTTTGCCGTGGTTGACGAGAGCCACTGGTGGGCGGTGCTGATTGTTGCGCTCATCATGTTTACCTTGTACGGCATTGAGGCGATTGCCTGCCAGCTCGAGGACCCCTTTGGGTATGACCGTAATGACATCAAGATGGTACGCAGCGTCCCCGGGCCCGACTTTTCATCTCCCTCCTTGCCTTCAATGTTGAGAACTGGTGACCAGCCTGGTGCCACGCGTTCATGTACTGGGGCTAGGGGGCCCTGAGCGTGCATGCTAAGGCGGGTAGGTGCTGTTTTGATAGAGTGCTAATCATTTCCTGTGATAGGATGTCATTGTCGAGGACGTGCGCGTCGAGCTGGGGGTGATGCTGAACGAGTGGAGGATGATGGTCGCCGGGCCGGTCAGGAAGTCAATGTTCCTGGGCGATATTGAGATGTGACCTTGTTGATTCCCCTCGGATCTTCGGATATGGCGCCATGCCCATGCATTGCCTTTTGAGATACCCGGTGCACCTTGTTCTAAAGTTTCCCATGGGCCATATAGACCGACCGACATTTGCCTTTTGCGGGGGATATGCCCACACCGACAGAATCGTGATCATACACCCACCATACCCAGCTGATCCCGTCGATCTCGTTCGGGGTGGACCGATCAGGACACAGAGTGAGAGCCAAAGAGCGTACCAAGGTTCACGTTGAGAAGGCCAGGATTTCCCCAACAAGAAGGGCAATAGATCAACACCAGTCAGCTGTTCGGGCTTACGCGAACGCGGGGAGCACAGTCAGGACAGCAATGACAGGACAGTAATGATAGGTCACTGCTCACGGCCTGCCGGACTTGACACCAGCACGACACGCACGATAATGGCCGCAGCTTTTGACACGACCACGAGATTAGAGTAAGCCGGCACCGCAGCGAGCTAGCATGCCCGGCTGTATGACGCAGGACGGACGGCGGGCCAACCGCCTGCTAGGGAAGCTCGGTCGTCCGTTTTACGTTTTGGCTACACTTTGCAGTACACTAACTAGACTAGACGCCCCAAAAATAATACATCATGGCCCGCAATTTCACATCGTCACCCGAAGGCTTGTTGTGGGGGCTGCCTCCTGCCTCTTCGTCTGAAGGTCTCCGAGAAAAGCCACAGGGCAAATCACAATCTACACAACACGCCAAGCCCTGCTATTCTGGCCAGTCAAGCCCGGCCTTCCCCTGATTACACGCAGCGTGTAACCCTGTAGCTCAGGCGCGGTCGCCATGGGCGCACTCTCGAATGAAGTGCCGCCAAGTGCCATGACACGACCTCAGGGGTGGGCCTGTTGTGGCTGCATGCATGCAGATCGTTGGGATCCCAAACCTTGGGCCTGGCGCAGGTTTACTCTCAAGACTGTGTAGTACTTGGACGCAGGCCGACGACGGGGGGTGGCTGGCGAGTCGTGCACTTTTTCTAGTCAGCCAGTTCCCACACTTCGCACTCCCGTTGCGGCTGTCGGGATATTTCGCATCATCATCCTCCTCCTCCACGGGCTCAGCTCGGCAACCAACCAACCAACCCCTGTCATCCCGTCACCCTGTCCTGCCCATCCCACCGCCCATGACCCTGCCCACCCTGCCCACCCTGCCCACATGCTGCAGAAAGCAACAGCAACTCGAATCGCCCGCAGCCCTGGCAGGGCGCTTGTATGGTGGAGCAACCACACTTGCAGTCGGTCGGTTCCCTAGCAACCTAGTTAGTTGCATACTATGACTGCACAGCCAACCTCCCCCATTGTTTCGGCCCTTAATTAATAAAAACCCGTTGAGGCCCATTGGCCCATTGGGGGTTGGCCGAGATATCCGGGGAAAATAAAATATAACACAGCAGATCTGCTACTGCCGTTCACTCTTGTTTTGCTTTGCCTTGCTCCTAGAGTACTCTTATATCCTCTACTACTAGAATCCCCCAGCATAGCCAGGACCTCCTTACTTCCAAGCAACTATCTATACTAAATAAATATAATAAGAACTTAACAATAAAGCTAAAGGTCCTAATATTAAATTAATTAAAAATAAAATTCCTAATATTATATTTTTAATTATTATTATTAACTTTTAAATATTTATTTATTTATTAACTTAATTTATTAATATATTTAATCTAAAAAAGTAGTTAGAAATATATTTATATAGTAAAATAAAGGGATCCCTTTTAAGCCCTCTCTTCTCTTCTAAACAATATCCCTACCTACTCCTTTATCTCTAAAATTAATAAAAAACCTATTAATATAATAATTTCATTACTTAATTTACCTTAACTAACCTAATTACCTAACTTTAAACTATAATAATATAAATTTTATACTTTATATAACTCTAACTTAATCTTTAATATTAAAAAATATTATTATTACTTTAATAAATTTAATAATTTATATAATTTTATCCTTTTAAATATAAAATATAAACTTTTATTCCTATATATTAATAATATTTAATATATTAATTAATATAAAAACTTTAATAATAGAAAATCCTTTTATACTCTTTAATTTAAATATTACTTTTATATTTACTATAAAGTAAAAGGAATTAATAACTATAATTAATATATTATAAATATCACTCTATATACCTATATAGTCTTAATATAAAAAATTATATTATAAAGAAATTAAAAATAAAAATAATATTTATTATTAATAAGTTATTAAAAATTAATCTAATTAGTTAAAATCTTTTAATAAAGCTAACCTAATAAAGCTAATAAAAAATTAACTAACTAACTAACTTAATAAATCTCTTTTTAATTCTATAAGTTATATAATAATAATTATAATATTAACTTCTATAACTCTCTAAACTTTAATAATAATATATAAAAAACTAACTTTTAATATCTTAAGTTAGCTTACAACTTAAATAAAAAGAAAGTTAATAAAAACTTTAAGGTAGATAAGAAATTAAAGTACTTCCTCTAATAATTTAATATTTCTAATAGCTATATTATTAGTAGTTAAAATTAAAGTAACTAGAAAATTACATTATAAAAATAATAAAAGTATTAATTATATAGTAAAAGTTCTTACTATATAATAAGCTTATTAAAAGGATTAATAAATCCTTTTATCTATTAGAATTCTAATATCTAACTAAATATTAGAGTTTAAAATACTTAAAAGTACTTAAAAAGCCTTAATTTACTTAATAAGTTTATTTTTTTATATAATAGAAACCTTAAAAGTTAATTATTTATTTTCCTTCCTAATAAAAATATAAACCTATTTAAATATACTCTAAAATAATATAATAGCTTTATAATTATAAATATAACTTATTAAACTAATAAACTATTTTAATATCTATTTACCCTTTTAATAATTAATAATAATAATAAATAGCACCTTAAAATATTTTTTTAGCTTAAAATTAATAAATATACTTAATTAAAGTCTTATTAGGCGCTATATATAAGTTAATATTTAATTAATAATTATAGTAAATAATAATAAATAATTTAATAACTAAATAAAAGGTAATTTATTAATTCTCTTAATTAAAAGTCTTTTATTTATTAATATATTTCTTTATTAAAAATACTAAAAGTTATTAACCTACTACTATCTAGCTTTATTAAAGCTATTAAAAGCTATTAATACCTTAAAAAGTACTATATACTATAATTAATAAAAAAGTATTTAAAAATATTAGAAAGTAGTTAAAGTAATATTAAATAAAATAAGATTTAACTATATATATAAGTAATTAAAAATAAGTTATTAAATAACTATAATTAATAGGCTTTATAAATAAGGTTAGTTTACCTTTTAATTAATAAAATAAAGGCTAATTTACTTTAAATTTATTATTTCTCTTTTATTTATATACTTATAACTTTTCCTTTAAGGGTTTTTATAGGTATTTAAAAGTTAAGACTTTAAGGTAATATTTTATTATTTAACCCTTATAAAAATAATTTAATAATATTTTTATATAATATATTATTAATAAAAAAGGTTAAATAATATTAAAATTTAAATATTATTTAAAACTATATATTATTATTTCTTACTTTAAAGCTTTAAAGTACCTATTATTAAGCCTTTAATAGTAAATTATTAAATAAATTAATAAGGTAAAATAGTAAAAGATTATAATAAACTTACTTTTTATAAGGTTAATATTTAAACCTTTAAATACCTTTATAAAAAATAATACTTTATAAAAACTATTTATATAAACTTTTAATAGAAATATAACTTTAAAAGTAAGTTAATTTTTCTATAAGTTATATAATTACTTATTAAAATTTTTAAAATAAAAGGTTAGGTAGCCCTATAATAACTTTAAGAAAACCTTTTAATTAATAAGGGTTTTATTACTAAGGATTTCCTTTAATAAGAATAATAATAAGTAAATTACTAGTTATTAACTTTAATAGCTAATATTAAATTAAATAGATTCCTTAAAAGTACTTCCTTATTAACTTTTATTAAACTAACCTATAAAATAACTAGTTTAACTACCTTAAATAATTATAAGAGTACTTTTATAATGCTTTATATATATTAAAAGCTTATAATAATAAAGGTTTATTTATAAAGATCCTTTTAATAAGGTTAATAAAAATAAAGATTTATAAGGTTATTATAATTAATATATTAGTTATTATATTTATTATTAAATTAGGTATAATTATATATATATAATTAGTTAATTTATAACTTTATACTTTAAAATTCTTACTATTAGTACTTTATAATTAACTAATTATAATACCCTTTATACCTATACCTTATAAATAATTAATAATTTAATAGACTACCCTATTAACCCTTAAAAATAAATAGTATAAATAATATTTATAATATTTTTTTTAAAAAATAAATTAATCTTTAATAATTTCTTTAATAATTAATTAATTAATAGTAACTTAAATATATAAATTAAATATATCTTTAATATAATAATTATATCTTTATCCTTTATATTATAAACTATTAATTACTTATAAGTTAACTTAGCGGTAATAATATTAATTTACTTTCCTTTATTAATAAATAAAAAGATTATATATAAACTTAATAATATACTTAAAGTTATATTTAATATAATCTCTTTTTAGCTATAATTAGTCCCTAATAATAGTTGTTAGAGAGAATGTTAGGGTAAACTTAGTATTATAGTAAGTATTTTGTATTTTATCTAGGGGGGTATGGCTAACTAGGGGCCCCTTATTGGGGTTGTAGGAAAAGTGGGTAGTAGAGGATATAAGAAAGGCCTTGCTCCCAGATCCGGCGAGCTAGTCTCTCACTGTCTCTCTTTTTGTGTCTGCCTGTCTGTCTGTCTACTAGTTTGTAAACAGTCCCATAATGAAGGCAGCCTCCCGCTCCGTCAGGGGGATCGCGGTGGCTGGTGCCGTCGCCGGGCTCGGGGCCCTCCACACGGCCGCCGCCCTGCCAGTCTCGGACGACCCGATCCTCCCCCCGCTGGCCAGCCGGGACGTGACGGGCAACGGGGAGGACCTGAACGGCAAGACATATGACTACATCGTCGTGGGCGGCGGGCTGGCCGGCCTGACAGTGGCCGCCCGGCTCTCAGAGGACCCCGACGTGACCGTTGCCGTCATCGAGGCCGGCCAGGATATCTATGGGGCGCACGAGTCGAGGTTCCTCACGCCCTCGGCGGTGCTGTACGACTCGTTCCTCAACACCGAGTACGACTGGAAGTACGTGACGACGCCACAGGCCGGGCTCAACCAGCGGACGACGCCGTGGGCCCGCGGCAAGGTGCTCGGCGGCAGCTCGGCGGTCAACAGCATGTACATGGTGCGGGCCTCCGCGCGCGAGTTCGACGCGTGGGGCTCGCTGATCGGGGCGCCGGAGCTGTGGGGCTGGGACAGCATGTTCGCCGCCATGAAGAAGTCGGAGGACTTCCAGGAGCCCGTCCAGGCCGTGCGCGACGTCGTGCCCAGCCTGCAGTGGAACCCGGCCAGCCACGGCACGGGGGGCAACATCAAGACGGGGTGGCCGGGCAAGAGCTACCCCTTCGTGCAGTCCTTCCTGACGTCCGTCGCCAACACCGGCACGCCGATATCAAACGACCCGGATGCCGGTGAGAACTGGGGCGCCTTCCTGGCCACGTCGGCCATCAACGCGCAGGTCTGGCAGCGGTCCAGCTCGCGGACGGGATACCTGGACGCCATCGACACGGAGCGGGCCAACATCCACGTGCTCGTCGGCCACCAGGCGACCAAGGTGCTGCTCGACACGGCCGACCCCGAGGGCAAGGGCGCGAAGGTAAGGGCCACGGGCGTCCAGTACGCCGCCAACCCGCAGGACGCCATCAAGACGGTCAGCGCGGCCAGGGAGGTCATCATCTCGGGCGGGACCATCAACTCGCCGCAGATCCTGCAGCACAGCGGCATCGGCGACGCGGCGCAGCTGCGCGGGCTCGGCATCGAGGCCAAGGTCGACCTCCCCGGCGTGGGCCACAACGTCCAGGACCACGTCTCGGCCGCCCTCCTGTACCCGCCGGCGCACCCGGACCAGCAGCCGCCGCCCCGGCTCACGGGCGACCCCGTCACCGACTCGTTCGTCCAGTCCGCCATCGCCTACGTCAACCTGACCACCCTCGTGGGCGGCGCCGAGCAGGCGGGGCTTCTCCTCGCCGCGCTGCGCAGCAACGCCACCAGCGCCATCGACGCTGCCGCCGTTCCCGAAGCCGTCAAGGAGGCGTGGCGCGTCACGTACGCCAGCCAGGTGGACAACATCTACGACTCGCCCGTGGGGCTGGTCGAGATCCTCCTCGCCGACATCTTCGGCACGGTAAACATGCAGGTCGCGCTGCAGCAGCCCCTCTCGCGGGGGTCCATCCTCGTCGCCTCGCCCGACCCCTTCGCCCCGCCCGCCATCGACCCCCGCTACCTCACCCTCGACGTCGACCTGCGCCTCCTTCGCGAGGGCCACAAGCTCGCGCGCCGCGTCGCCGCCGGCATGGCGGGCGTCCTCGGCGCCGAGGCGCACCCCGGCACCGCCGCCGTCGCGGACGCAGACGACGCCGGCTGGGACTGGTTCATCCGCCAGAACGCGGGCACCGAGTACCACCCGAGCTCGTCGTGCTCCATGCTGCCGCGCGACAAGGGCGGGGTCGTCGACAAGGACCTGCTCGTGTACGGGACGTCGAACCTGCGGGTTATCGATGCCAGCATCGCGCCGACGAGCGTCAGCGCCCACCTTATGACTGCTACGTATGGCATCGCGGAGATCGGCGCGGATATCATCAAGGCTGCGCGCAGGGGTGCCGCTGCGGCGGACGACACGACGGCTGGGAAGCTGCAGCAGGCGCAGGAGGTCAGCCCTCCTGCGGACGGCGGGGCCCAGCAGCACGACACGGCCGAGGAGGACTCATCCCCGAAGACGGCTGCCGTGGCTGCTGGTAGTGGTGTCGCTGCTGTTGGGTCTGTCGTCGCTGCCGGCCTTGTCATCGGCCGGACGGCGCTGCGGAGGTGGCAGGGGCAGAAGTACTCCAAGGTCGTTGCTTGAGGGGAGCAGGTGGCTGGCTTGGTACATATCATGTCTGTGCTGATGTTATGATAATGTTTGGGCTGGATTATGTCATTTGACGCCTTGAATAGGGCTCGATGGATGGGCGGGGATCTCCCCTGGTTTTCCTTTTCTTGGTTCATGGAAATAATGACTATAGACGGATGTTGGTCTGGTGGAGGAGGCTGGTTCCACGGTTTTGGAGTACGCTCGCCAATACCCCTTTTGGTCTTGTATTTAATCATCTTCTTTCGGGCTCGGTCATGTACATTGAGCTTCAATTAGACGAAGCATTTGAACTTTGAATCTTATGCATGGTACACACCTAGGCACTTGTTTATGTATAGTTTATATATACTAGTATGTATGGGGATCAGGAACGAAACCACTCCGTGTTGATCGCATGCCGCAATCATTTGCCTAAACGCTACATTGACGAGGTGTAAGCACTGAGCTTCCGGAAGCCCATCCGAATACCCATCTTTCATAGCACAAACACGTGTACGTCGGAGAAGCCACATGCTAATCCCGCGCCTCACCGCGGCCCTTCCACCACCTCCCCGGTAGCAAGCAGCCTCTTTCCACCAGGGAGAGGCAGCGCACAGCTCGGCGGCCGCTGCCACGCCACGAACCCCGCGCCGCGCTGGACCATCTCCTGCCTCATCTGCGCCGCCCTGCTGATCATCATCCCGCAGCACGGCACCTCGGGAAACTCGGGCAGCGGCGGCCAGTCGACGGCCTGGGGGGCTGTCACCTGGGCCTGGGCCCCCGCACGCCGCGCCATCCACTCGTCCAGGTGCTGCCTGTAGTGTTCCACAGGGGCGTCGAGGACGACATCCTCGTGCTTCTCCCACGCCGCCGCTGCGCCGAGGACCATCGAGGCGTCCAGCTCGTGCGGGTAGTTCTCGTCGCGGAGGTGCGTGTCGCGGGTGATGATCTCGTAGAGGGTGAAGGCTGCGAACTTGACGTCGTTGCGTGCTGGGTCGTAGCTCTCGCTCTTATTGTCGTTGTTGAGGCTACAGGCTAGGTTGAAGTCGAAAATGAGGAGGTCGTCTGTAGTGGGGTCGATAAGAAGGTTATATGGTGTGATGTCGCCATGAACAATACCGAGTGTGAGGTTGAGGTAGTCGATAGTTGATGTAAGTTGCTTGAGGTGTTTGAGCTTAAAGGGTCTTGAGATATTGTCCAGAATAGTACCACCAGGGATAAAAGGCGTTGTAAAGCCGACTACTTTATCCTCTCCTTCAACTTGATCGACAACAAGACTGTGAAAGGGAACGATGTTCGGGTGCTTTGGTATACGTAGGAGACAGTTGGACTCGTCCCATACAATACTGATATTTCCCTCGTTGATGTAGTACTTATAAGCGACCTGTGTCGGCTCGGCTGTAGAAGTGTCCTCACACAGGTCGACCTGAACGCCCAATCGATCGAGCTCTATCAGTTGTGTGCGTTGGACTCGTCGTAGTGGAGATGGATAGTCCGATGGGGAGGGGTAAAATGGGATCATAGTCGGGTCTTGATCTAGGTCGGCTGTAGAGTTTAATAGTTCGCCCTGCTCTCCCACTTCAATCTGCACGATGTCGGCTGGGATGTCGTCAATGTGCTCGGCGAGGGCATCGAAAAAGAAATCCTCGTCCTCCTCCCTCCAAGCCGTGGCAACAGCAATGAACCGACGCTGGTCCCAGTCAATAATGACTTTAATGGTGCCGACGCCATTGTATAAAGAATCATGGCCTGTGCTCGTGAAGCGCTGGTCTGGGGTGCAGTCATCGAAGTGGCCCATCTCGAATACCGGTTCGAAAAGAAGCTTGTGGGCAACAAAGTTTAAGGACAAATGGGAATGTGGGGCAGAGATATATTGAAGCCGTTGAGATTTTGGGTATCCAAGTCACAAGAGATTGGTAAATGGGAAAGAAGTTGAATTTCAACTTGAAAGAGATCAAACGTTCGAGGATTTTGAGCTGCGTTTGGAATGGGTCAGCCAAGCCGGTCCCGAGGTCACGTGGCATCAGCTACTTCTCAGCGGCCTCACTTCAAACCGCAAGATGGTCACCAGATGCGTCGAAAAGGCTGTGGGTGCTGACATTGTTGACGTATCGATTTTCCACTCTCTATTTATAGCGGCGTTTACCACTGTATGCCAGTGAAGGCGCCACATACATTTTACATATATGGGGATTAAAAACGAAACCACTATTTATAGTGGCTTCTAATCTCTAACTTTAGAACGCTACTGTCGAGAACTTGGACATCTGGGTCTTCGTGGGGTCGGGCACGTCTGGTTCTCTGCGCAGTGGCGTAGACCATTTGAAGTTGCTTACTAGTAGTGAGATGCAGGATTCAAGCCACCCTTCATAGATCACGTCACTCTTGACCTTTGGCCCCTCATACTTGGCATACTTGGACCTCTTTTCCCAATGCTTTGTCCAACTCTAGGAAATCTCTTACGAAGTCTGCATTAAGGACAGTGGTCGCCCTGTCTGTCTCTTTTTGGAGTTGTCAGTTCATGGGTGGCCGAGTAGATGTAGTCTATAGCTTTGAATCATTCCCAACTCACAAGAGGTACAGATAATTTGAATAGCCCTTACCTAATATGTGGTTTCGCTTCTATTCCGTATATGTGCGAGGACATACTATACTTGAGCCTTTGAATATGTGTCAGACTTACGCACTGTATTATGTGGGAACTCCGCGAGCCTGGTGACCACAATGCCTGGTCACTGCGTCCACCAGAAGTGGCCAGGCCAAAGGCCACCACCCAACAACGCCTTACAAGATAAAAATAGTGAAAACTCTCGAAATTATGAGCCTCCGATATGTATAAGAGGCTACACGATGCCATCCCAGTCAGGAAGAGATAAACACCTGTATTAAGCACTTCCTCCTCCTCTCTTCTTTCGTCTTCGATTTGAAAGCAAAGTTCTTGCGGATTATTCATCAGGCCGTTTTTATAAGTCAAGTATACACTTAGAGCATCTATCAATCATGGCGAATACCCAAGCTCAGCAGCGTGATTTCCAGGAATGGATGAGACTACGTTTCAGCAACGTTGCTACAAGTGGGTTCAATTCTTGTCCCATTGTCATCGAAAACTCAAAATCTCCCTCTTGAATTGTCACTGATCTTCAAACTCGTAGTGCGATACACCATTCCCGCGGGTTCCACCCAGGACCGACGTTTCAACTGCATCGCCCACGCCATTGGAAAGAGGGATGTCCGCCTCACCCCTCAGAGCAAGAGCCAGCTCGATAACATCTTCATGTTGCACGGCTACTTCGAGGTACCCATGAGCGGAAACCCACTGGTGGGAGACGCCGAAGTATACGCGAAGCCGACCGCACCCGGCATTCCCCTCCACGCCCACCGCGTCGAGAGCGTCGACCCCAACAGTGTGCTCTGCTCTTCCAAGATGGGAGACGACTTTCTCATCCACCACCCTAGGGATCTGCTCCAGTGTGTGCGGCCCAGTTCCAATCAGTATGAGTACGGTCTCGTGCAGTACAGGTACCGCTTTGACGCAGCCAAATTTAAGAAAGCCAAGGATTCAGGTATGTTTTCTCTTCCCTCCTCCGCCACTTTCTCCAGGGTCTGTCCCCTTTACCCTATTCCACAAGAAAGATCCGGTTGAGTTCCAGGTTTGAGGGACTTCTCTCTGGGGCTCAAGGTAATCACTGACCCCAACACTCTTCCAAACAGAGGTCAGAACCAAATCTGGACGTGTCATCAAGCGATCTCAGGCGGCCTACACCAAGACGGGGAGATATATCCGGAAGGCGGACGAGGCTCGCAGCAAGTCCAACCGAGTTATCAAGAAGCCCACGGTCGCCAAGAAATGATCAAGAGCCTCGTAGCTCATACTGGGATACCGTCGCGGGTTCGTTGGTTACGGAAATGGGACGTACGGCTATGATTTTGTATAGATAGACTCTCTAAGGCCTAAACCTTTAGCGATCTTAGATGTGTAGGCACACTCGTTCAGACTGTTGATTTATATGAATTTTTGAAAATTACAGAATGCAACATTGTAACAAGTCGAGTTATTGATTCCATAAGAGCGACATCGTGACTTGTTACAGACACCGTTGTCTTGTACTAACTGGACCCATAATTCCGATCAACCCCCTTCCCAAACACCTGGGTATTACCTAGGTTCCATAATTTCCTGACGTCTTATTCTGAGGTATAAAAATTGCTACTGTGGGAGAAAAGTGTTCAGAAATGATGTTTTGGTGAGGAAAGTGGTCCAAATCCGGAGGCGGTCCGAATGTGGGCGTGTCAACTTACTCTTATATGCAGATAGGCAGGTATATTCTATGCACGACTCGTAAGTAATAAACGTAGTAATGCTTAATCTATATAAATTCTTAAATTTGACTAGTTATATCATTTTCCCACAACGCATGATGAGTCTATCCTCTGTCCGGCACTCAATCCGATCATGAGATGCAATGCTTCCAGATCAGCCATACGCCGGGAGCTCTCCCAAGAGCCGATATCAGACCGAGGCTATTCCTGGTAAAGAAATATGTCTTGCTCTCCTACAGTATACAGTAGCCTGTCTGCATATGCTGTAAATTACCCTCATGCCCGAATCATGGAAATGGTACGAATTGGCCGTTGTGATCCAGTTAATTCGGCCGGTTCTGGGTGCACTTTTCTCTAGGGACTCACGTATCAGAAAATGGACCTCAAGGTTGCTCACTGCTCTTAATATTGTAATCACCGTGTATAGTACCTTCTACATTTAAGCGGTCGTCGAGGCCTACATGATTATCGAGTGATGTTTACTTGTCTTGGCTTATTTCAATATTACCTAGGTACTTTTATCAACCTGTAGCTCTAGTCCGTCATCAGATTCATAGTCACGTGGTCGTTGCCCGTCAGCACGTCTTCCTCCATCTCGCAGCCCCGCTCTATTTCGTAAAAAAGGAGGCGCAGTATGCAGCGTAGCATGTGGGCAGGCATCCAAATAGCACAATGCGCTACCTGAACAAATTCCCGTCTCCTGTCATGCCGCCGCCACACTGCTTCTTCCCGTCTCCGGCTTACCTGCGGGGACAGAGAGAATAACAACTGGCAACAAATCATAGCATCACGACTTACGGGCCCTCCAGCGAACATCGCTTCGATATGGCGACGGTATCTGCCGCATGCCTCGAAGAGGTCCAGAAGCTTCAACAACAGCTTTGCAAAAACTGCCGTGAAGTCCTTCTGGATGACAAATCCGATGCATCGATAGTTGTAGATGGATACGGCAACACTACCGATTGTCTGATTCCTACGCTTAGCGCCGGCCACGCAAAGATATCTACTGGCTACTCATTGACAGATGACTTTCCGAGGCTCCCTAAGCTTGAAGCTTCGTCACAGCAGGGCTGCAGATTTTGTGGTTATCTGCGAGATATGATACTCTGCAAACATACCATGTGGTTCACTGAAAAGAACTACGGCATTCACGCGACAGACTTAGAACGCCCGGTGATAGAGGTGACTATTGCCGTAAGCTGGATCTTCCAGGCTCTCGAGGGTGCCTCCCAAGGTCCGAACCAGCTGTGTGCGAAAATCATTTTCAAGGGTACAGGCCGCGGTGTGGTAACCTGGTCGGATGTAACGGTGGCTTCAGGTATGAGCCTCGTCCAAATTGAACTGCGATTTGCATTTCCTATACTGAGCTGAGTTTCAGGGAGCGAGTATCTGGCAGAATGGTTGCCAATACGGCCCGCACCAAATGTATCGCCGTCACATCCGTATAGTATCGAAGAGATGAAAGCTGAGATTCAGCAATGCAAAAAGCACAACCACGCGCCACCGACTTTCAACTACGCCCCTGAGCATCTGTTAGACGTTCGAGACATCCACCCGAAACTAGTCTCTGGCCGTGAACAACTGACCGAACCACTGGGCCGGACGCCTCGTTATGCCGCTCTAAGTTACTGCTGGGGGACATCAGAGGAGGCAGCTCACCAGTTGACAACCACGAACCAAACAATGCCAGAACGACGAAGAGGAATACAGCACGATGAGATGCCGCCTGTATTACGCGATGCAGTACGCGTCACCAGGAGCCTTGACATTCCTTTTCTCTGGATCGATGCTCTGTGTATAATACAGGGCGACAGCTCGGACTGGGAGGAACAGTGTCCTCAGATGGACAGAATCTACGGGCATGCCGAAGTTACACTTGTTGCTGCATCCTCAAATTCTTGTCTGGACAGCTTTTTGGACACCGCGGCGCCAAGCACCTTGCTTCCGTTCTCTTCAAAGTGTCGACCGCACTTCAGCGGTCTGCTGCAAGTGACGTTCTCGGGATGCACTGATGCGTCTTTGTCTACAACCTACTACAGCGATATATACGACAGCCGTTTGGCCTTTAGAGGCTGGGCTGTCCAGGAGCGTATCTTGTCTACGCGCATGATCACATTTGGGAGATCCGGCGTGCGGTTTTCCTGCCCGTACAATCCATCGCCGCAAGGCTATAGGGGCCGCAGCTTCTTTATCACAAAAGCCAGACATCCATACAGCGAGTTGTCGAACAATTATTTTGACTGGGTCAAAGTGTTGAACGAGTATCGTTTAATCACCGCTGACTCCTTCACTCAACCGACAGACCTTCTACCCGCTTTATCGGGTTTAGCAGCCTACTTTGGGCGTCGGACCAAAGACCACTATTATGCGGGACACTGGCACAAAGATCTCTATCGAAGTCTCATGTGGTGTAGTGACAAGCCCTCGAAAGACCCCCTTGCCCTTCATATTGATCTTGCTTGCTCGCCCAGGCCTTACATCGTTCCATCCTGGAGCCAACTGGGGAAGGGCTATTCGCGTCCCCTGGGCGAAAGCATGTGGGATCCGGTAAAGGAGACAGTCAAGCTGCGTGCATATATCAGCCAGGCTGGTCAAAACCCATTTGGAGCGATACGAAATGCCGAGCTTGAAGTGCGCACTCACACCATGTGTCTTCAGACTGCAACGAACGTTGAACTCACCAAGGTCGAACCAGGTGGCTATGGACACGGACCGTACCGGAGGGAGTATTGGACCGTCAGATTCCGGCGAAAGGGTGTTTTGGCGCGCATGTTAGGACGGAAAAGCCGCGGGTTTTCCTGCTGTGTATGGGTGGACTACGACTTGAAGGAGAATGACTTCCGCAGAGATTCTGAGGGGTGGAAATGGGTGCTGCTTGGAACATCTCAACGGCAAGACGATCCGGAAAGGAGGCCATTCGGTCTGCTGCTTCTCAGTGCAAATGATTCAAAATGGTGCCGAGTGGGTGTTTTTCTAGTTGATGCTCCCGCGTGTGATGAGGAGTTTATGCGACTGAGCGACTTCACGAAGTTCAGTTCTGTTGAAACAGTTATAATCATATGATTCAAGCCAAGGTATTATTGCCCTAGTGTACCGTTAGGTATAAAGTCGAACATTCCTCATTACTACCAACTCTTCACAATCCCAACAGACGGGACTTGGGCTGTTTGAAGTTGAATTTAGAGGTCGGTCCAGTCTCATTGTTTCCAGGCGCCAGGTTTCGGGGTATATATGCAAATCATGTAAAATATGGTGCTCACTCCTTTGACAGTCTCAACATCATCATGCCTTTTCTAGACCGTCCCTGTTCACGTGAACCTCTCCTCTGTATATCTCCAGCACCGTCATCAACGGCAACGCCAGCATCAACAAACTGACCATGGTCGCAAAGCTCCACTGCCTCTCCCCCATGTCCGACAGCGGCGTCGTAGGCTGGCCGAACGCCTGCGACGTGTAGATGACGCGGACCGTGGCGCCGACGGCGATGGCCGTCATGATGACCCAGCCGGCCAGCTGCACCCACTTGAAGGCGCGCTGGCGCCTGTCGTGGAGGTACCACGTGGACGCGAGGAAGACGATGCAGTTGCCCGCGATGACGGCGATGGTGCCCGCGTACGAGACCCCGATGTTGCCCGCCCTGCCGCCGTCGACCTGCCATGCGCACGTCGTCGGCAGCGTGGTGGCCTCCAGGTCCTTGTGCACCACCTGCAGCATGAAGATGCCGTACACGCAGCTCAGCACGAGGTTGACCAGCATGAGGACCTGGCGCAGCCACCGGAGGACCGTGTCGGAGCGGAAGGAGGCGACGAGGACGAGGAGGGTCAGGTTGTGGACGCCCATAGAGAGTAAGGCCAGCATCCAGATTATGAAGAAGTGGTACGGCACCAGCGTGTTGATCTGGGCGAGACCAACCGCTTGGATGCCGATGCCGTAGAGAATCTGCTGGTCGCTGAAGCCGTACAGCAGCTTCCGCCGTATCAGGCCCATGGCCGGCTTGTGGCTGTTGAAGAAGGACTCCTGCAATATCAGGGAGAGGGAGAGCGCGACGGCGAGGACTGCGGGGATGATGAATCCGAGGATGACCTTGGCACTGTTAGTTCATTGATCTTGATGGGGTTGTGCAGTACTGTGTAGCAAGGAGTTGAGGTGTGGGCTCAATGCCAGGGGAGGATCTCCGCAAGGTTCATGTGTAAGCCCCATGATATTCTGGGGCTTGAAATTCATGGCCTCATCGACCCAAGGGGCCATAATGGGAGTCCGTATCTACTTCTCGCTGACGGGGCAGCAAGAGGATATTGTATCGCCCGATGAAAGCGTGCATGTGCACGAAGAAAAGGATAATAACTTACACCAATGCCTGCTATTCCGGCGTTGGATGGCGTCTCCGCCGGAGGGTTTGTGCAGTTTACAGAACTCATGGTGCTCGGTTGACAGCTAAATGAGTGACGGCTAGGATATGGAATTGGAAAACAGCTTTCATGAGCAGCGGCGCGGCCGCATCGCAAGGACAGTACAGACAGTAGGAAGAGGTCGAAGTGGGCGAATATCAGGGTCCCAAAGTTCAAGTTGGGCAGGAAAGGAGTGGACGGGGGCGAGCTGGAAATGAGATGACGCAGTTCTGCCTGTGGCTTTTGGCCTCTTTCTACCTGACACAAGGGGTGGGTGGCCTCTGGGCAGGCCTAAATAGGGAAGGGATGGGCATTGAATGTGGCATTGATAAGCGCGGGAGGCGAGCCCTTGTCTGCTTCTGGTTGGCTATGCCGGGTTCCTGACTGTGACAATATTCATGCGCGGGCGCGTCTGGCCGGCCAATCGACTGGCCCAGCAGGCAGGTCTGTCCTGGTCGGCAGGGCAGCCTGATCGGGTCGGCAGAAACAAAGGCGAATCGACCGGCAATTTCAAAAATAGGGTAGCGTCTCGCTTTGTTAGCAGGCCGACAGGGGTAGCATGTGCTAACTAGCACGGCGGCAGGGCGGGTAACAACCGCAAACGAGGGCATTCACGCTTTTCCTTGACGCGTGAACCAGTTCCCTTCCCGAGGTTAGCAACGGGCTAACTGGTTTTATTCCCGGGCATTGTGCTTGTGCTTTTCTTGTTCAAATTGAATTGTATGGTTCTACAACGTTTTTAAGTGTCTATTAGTAAAGTATGCTTACTTCTTTTAGATGTGTCCAATGAACGCATTGCTCAAGGTAGACTAATTATTTGCCCCGATGTTGAAGCAATCGGTACCTGAGCTGCCTGCAGCTTGGCAACCACTCGTGAGACTGCAGGGGTCAGATCCTACGCCGACAACAAAGACTCACCGGAAGTATCCGTACTTACTCTGACTCTTACTCTCGTTCTACGAGGGCAACACAACGGAATCCATGTCTTCGTCCCCACACTGCTCCCTCCTGGGCCTGCCCCGGGAGTTGCGTGACCTCATTTACACGACTCTATTCCGGTCATTGGTCTTTGATGCCAATGACCCGCAGCCCGTCGGCGGCGACAGCGGCCCCGACCAGCGCCTGGCCATCCTGTGTGTCAGCCGGCAGATCTATGAGGAGGCCAGCCCCCTAGTGCTGCCCCACGTCCGCATCTGCTGCAGAAGTGCGGTCGACATGGTGCGTGCCCTCATGGCCATGTCGCCAGCGCAGGTGCGGCAGCTCAAGCACCTGCGCGTCGACTACGACATGCTACGCCTGAGCGTACCGCGCCAGGCACTAGAGGAGGAAGCAGATGCAGGTCCACGAGACAGCGTTGACCCGGTGCCCCGCGGCTTCCACGTCGGCGCCCTGCTCGGCCTGTTCCCCGGCCTGGAGCTGGACCTCCTCGAGCTGACGGACGGCATGCACGACGGCCTCGGCGCCTTCGCGAGCTACCACGCCCCGGACGTCATCTCGTCGCTGCTGCGGGCCGCCGGCGGCTACCGCGAGGTCCGCGCCGCCTTCAGGGGCCTCAACTGCTGCTTCCCGGGCTCCTTCGCGGACCACAGCCAGGAGTGCTTCCGCGCCGACGCGCCGGAGGTGCTCGACGCGTGGGCCGGGCTCATCCGGGCGCGGTTCCGCCCGCCCGGCTGGGCCGTCGAGATGTACTTTGACGACGAGGCGCCCGCCGACGAGGGGTACTGGGACAGGCACCGCGAGGCGGGCTTCACGCTGCTTGAGGGCCTTGAGGCGCGGGACGAGGCTGGGAGGGACCAGGGCGCGCAGGGCGGTGATGAGTTGCAGTACTGGAACTTTCGGGCGTGTAGGGGCCACGGGCCCTGTGCTGTGCCCGAGGGCGACGCGGAGGTCCTTGAGTGCGTACAGGCGTACCCAATGAGCTTGGATGAGCTGCGGGAGGCGTCGATGTACCTCCGGGTGCTGGTCAGTGAGGGCGATTGGGCCAGGATCGAACGGCTGCAGGAGGAGTCCGGTATGACTGCCGATGGGCCCTATGACGATGACGGCCTGTGGTAGGAAGTAGGGTGGCAAAAGTTGGAAGAGGGTATGAGTTGCACCAAATGGATCACCTGTGCATGTCTGTTCCTAGCTAGGTAGGTATCTATATTCCACGACATTTCGGCACTGGCAACCGCACACTTGCTTGCCCTCCTCAGGTGGCCACCACCATCAACGCGGTCTCGAAAACCTCTCAGCGCCTGAACGACTGGAGAGGCAGCGTGGCGATGTTAGGAGTTCGCTTGTTGCACCAGTTTCTCTCCCATGACCCCACAACTCGACTCGATTTCTTCCGCGCTACCTATCCCTTTCTGCATATGGGATTGCTAAAACCGATCCACTTAATGTCTGGTTATGATTCTTACCGTATGGTGGTGGAAACATTTGTAGGCTTGGGCTGGGCGCAAATGAACAACAAATACTACGCGTTTCACCGTATGAGGGCCGTTGGCTGGATCTTCTGGGAGAGCCCAGACCGACTTGCGTCCATGGGTCTGGTTCCTGACCACAAGTGGGCAACTTACGGATCCACAGGCTGCGATGGGATCCCCCTAATTCTGGGACCGCAAGACCGATCATTTTCCGTGGAGAAGGCAATAGAGCAAAAAGATTGGGAGTCCATCATCCAAAAATTCGGTTCTCACACCACCCAAAAACAACTCGACCAAGTCAAACATCTCTTCAGGTCAATAGGAAACTTGGACATTGGTGAGGTTACACGGATTGTGGCCGCCTCGCGCCGCCAGGACGTGGGAGCTGCGGGGGCCGAAGACAAGGACCGCAGTGACTGACAAGGACGGAGTCCAGGGGGGAAGAAAACTGGCAGCAACTGTGATGGTTTTCTGGGGAACACTAGCCTATAGCACAGCCTGCTGCGAGATGCCATTTTGTTAGATACCCTTTCATGGCAAACCGTCTTATGCAAGACCCCTCTCTGGGAAGTCTTCTGCATATTAGGTGACTGGGGTTGAGAAAGATAGGGGTCTAGCAATCAAGTAGCGAGGACTGAGCAATGGCAATGCCGCAATTCTTTGATGCAACTGCGCTATCTTGGTAATTGATTTGAAAACGGAGTGGTGACAGATGATGTACTTCTTAAGCGGGACTGCGTGTACACGATATCTTTCTACTGACTCCGGGCGTGCTTAGGGCGTGCTCCCTTTAGATCTTCTCAGACCAGTACTATTTTCACATCTATTAATTAAAATTAAGTCTTTAAATAATCCTGAAACCCTATTATTCTATATATCTTATAGCGCGACTCTAATACCTTAGGCTATCCTTAATAGAATAGCTCCTAATACTTCTTAATTTTATTACTACTTATATTATTATCCTTAATATTAAAATATATTTTATTTTTAAACTAACTTAATATTACTATTCTACTTATAATACTTTTATTTAATAATAAGTGTATAAATATATATATATATAATTTAATAGGGATAAAATATACTTTAAGGCTTTATAAACGCTTTAAAAGCTTATTATTACCGGTATTTATACCTATCTCTATTAGTTATAATATAATTATATTAATATAAACACTTTTATTTATAAAAGATATTTAATTTAAATAGAATAAACTTTATATATTAAACTTAAACTTATTATAAATAATACTTATTAGTAGTATAATATATAACTTAAGGCTAAGAATAAAAACTATACTCTTAGGTAATAACTTCTTTTATATAGTTATAATAGGAGGGAAGGTTATATATAGCTGCGCTAGCTTTAGGTTAAATATAGTGCCCTTAATGTTAACGTTAATAGGCCGTGTGTTTAGCTTGGGTGGGTCCTTACTGTCTAGGTTTATAATTCTTAGGTTGTTGGTAAGAAAGAAGGGCTTGTCTATGATGCTGGTGTTAATGACGAAGTAGTCGAGGGTTGGGGCTGCCGCTGATCCTCCGCCGCCCGGGGCGAAGCGGATGGCGGCTTTCACGGCCTGAACCTGGTCCGACCATCTGGTCACGTCGCAGTGGACGAACTGGACGTTGGTCCTGAGGGCTAATGCTAGGTCCTGGCCTTTGGTGTCGTTGATGTTAGTGATGGTTACGCGAGCGCCGGCTGCGGTACACTGCCTGGCGATCTTCGCGCCGAGCCCCTGGGCCCCGCCTGGGATGAGGACGATGCTGTCTTTAAGAGATGCGGTATCCGGCTGTGCCGTCAGCATAGCGGAGGGGATTGGGCCTGAGAGCTGGATATTCGCCATCGTTAAGATCGTAGGTTACTTCCGAGAATAAACAATTAAGACCTTAAAGATTGCTGGAAATTCTCTGACGGAAAGACAAAGATTGGGCTTGTGGCATTGATGTCGTCGCCGTGGTCTGATATGTGTCCGGGCACTATAGCCCCAACCGTCAGCACTACGTTGCCCTAGAGCTGCGACTGTTGGACATCAGTGGAGACATCCGATTCAACACCAACAATCACCTTTGGACCCAGCCCCAAGAGGACTCGGATTGGAGCGCGTGGTGTGAATTTCATGTTGGTCAAGACAGGATCATCCTCAAATAGGAGCTAATAACGCAGGCCGGCGGCACAGCACGAAGCAGCGGACCCAAGAAAGCACAAGAGAAGCGGTTCAAATGCATCGTTACCAAAATCAGGAATGTCTCATTCCTCGCCAGAAAATGCATTTTGTCCCCCTGCTCTCAGGCGACCCATTTTTAGACATAATTCCCACTGCTCAACCTTCAAGTCGAGCCGATCGCGCACTCCCCGAACCAGACGCCGCCGCAATTAGCCCTTGCTCCTGTTCAAGTCGAACTTCCAGCGCATATTGAATCGCAAGAGCCAGTTCCCTCTCAAGTCTCTGGGTACTAGGCACCACGCCCGCCCTACCGATCCCCGCCATGGACAAGACCACGTCACCTGGGAAGAAATCCCGGACATATGAGGTGGGCGTCGGGCTCGTGATAAGCAGCTTGAGGGGGGTATGCGTTGCTCGTGTCTGTCCCGACAGCTGCAGAAGCGGCCTCAATGCCCGAACGAACCCGTCCCAAAACTCATCGCGCTCATAGTAGAGCGCACCATCCACCAGGCAACAGACCGTGGTCTGAGGGGGTGTAAGGGACACCAGATGTGAGAACAGCCCGGTGAGGGCCTCAATGTCGCCGTTTCGGACGCGGTCTAGCGTCTGAGGGCTCAGGGCGACACCCGGGCTACCACGGAAGCACGCGTGCCCCAAGAGCTGGTAGATGAAGCTCCTGATCAGCGCGCGGCCCCCGGTGCGGACACCACCGTCGTCGTCCTTGTTCATGCCGCAGAAGAACATCAGCGGGATGAAATGGTTGCCGTATTCCGAGAGCTTGTTGGCGAGGGACAGGCAGACGAAGGATAGCCCCGACGCGGAGCCCCCTGGCCTGTAGTTGCCGTGGACAACGAGCTGGGATGATGTCGGGCTTTCGAGCCACTGCCGGAATTGGTATTTTCTCACCAGCTGTTCGGCATGTGCCCGCTCAGGGCCCGTCATGGCAGTCTCGCGGCTCTCTGTGAGACGTTGCACGTCGGGGAGGATGTCGGGCCCGCCGATGCAGCTGGCGATGTGTGGGATGGAGTAAATTACGGGGCCATCTTGGCCCCGGGGCCCCTGTGGAGGTCGCATTTTGGGCGCGACGACACGACCTCGAAGGCGTAGGTAAGTGCGATCCTGAGGCTGTGGCGACAGGATGTAAACTAACGATGGGACGCTCGATTTCTTCGTAGGAAACTTGGGCCAAAGAAAAGGTTGGCCGCAGTTTGAGGAATGACAAGAATGCTGGCTGGTCCTGGGCAAGACGGTTGATGGGTCTTGGTCGTCGATGGCTACGATTCCTGTACTGTGACCGTAAGTAAGGTGATGCAAGGAGATAACAAGAGATTTGCAGACAGTTTTTTTTGTCTTTGTAAAACTCGCTTTCACGAACGTAATACCTAACAGATGCTGGGTTTTATAGTAGCTACGTCGAGGTTGAATCAGTAACAGTGGTGTTGGAGCATCCACTGAGAGTATGAATAATAAGTGACAAGTGGCTGCGAGTGAAACAGTCCACCTTGCAACTTGCCCGAGGGACCGAGGCAGCATGGCATGAGCCAAATTGTATTTGGATCTACCAGAGCAACTGACTAGAATTCAATGCCCAGCAAACAATACCCAGTATGTCTTCAATTGGTCTGGATCCTGGTCTCTTGTTGCCAGGGAAGGACCTGACACGTAGATATCAGACTTCTCAAATACCAAAAATCATATTGGTATCATTTTTCATTACGAAAACGCCTTCTTGCCAAAAAGTTCCTCCGTTCACCATCTGCCCCAACCACAGGTTCCAGCCTGTCACCCACTTAAGTCCAACTAACGCCGTCCAGCCCCACTACGACGGTCCTCGGGCCCTGATGTTGTAATATACCCATGCGCCTGATTAATTTGGTTTGCTAGACCGCGGCCAAGTGATATCATATCGGCTTCCCTGTGCTCCCAACCCGTCTCCTCCAGCCAAACCATCTCCTGTCGCTGAAGCCATGTCGATGTGTATGACGTGAGCGTCGAAGTCGTAAGTAGCAAACGGACAGAGGCTCCCGGCCGGGGGCTGTGGTTGAAAGGGCCCGAAAGCCGCGCAAGCCGCTCCAAGACCTGACCCGCGCCGTTCCAAAGTCCGGCTTGCTCATAGTTATCAACGCCATCCACCAAGCACCAGACGATAGCGTTATCAGGAAGAAGCTGCAAGAGACGGGAGAACAGGTTGCATAAGACATGAATGCTGCCTGAGCGGATGTCCTCGAGTGTCAGACTTGTCATGGGTATGCTTCCATCAGGAACTCTACTGAGAAGCTGGGATATGAGGCTGCGGATCATGGTGACGCCGGCAGACCACTGCGGCTGCCGCGGCTGCATGTTGCTGTACGGTGGCGGTGCATCTTCCTCGTAATAGCCCGGCGCCTGCTGCTGTGGTACATTGTAGTCGCGAGACGGCCCCATGGCGCTGTGCGCAGTCACCATCTGGGAAGCATTGTAGGTGGGCGGACGGCCGGACGGGTCCGTGGTGTGCAGTCCGCAGAAGAAGACCAGCGGGATGCAGCGCGGGTGGTCTTGTGGGAGCGCGCGCCGGAGTGAGGCGCAGAAGATTGACAGCCCGGAGATTCGAGACGCCTGGCTGTAGGCCCCGTGAACAAGCATACGCCGCGAATCCCGGCTTGTTGCCCACTGAAGGAAGCCGGGGTCGTCGGCGAGATGCTGGGCGCGCGCCAGGTCACGCTCGGAGACTACCTCCTGGGGCAGGTTTTCGACTTGATTTAAATCTTCGTTGATCGTACAGTACCCTATGTCCTCAAAAAGAGATTCGGTGGAATAACCGAAAAGTCGTTGTCGCGGTGGGCGTTGAACATGACGAAAAGGGATGTTTGGCCCATGAGACATGTTGAGTACTCTATCACCACCTGGGCTTGCACTTACTCGGCGACTATGTTCTCCGCTTCAGGCAGAACTGCTGGGATTTCAGTTTTACGTTGATTCTCGTAACTGATGGAGGTCCCAAGATGAGCAAGTTTGGTGTCTTCAACAGGTTCGAACTCTGTAAGCCGGGAAGTGTTCAGAGGTGTCGGCTTTTATACCACAAGGATTTTCGGGACCAGATGAAGAACGGTAGTTGCTGGGCACTCAATGTGGCTGTGAGCATTGAATGACATGCACTCGTTGCTGAGTCGGCAGGCCAGTTCCCAGGTGGGTTTGCAAAGAAAATCATTGCAGCCTTGATGTGAAGCCAGTGTCAGTACCGGATCGAAATGCATAGGGTCTCAAGCAACTCACGAGTTGACTTTCTCACATAGACCTTGATCACCACTTTCCCCGTGTTCATTTTATTCTCGTCAGTCCCCATGCTTTGCTTTTCTACCTACGAGAGGAAATACAATGAAATGTAATGGACGTGGAACTGGAGACGGCCCTAGAATGGATATTTGGACGCCTACATCAATGGGTATTTTTATGTGGAAAGCAGCTCAACGGCACTTGACTAACAGCTGTTCTTTCCGAAGTCGCATTTTGTTACGAGCAATTATGATATCCAAACATCTAAGCATTATCTACCGTTACTACTGATTGGTATACTCTGGTCAAATCGCGGGTCACAAACTGTAAGACTGAGGCTCGTCATCGTCCGAGATTAATATTGGTGCTCTCCCCAGAGGTGCTTAGCAGCCTATGCCTTAGCATTATTGAAGCATTGCTTTCCTGCTAATGATAGAAAAATCCAAACCATGATGGCTCGGAATGCATACTGTCTAGACCCTTATTGTTTTACTAAGCAAAAGGGATCGACCCAGATCCAAATTCCGGCTCAAAGACAGTACCAATTAAACAGGGACTTAAGAGAAGGAGTCCATGTAGTATTGAGTATCGGTCAGCTCAAAATTTGGAAGCTGATTGGCAGGACTCTTGTCTCAGCCAATTTTTTAAATGCCGCGCTCTACAAGCATGGTACTGGCAGTTTGGGTAGTAGCTGAGCGCTGAACTCCCCAGGTGGGCGGAAGGGGGAAGCAGGCGGCCCGCGTCCGACGGGATGCGAGGGATACAAACATAAACCCTAGTCAATCTAATTGCTATGAGTATCGAGGAGATGTCGACCGAGTAAGGGATTTTGACAAGTAGCTCTCAGGCTCCAGCCAGGCACTCCTCTCGGCTTGGCACTAGGCAAGTTGCCAGCTTCATTATGAAGTGGGCCTCTCCAATCCAAGGACATGTCAATTGGTGTTGCAAGGGATTGAGGTTAGCATGAGCAGCGTAGCCCGAGAAGGTCGTAAAAAAAGACAAGTTATTTTATTATTTCACTCGCTATGTTAAGCCTCATACCTAGATAGTAGGACTTTCGTAGGCACTTGGCATTGCTAGGCTTTCACTTACATGATTTGTGGTTGTAGTTGGCTTCAAATTCACCCGCATGACCCAAGGCGCTCAATACCCAGCTTTGGGCTAATGAATAGTGTTTCGTTGACCGGATCAGGTCCCAAGAACAAGTCCCAAGGCAGTATGTCGTGCACGCCGCCTCCTCGTAGCCACATCCTCAGATATTCCAACTTGAGCTCACCAAGTCCATATAATATCTGAAGTCTCCTCCATAGAGCTTGTACCGGGTACCATCCCTCATCCACCCGAAAGCCTCCATATCCATACTAAGCAATCAAACTAGAAGTTTAATTTATTTGCCGACGGCCATGATAATCTGTTCCGCCTGCCACTGCCACGGTGGAACGAGATAGTAGATCAACCCATGCGCTACGCATGCAGTAAAAGGTGCAACCCTACCACTAATAGTTAGTAATTCCATCCATGGGCTACTCGGGGCGGGGCTAGATATTTACTGACCAATGAATCCAGTGCCAACTCGGGAATTGACTGCCAACAAAGACGCCAAAGCAGCGTGCCGGGTTCATACTGGCCCCACCGTATCCGAACCTCGTGAAACCGGTGCCGAAGCTGAGCATCCCCAGCCCGAGTCCCACGAGGAACGGGGACAGCGCAGGGCCGACAGTCTCGCGTTGCCGCGGGTCAATGCCCGTGCCGAAGGCAATGAACAGCAGCACAGACGTGGCCATGAACTCCACAACAAAGGTCTCGGCGGGCGGCACGAGCTCGGGAAACAGCCAGCAGCCCCCGACCTTGAAGTCCGAGGTGCCGAAGCTCGCGCGCGCGAGGAGACCGGCCAGTGCACCACCGGCAGTCTGTGCAGCGACGTACAGCACGGCGCGAGGCAGGGAGCAGAGGCGCGCGAGGAAGGTAGCCATGGTGATGGTCGGGTTGAAATGGGCGCCCGTGACCGCGCCGAAGGAGAAGATGAACAGGGTCACGAGGGCGAAGTTGATGAACCCGCCGACGGCGGGGCCTATGAAGGCGGCGTTGTTGAAGTTTCCCAGCCGGGCATCTGGTGGTTGAGGCTGGACGTTGGGCGACATGCTTGCCCAGATCGTGATGTAGACAAGCATCAGCGTCCCCCAGCCCTCCACCAGGGCTGCTTTCCACAGGCCTGGCGTGGCAAATGGTCGCAAATCAAACTGCTGAGATAGAGGTATCCATGGCAAAGCGTCCGGGATGAGTCTGTCTGACTCGGGCTCGATCGCATCATGGCCATCGAGGTATGCTGTTTGATTTCCACCAAGTCGACCGGCGAACGGTGCAATATTGGGGTACGCGCGAATCGTATTGCGCCGTTGTTGGCCCGTGGTAGCTTCCATGATGGTTGATTGAGGACTCCTTAAGGGGGGGTGTGATATCAGGATACTGAGCAGAATGTGAAGCGATCGGAGATGTCAAGTTGTAAAACGGTCTGATTAGTCGCACCCTTAGCCCCACCAATTTGGAATCAACCTGTACCAATCTAGAATGAACCACTAAAAGTTCTTCCTAAGAGCCGGACTGTGCAACCGGATCCCTGTCCCGAGGGTCAAGACAGCGTGGTCGCTAGGCTTTAAGAAATGCAACGCCCAAAGCCTGCAGGTATGGCGAGCTAGAAGAAAGTGTTAGGTTGCCCGTGTGCTGCTTGGGGAGGAGCCGTTAACCCTCCTCGAGGCATAGCTTAACGGGACTTAGCTTGGTTTTAGGCAGATACTAGTATAAACTGTGTTCAAGGACGAAGATTGCAAGTGCCTCGTTTTGTGCATATAAAAGCTTAGATGGGAGTTTATCATAGCCTACATACGAATTTGGGTAATCCAGTGGCTAAGGATGGACGGTTCTATACATGTCCAATCTCGACCTCAACCTAGGGCGGTTCTATCCCGTACGTAATGAGGCCTAGCAGTGGGCATGGCTTGTGTTCCAAAGTTGTTGAACGCAATGGACTCTTGTCATCCGATGACAATTATGGTTCAACCTCCAGAAACTCACGATCGGGTGACTGCCTCTCGGTATCATGAGGGAGACCCGCGGATATCCCGGAATAGGCCGAACAGAGGGTTATCCGCCTCTGCCATCGTTTGACAGAGTTCAGCTCTGGATACTTTCCTTCTTCCCTTCGGATTTCACTTTCCTTGCCGATTGGTGCCTCATGTATATTTGCTAAGTGCAGCCTGACTGCCCATTCAGTCGCGAAATGCTCAGCCGAGCAGAAATATTGCGAGGCTATCCTGTCTTATATGTTAAGCCAACAATGTCTAGCAATCTAGAAGAACGGTGTCGACTGCATTACGGTCTGCACCTGTAAGAACGGCAGGCAAATGACGGTCTTGATCAACTAGGGCTTTTTTTATCATTCTCCCGTCCCTAAAGACCGACAAATTCCAGACATTGAAAGACGTCACCGTGATCAAGTACAAAGAGGCTGGAAGTCAATTACCGTATAAGGTCCTCTAGCCAAACGATCACGTCCTAGGCCCAAGTGATTTGAACGGGGGTTGTCACTCCGAAAGGCTAATACAGGGGTCTCTGTAAGAGGGATAATGATTAGCTCTCGTCGAGCGGCACATAAACATTGAAACTTTGCAACATGTTCCAAGGTCAATGTACGCTCAACGACTGAGGAATGATCTGATAATCGAGAGAAACCTTTCAGAGGCCAAGTTTGAGGACTAGCATGCATCGTAGGCATTGTGGCTTTCGCGACATTTTTACAAGTGGCAAGTACTCTTGCTATGCTTGTGATACAGCGTCGGCCTCAACTCTAGAGGTCATGTCTTCCAGGTTAGAGCTCTTAGAACTCCCCGCAGACCCAATTTGCTGGGATTACAGATATTACGTGCCCATGTTCAAATGATGTCTACTCTCGGGTGATGTAGCTAATCAGAGTACGTTACTTCTCAATCCCCACTAACGATTATGTGATGTTATGGAGCTCCAAGACTTGGTACAACCCTTAGGCTCATTTGTAAGGCCAGTCCTGCATGGATTGTACGACATAGGATCATCAGATGTACGCCAAGAGTAAGACCTAATGCAGTGGAAATATCCGGAAACATCCAGACGTTCAGTTATAATAAAAGTATGTACAGGGTACGCTGCGATCCAAAACAAATAAATCGTCGCTCTCAGTACCTGCATTGACCATAATTACTATACGATCAGGGGGCGAGCAGCTCCAGAACACATCCGAGGCTTCAATGACATCCTCTTTGCAAGAGTAAACGCGATTCTAAAGTCATCTATCTCTTTTCTTCGTCACCAATCTCCCACAATCATTCGAGAATATGTGCCTTGTGAGGGCACTCGCAACTGGGGCGTCCGTCATCTTCAGCCTGGTGGATGCTCTTCCCAGTCGCGCCCATTCATTCGCAAGGAGACAGATATCCGACCTTCGAGATGAATATGATTTCGTCATTATCGGCGGCGGAACTGCCGGTTTGACTGTTGCCCATCGAGTTTCAGCTGCTTTGCCTGGGAGTGAGTGTGAACCAGTTCATTATCTTGGCTTCATCTCGAAACTTCTCGGATCAGAGGCCTTTACTAAAACAGGTCAAACAGAGACTGTCCTAGTCATTGAGTACGGCAAGATTGAAGGCACTGTTGGTCACTTCGACCCGCCAGAGGATGGCCGCGGTGCCAGCCGACTCGTCATTAACTCACCTCCTGTCGCCAGCGTCAACAACCGTGCTGCCACCGTCATACTGGGGTTGACTGTCGGAGGAGGATCGGCCATCAACGGCCAGGTCCTGGATCGTGGATCAAAGTACGACTATGACGAGTGGGCCAGGCTCGGGAGCCCCCAGTTTGACGATGCTGCTGACAGCTGGGACTGGGAGCATTTTGGCCCCAGTTTCGAGAAGGTGAGTCTGCCAGATGAAGCCGTGACAGTTCCCACGATACTTGGTGACAAAATATCAGTCTCTCTTCCTCACCGAGCCAAGCGATGATCTTGTCGACGAGTACGGATACACCTGGGATTCTTCCTTTTACAAGGGCGACTCGATCGAGGCCTCATTCCCACCATTTCAATGGCCCGTGCAGCGTGAGTGAAGTCCACCCAAGACACATATCCACATACATATCGTCCGCACTGCAAACGACGCTGAGACGTTGCTCAGACATCGGCCGAGATGCGTACGAAGAGATTGGCGTTCCCCAACCCAAGACATGTGACGGCGGTGACAAGCACGGCCTCTGCTGGGTTCCCACAGCCCAAAACTCGCAGACCGTCCAACGCTCCCATGCCGGTGATGGGCACTACGCGCGCGTCGCCCACTCCCTGCCCAACCTCGACCTCCTTGTTAAGCACAAGGTAACTCGTCTAGTCACTGACAAGGCAGAAACAGTCCCCGGCGTTGAGGTCCGCGCTTTGTCCGGCGGTGATGTGAAGACCATCCGCCCGAGGCGGGAGGTCATCCTCTCAGCTGGCGCGATTCACACTCCACAGATCCTCCAGCGAAGTGGCATTGCTTCTGCCAAGTACCTCCAATCTGAGGGAATCAAAGTTGTCGAGGATCTTCCTGGTGTAGGCCAGAACTTTCAGGATCACTGTGGCGTGCCAATTGTTTTCAATTACGATTCTCCGTCACCCATGGAGTCTGACATGACCACAAACGAGACCTTCGCTGCTGAGGCCGTCGCCCAGTTTCGTGAGCGTCCCGCGCGTGGTCCATACACCCTTGGGATGGCCAACAGTATTGCCTACCAGCCGCTCCGAGATGTGACTCCTAAATGGGAGAATATCGTCGCCGACATTCGAGCGCAGATCGAAGATCGCTCTGCTCTGCAGTATTTACCATCGACCGCCGCAGACACCGTGCAGAACGGCTACCTCGCCCAGCTCGAGATCCTTGCTCAAGCTCTAGAGCACCCTGAGCACCCGATACTGGAGATGCCATTCGCCACTGGTCCTGAGACCGCCTTCCTCCTGAAGCCTCTCAGCCGCGGTTCAGTCGTCCTGAATACTTCCGACCACGATGCTACACCGATCGTCAACTACGCCACAGGGGCCAACCCCATCGACCTCGACATTATGGCTACCTACGTTGACTATTTCCGTCGGCTCTACTCCACAAGCACTTGGCAGGAACGAAATGCCGTTGAGGTGGCTCCAGGTGCTAATGTCACAGAGCACGATGCTCTGGTTGAATTTGTCAGGGACACTGTCATTCAGTCCTTAATGCATCCTTGTTGCACAGCGGCTATGCTCCCGCGAGAGAAGGGCGGTGTTGTTGACTCCAGTCTGTCGGTGTATGGTATCTCTGGTCTTCGTGTCGCTGATTGCTCTATCATTCCAACGTTGCCAGCTGCTCACACAACGACGCCGGCATATGCAATCGGTGAGAAGGTGAATCTTGACCCTCAAACCTTTTACTTATCTTCTAAGGAAAGGATTGCTGCTAATAGACTGTGCAGGCTGCTGAGATTATCATCAAAAAGTGGGAGTCCGCTACGGAAAAGGCTTGATGCGTAGCATAGCAATACCTACATAACATTGGACTGTAGCTCAATTACCGTGAACACCTTCTTCAGACCCAGATTAAGTGGCCTCAACCACATTAAAGAGCCTTCTGACGCGGAGAAGTTCAACCGGCGCTGCTAGAATGACCACATGCATGTCCTTCTTGTGCATTTAGAATATATATTCTCACAGCAAAATATCTACTGCCAATTCAGTCACAGCACGCATTGAGAGATGAACAGAAATATGATATCCTAATTCTATGCTATCACAGGCTGTACCTAAACAAGGGGCTATTGTTACCCATCTTTTCTAGCTTCTCGTCGGTATATTCGGCCCGGACTTCATCCTCGGATTTGCGGGCGCGGCGCTTGTTGATGGTCAAGTAACACAGCTCCAGCAGCGAGGCGGAAACCACGCCAGCCGCCACGAAACCCAGACACGCGCCCCAGCCCGTCGGGTACCGGGGCTTCTCATCATCGCGGAAGATGAAGCTTCCCACTATACCACCCAGGTTTCCCAAGGTGATCATAAAAGCGATACCCATGGCACGCTTCTCCTGGCCAGCGAGGTTGTTCAGGGTCCACGTGTTGCCGCCTGGGACGATGGGATAGCTGGCGATGGTCGAGATGTTGACAAATGTGTAGCAGAGCGCCACGTTGTTCCGAATGTCAGCGGCGTAGACGAAAAGTACAGCGTAGGATATACACAGCAACATCTGAGGCCCGCAGATGAACGGGTAGCGCCAGCGGAGCTTATCGGCGAGCATAGACGAGAACACGGCCGAGAAGCCTCCTAGGAAGTATGGCGGCACCGTGAGGAGTTGTGCCTGGTTGTTGGTGAAGCCCATGTTGCGGATGATCTGAGGCAAGGTGAACTTGAGGGCGTAGGTCGGTACGGAGCTCGACATGAATATCAACGCTTGGGGATAGAGTTGCCACTCCTTGACGACGCTTAGGAAAGTCCTATTGTGATCACACCGAGTCGTTAGCCTGTAAGTTCTCTAGGGAGGATCGTGTACCAGCCCAGATGGCTGGACTAGGAAGACCAGTATGAAGCCCAATGAAGCTGTCGCCACACATACCCCCAATGGCCCTTGGGCTTTTTCTCAGGCACTGCCACTTGGGCACTTGACTCCTTGCTCTTTTTGCTCCCACGATACCTCGCATGTGTCAAGTTCAAGAATCGTCGCTCGCGATCTGTAAGCCAGCCGGAGAGGTCGGGGGAGTCGGGGAGGACGAAGTAGCAAATCAGACCTCCGAGGACGGTCATGACTCCTTCCTACAAAGATGAGAACAAAATGTTAGCAACTTGGGCTGAGATCTTGAAGTTCTCCTGCGGCACGCGAAGACAACTGTTGGGATGGGTTTCAGGGGAGGACGCGTCCACGAACAAGTATGAAAATCCACTGCCATCCTAACAGGCCGCCCAAGCCTCGCATCTGTGCAATGCCAGCCGCGAGTAGCCCTGAGAATGCACCGGACATAGCAGCCGCACCGTACATCAGGGCGACTCTGAACTGTGTTCGATGTGGAGGGTACCACTGGCTGAGGATGTACATTGCACCTGGAAAGAAACCTGCTCTGGAAGATGTCGAGGCATGATTAGCTAGAGCTTCAACTTTGGATGAAAATCACGGAAAAAGAACGCGTGGAAAGGCAATTGGCTGAACTCACTCGGGAATTCCCAACAGGAACCTTGCAGCCACAAAGCCGCCGAAGGATTGCGCGAACCCGGAGAACGTCATGATGAGCCCCTGGCACACCAGCCCCATTAGACAATGTGCAGAGAGTATTCATTTGGGGCAACAAGAAGCGTGTGTCTATCCATACCCATGCAGTCACGATGATGGCCAGCCACATGGATGGTCTGGTATTGAAGTATTTCACCAGAACCAGGTTGCTGGGCACCTCGCAGATGATGTACGAGATGAAGAAAACCATAGAGGCAACATTGTAGTCGCTCCCAGACATGTCAAGACTAGTCTCGAGACCTTCGATCTTGGCGTTGCCGATATTTGCCCTGTGTGTTTTCCGACACCAGTCAGTCTCACGAAGTGTCAAGAGACAGTGTTTGAGTTGGGGCTCGAATTGTTGAGATTCTGTCTCCGTTGCATTGATTTCTATGGAGGAGGAGCAGTCCTCATGTGTGACGGGACAGAGTGTGTTACGAACCTGTCAAGATTGGCGAAGAGATACAGAAGCATCAGCATGGGAACGATGTGGAAATCGACCTTGCGGAAGATTCGATTCTGCTCCTTGGCCGAAAACCCGTCCAGAAAAATTTCATCTTCGCTGGCGGTGCCGTCGATAAACGTTGACTCGAGTTGACGCACTGAGGGCGTGCCCTCCTTCAGAGAGGACACGTCCTCAAGCTCCACCTTGCCGTCCCGCGACATGATCGCTAACAGTGTCGATGGCGAATGCAACGACTCCGATGGGCAGGGCAAAGTAGAACAAGGTAATATCAGAATGAAACAAAAACAGATCAGAGGGCTGTGTAATGGCTCCTAATGAAACACCAAGTCAGAGAAAGAATATCTCACAGGAGGCTTCACGCATATATAAGCCTCGGACAGCAGGTCGAGCCCGCACTCAAACCTTGTTCAGCCGTAGAAGCACTTTTCCGCCAGGACCATCGGAGTTCAATGTCCTCAGACGCTGTCCACGTAGCCTCGACGGCAGGAGGTAGCATCATTGATGGATCAGGGTAGGGGGTACCCATGTCCCGGGCAGCGCGGGGTTGATCCTGGCATCCCCAGGTTTCCCCAGACCGCCGGCAAGACAGGATGCTGATCGGATATGGAAGTCCGTTTGGGGTAATGGCTGACTAGATCGCATAATCGTGGTCATTTGACGCGCAAACTGCTTTGATGGTTCGGAGAACCTGACAGTGAAAATAAAATTGCCTCAAGGTGCAGCCGCTGAGCCGAGCTAGGACAAGGACCTGGGGATGAGGTGAACCACATAGGTACGTAAGTGGTTACGACGACAGCATCATGCTACTTCGTGACAGCTGGGTACGACACGACGTTGCGGTTGATGGAGCAGAGATGTGCACATGTAGGAATGGGGAGTGGTGTCGTTGCAGTATCTAGGTAGCGTGGAACGATCTATATACGACCTCAGGATGTAACTTGACGATATTGTTGGGTTTTAATTTCAGTGTGGTGATGCAAATCAACGACACACAAATCTTCGAATACACCTATACATAGAACACTGCCGTCCAAAGGTCCAAAAAGTCTCTACCGGTAATATAAATATCCCCTATCGTGTCTCATGCCACATTGAAAGCTGCCATGCAGCTGAAAGAAAGAGTAACCAGACGCGCCGAGTCCCAACCTAACTAAGCTAATTATGTATCTCAGGGAGATTGAACAGATTCCAGTACTCGTCAAAGTCCAGCGTCTGCGTTGCTCCCACCGACTTATTCTTGGTCTCTGCGAGGCTGAACCCGTTGCCCAGGTAGGCAAAGCGGTTCTGTGATGGCGCGCCGGGGAGCCTCTTCAGGGTGAAGTCCTCCCATCTTGGGTTCTTGATGGCCTCCATGAAGTGGAAGCTGGTCCCACCGTAGATGGCGACGACCGGCCCGTCAACAGTGCCCCGCTTGTACCAGCTGCGGCAGCCACGCGTCCATACTGTTCGTTCCAGGTACTGCTGCATGTGCTGGTTGTACTCCTCGTTGACGTCCGACCCGACCTCGAATGAGTGGTAGCCCTCCGTCTGCAGCTTGTTGAGCCACTTGTAGACATACATGCCAACAGCCTGGATGCCAAGGACTAAGGATCCATTGGAGATGGGCGAGTTCGGGCCGATGAAAGCTGCCGGGAATGTCAGTTGTATTCAGAGACAGAGAATGAGTATTTGACTGAGGAACTCCCGGTCGGGTCTTCGACTTACTGAAGTAGTTCGGCATGTCAGGAACGCAAATTCCAAAGTAAGCCTTGGGGCGATCCAACGTCCACTTTTCGCGGAGGTCGACTCCATTCCTGCCGATAATCGGGAACGCAGGCTTGAACGTCGTATCGAATCCCGTTGCACAGACAATGACATCGTACTCGGCCTCCTCGCCGGTCTTGAACTTGATGCCCTTCGGCGTCACGGTCTGGATGCTGTCCCAGACCATCTCAACATTGTCCTGCAGGAGGGACTCGAGGAAACCGGGACCCGGCGTCTGGCGGCGACAGCCGACAGGGAACGTGGGGAGCAGCATCTCCGCAGCCCGCTTGCCCTTGGCGCTGTTGCCCAGTCGCTCCGTCATCGACTTCCGGAACACCTCCTGTGCCTTGAGCTGGGTGTCCGAGTCGGCCATGGCTCGCTGGAAGTTCTGTATCCGACGGTCCATGATAGCAATGCGGTATTGGCGCAGGGTTTCCGGGTCCTGGAATTCTTTCATCGTCTTCTCGGTGAAGTTGTAGTCGTCGTCCATCTCCGGGTCATTGTCAGTCGGCTCGTTGATACCGGGAGCGGGGCTGATCCATGTCTGTGTACGGACGTGGACATCCATACTCTTGCAGACTATCTCGCCTCTTTAGTGACTTCTAAACTATATATAGCTCATGATCAGGGGCAGTCTTACCCTTTGAGAGTTGAGGCACAATCTGGATGCCAGAGGAGCCGATGCCGATGACAGCGACGCGCTTGTCTGTGAAGTCGTATGTGTCATCCCACTTCGCCGAGTGGCACAATTTTCCCTCAAAGCTGTGCAGGCCCTCGATTGATGGCCACTTCCAGTTGCTATAGACAGGTCAGATCCCGCGCATTTGCTTTTGACGCATTTGAACTTACTTCAAGACGCCACCAGCGTTGATGAACACATCGGCCTCGTCTGAGAACTCTACTCCATCACTGCCCTTCACCTTGAGCTGCCACTTCCCTTTGGCCTCATCCCAAATGGCGGATGTTATGGAATGCTTCAGTTTGATGAACTTTTCACACTCATACTTCTTCTCGACGTCTTTCATGTAGGCGAAGATCTGGCGAGACGTGGCATAGTAGCCCGGCCATTCCGGGTTAGGGCAAAAGCTGTAGGCGTAGTTGTGCCTGTGGTTGCTTGTGAGTGGCATTCATATGCCTAGATGAGGGGAATCACTTACGCGGGAATATCACATCGACACCCGGGGTACCTGTTCTCGAGCCATGTTCCTCCGATATCCTCGTTCCTCTCGTAGATCTGAAGGGTGGCATTTGAGTCTCGCATGCGCTCGTTGAAGATTATGGCCATCATCAAGCCGCTGTAGCCGGCCCCCATGCACACGACCCTGAGGGGCCGGCGCGTGCCGATAGGCTCTTCAACGATTTTGTAATCTGGGTTGACTGTGGGTATTGTCTGATGACCTCCCTTCACCTTCACCTTGGTTGGCTCGAAGGCCTCAACCACAGGCTCCATGGGTATCGCAGACGGTGCCATTGTGAAGTCTCAAGAGACAGTTGTGTTATAGGATGGCGTAACGTTATCGAGGAAATGAAGGTTTGATGTGTAAAGGGGTATCAAGCTGTTAGAGTTTGGAGTTTGGCAGGTCGGTACGAAGTTGTTGAAGGCTTCCCATAGCTGGTTATTAAACACCCTTGGTCTTCTCGATAGTCAGCTTCTCCAACATCATGCCCCTGCATCCAGGCCGTGGTGAGCGATGTAGTGCGGACATCAATGTCCGAACGCTACGCCACACCCCTGTCCAGAATCATGCTCCCGGATCTGTCTCCGGAACTGTATGGGACCGCAAAATGGGCTTCTCTCCAATCAGTCATTGGCACGGACATTGCATTATTGAGCACATGTCAAGAGTTGTCGTGTCGGTGGATATATCTTGATGCGCCGTATCTCTCGGCGGTAAAACACTACACGTGCCCCGACTACACACCGCTGCACTCACTGAACCGTGGCCAAGTCTCTCCCTGCACACCAATAACAATGCCGACACCGGGGCTCCTGATGCGTCTGGTTCAGCCGCTGCAAGGCCAGACACCAAGCAATGAAGCATTGTCACCATCCAACGTCAGCCCGAATATTGATGCCATTTATCGTCTGACACGAACCGATGATAAATCGCCAGAGTACAACACTACTTATTTCCTGAACGACATCACGCCATTAGTCGAAGATGAATCCTTCTACAAGAAAGACCAGGACAAATTCAAGACGAGCCTTGAATCTATAACCTGGGTGCTCGTCTCATACATAAATGGACACCCATTCACGCATTCCAGCGTGCCCCCAAGCCCTCCCCCACTGGGAACAGAGATAGTGATGAACGGTTCCTCCCCGAAGCCTGAGTACGAAGCAGACTACCACAACTGGTACGACCAGGAGCATGTCGGGAAGCTGGGAGCCGTACCCGGGTGGCAGCTGATGCGCCGCTACAAATTTGAGAAGGTTTATGGGGAGGTCGAGACGGCGAGCTTCTATGGAGTCAACTTCTATGACGAGAAGAACGGCCTGGGAGGGCCGGAGTGGAAGGCCAGTGCCACCGATTGGACTTTGAGGATCCGGCAGCAGGCCGCGAAGCCAAACGTCAGGCGCACCTGGAAGTTAGTGGGAATTGATGACGTTTGAGCGTTCGTGAATTCGGGTCGTGCTGCAATCGATGGATGTTCACCCTCCCGTGAATTCTGCGAGTGGCTGTGAAAATAGTCCATAGAGCATATCATTCGTGATTGTCTGTTCCTGGTCGTCGAGTAAATCAAGAAATCCTTGTGGTGAAGGCTCAAACACTGTAAACGGGTAGCCAACACCACAAGGCGTTTGGCCACCCAGAGGTTCTTGTGCAGCAGAAGGGTCAGATGCAAACATCTGCATCATCGACGCCAGTGCACGTTCATTTTCGGGAAGCTGCTGCGAATGAGCGAGGTCTACCTCCCCGAGCTCGTTGAGCATATCTCGGATGATGGAGACAGGCTTTCTCAAGCCAAAGTTGCAGCCACGTTGTAGTTCAGAGAGTGCGGTGAGGAAGAAGGCGATGGGACCCTTGAATCTCTCGGGCTCGGCTTTGCTACGACGGAGCATTACCACGACCGCTGAATACACGGCGTATGAGAGGAGAAAAGGAGCCCGCCGCAATGTGAACGTGTCTCGGTAGGCGCCGACGAGTCTCCAGATGGCGAGAGCACTGTCGGCACAACTCTCTTCGTTACGCTTTTTGTTGGATTCGCTGATGCCCTCTTGAAGGTAGCCACCGTCTAGGAAAGGGCGCTGCAGCAGGATATTGAGTACATGATAAGTGGTACTAGAGAACAACTTAGCCGATCTGGCCCACATTGAAGACGGCTCATCTACTTACTGTGGCGTGATTTGATGTGGTGGTGGGACATCGTCCCCCTTCGTCGGGTCAAATCTCAAGTGAGATGGCAGATTAGCTTGCCACGTTTTCAAGTCATCCTCGACTTCACTCTTGATGGCCCACAGGTTCCCGTGGCCCTGTCTCACACAGTCGATGCTGTAAAAGGTCTGGGTGATCCGTGATGCAATAAGCGCAAGCTTGACGAGAGCAGTGAAAGATGACAGGGCGTAGGCTGGATGCGTTCTGTAACCCAAGAGAAGCATATTCGCCTCGGACGATTGAGACCGGTCGATAAGTGGCGTCCACTCTTCCAACTCCTCGTACTTGTCCAGGAAGACCAGGGGTACTCTGCCCTCGTTTGGACGCATTGTCATCTGGCGACCAAGATAAAGGCACTGCGTTGCATCGGTGATCAGTGCTCCCCAGTAGATACGCCTCCGCCATTCACGTTCGATGTCGACCTCGAGGTCGTGGCCACGGTGCTGCACCTGAGTGTCCATGGTAAGGTGGCATCCCAGGTCGATGATCATCCTATATGCAGTGCCACAGAGGGTCCAGCCCGCGGATTGGCGGCCCTGAGATACCAACGCGGCGCCGACCAGGAGCAGCGCAGCCGCTGAAGGGATGCTTGGGTTTACGATCTCGTCCACCAACAACGTCCGAAACCTATGGTAGAACCTGTCGCCAGCGCTCTGGGTATCCGTCGGGGTTGTCCTCAGGCACTCTCTGTCGCTATATAAACAGCTGGTATAGTACATGGCATTCAGAAGCAGCTTGTTGCACCATCTCCCGCCACTCGCCAGGGAATCCATGATAGCAGGGCGATATGTCAGGAGATATGCGTAGTGCTGGCGATTCCAATGCAGGTCGAGCAGATGTCTAGCAAGCTCGACATCAACACCGTCCAGATCCATCGTGGCTGGGGGATGGCGATAGTGCAGCCCCTCTCGCTGCCGTTGAATGGCGGCGTAGCTCATGAGACGGGCCTTGGACTCTGCATTCCGAAGTTGTTGATCTGGCTTTGGGGCAGCTGGTGATTTCTCAGCCACCTTGTTGCCGTGATGAAGAAGGCTGCTCGCTCCGTGAACAGAGACACCGCCATCCTGTGCTACGGCAAGTCCCGCAATCCTTGCCTCCCAGGGAGAAAGGGCTGAGCGCACTGGTGTTGCCGGGCCCTCTTCGAGATCGTTATTTGGCTCGTTATTCGGTGGTCCTGCTGGTGCATTCGGCTGGGCATCACCCATATTGCTAGCCCCTTCCCCGGCCGACGCCCTTTGACCAAGGTCAGTGATTCCCCCAATGGCATCGCTGGTTTGGTCGTATGTGCCCGACTGAAGCGGAAATCGAGAGTGACGGACGGATGAGGCATCGACAGATTGTGGTGAAAGGGGCTGGGCATTGTCCACACCAAGACAAGGGTCGACTGGGGCCTCAGGCAAGGTGACACTGGCAGCGTGTGGCGTTCTTTGAGGAGCCACAGAAGCATAATGAGTAGTGGTGGCTTGTATGTGCTGCCAGATACCGTCGATGCGCTGCTCGAGCTCGGCAAGTCGGTCGTGAGATGGCCGGGTCAAGCGGCGCGTATCCTGAGGGTAGACACACTCGATACCACTTGACAGGCATGATGAGCAGGTTTGTCCACCGGTACATTTCGTTTTCTTGATGCGACAGTGGGTGCAGGTCTTGCACGTTGGCTCGCTGGTCTGCGAAGAATCATCTCTGGGGCGCTTGTTCCCTGGCCGGGCCCTGCCAGTGCTCGTAGCTGGCTGCCGTGTCCGTTTCAAAGGGTTTGAAGATGCAGATGGCGCCGTAGCTTCTTCCATTATCGCGCCTCTATCATGATGACCTTACGATGATCGTATGTTTCGAGATCACCGGCAGCTCATGTCGCCTACGGCTGACAGCTACTGGACTTGGCATCCCCCCTTCTCCACGATGCCTTCCCCAGACCCCATCCGAGGCTGCCCCGGGTTGTCCCCGCATTCCTGGAAATGCATTCTTCCACTCCACCAGGACATCACCCGGACATTGGTGTCCGGTACTTTTTGGCCCCACTCAACCCCGCGGACGGTGCCAATGATTACCCTAGGCTGAGACACGGACATTTGTTGCGGCTGGGATTATTATCACCGAGGGAGCAATGCGGCTATCGGCTAAAAGACTGTGAAAGGACCGGTGAAGAGAAAGTGTAATCGCATGTGCATGAAGTACTGACTCAAACACCCAGAATTCCTGCAGGCAGGCTCCGCAAAGATTATAACACGACTTATTCGTTCAGATAGGGACTCTGTTCTCCTACGCAGACTCGCACGACACATAGTTTCTAGTCATGCTAGCACGAAAGTCCCTTCCAAAGCTCAGCGAGCTCCCCCTTGACCCAAACCACCCGCCGAATTCAGCATGGGGCCTCTGGGGCAAGGGGGACAAGTTGGGGTCCTTGAACTATCTCACCGACGAGGCAGTCCTCAATGCTGTGAAGACAGAGGTCAAGAACGGACAGAGGGTTGGGCTCGAGTAAGTTCAGCCGAAGGAAAATTATTCCAACAAGTGCGTGAAATTGATCATGGCTGGTTTTCTACAGCCTACCACTGGACTTCTTCAACCCTCCCCTGTTAGGTAGGGTTGGTCTTTCTCAAAATGTAATAAGAAAAGACCCAATGGTCGTGAACGACGATGTGGTAAGTTTGGACTGGATTTACCTCTTCTGAACTTGAGAAGATAGACGAGATCAATCACTCACAGCCCTGCTCAGATTACGTTCAACACACAGTGCAGTTCCCAATGGGACAGCACACGGCACTTCGCGTATCAGAAGGAAAAGAAATTCTATAATGGGTGAGCAGCGGGCTTCAAATCGATACCTAGGCAGCGGGCTTGAAAAAGATATTAATCAAGGCACAGTATCACACAGGATGAAATTCACGAACATGTTTCAACGGACCAAAACAGCCTTCAACGTGAGCATTGGCCCATTCCTTGTGAAGTTTGGATTGTTTTATTGCACCATTGTGCTAATAATTGTTCTATAGCCTGGACTGCAAGAGGTGTCGCTGGACGTGGCGTCTTGATCGACTATGCATCATGGGCCAAAGAGAAAAATATCTCATACGAGAAATTTGCGAAGTGCGGTATATCCTTGGAAGACGTCAAGGCTATCGCTCAGGCGCAGAAACTAGAGTTCCAAAAAGGCGACGTCCTGTTTCTCAGAACAGGGTACGTGGAGGCGTACAGGGGCCTGAGTCCAGACAGGAGAAAGGAGGTCGCGGCGCTGAAGGAGTGGATCGGTCTAGCCCAGGGTCGCGAGACAACCGAGTGGCTGTGGGACCACCAGTTCGCCGCGGTGGCCTCTGACTCACCTGGATTCGAATGTCGACGTAAGTTCTCATGTCTGCCCGACTCTTCGATTCATTCAAGCTGATTATGGTCTTCGAACACGACATAGCTCCCGTTGATCCTGCGTGGCACTTACACCCGATTCTGCTGGCCGGTTGGGGGACGCCAATAGGGGAGCTTTTCGATTTAGATACGTTGGCTGAGCTTTGTGCCCAGCGCCAGAGCTGGTCCTTCTTTTTCACCAGCGCTCCTTTGAACTATACTGGCGCTGTAGCGTCACCGCCCAATGCGATTGCGATCTTATAGTTTAGCGAAGGATTTTTCACGCATCTGAGTGTGGCGCCCGGGGATCTATGATGATCCTACGTCCCAAGATGCTGGACGACGAATCAAATCATTGCTACCGTACGCACTGAAACACAAGTCAACTTTTAATACGATTAAGCATCTCGAATACGCAGATGAAATTCGCGATGAGTAATTGTGAATGAGTATCTGCTAGTGTAGTTGTCTAGGTGTGGAACATGTAATCGTGAGTACAATCCCCGACAATCCCCGGACATCAATTTCCCCAACCTGGATATAAGATTACCGAGGCAGACTGCGATGCTAGGTCCAACCAACACCTAGCCATTGTGTCCTAGCAATACATTTGTAATTGTTAAACGCTGCTATGGATTTCAGTCAATTTGCTACTCCAACTCCTGAATGGCTCGAGTATGCTCGAACGCATCCCCCACCATCATCGGCCGCACCATCCATATCGCCACATGACAATGAGTCTTTGACAAAGCTGCGCAATGCCTCAAATCTCGATCGTTCCAAATGGTCGGCTCAAAAGCTCATCGAGCATGATCTAGTGGGACAATTGTAAATAAGCCCCAAGTCTATTCCCCTTGTCTTAAAACTACCTAGCTGCATAAGCTAATTTCTGGACTCACAGCATTACTCGTGATCATTTGGTCCCAACCCAGGATGGCAACTCTATTCCACTGCGATTTTACTACCCCAAGTCAAAGTTTTCACAGTCGTCAAATGAAGACGGTGGACCAGTGAGCGGGGCTTGTTGCTCAGCTTTCATCCACATTCACGGCGGCGGGTTCCTCAACGGCTCGCTCGACACAGAGACCTACATCTGCGCGGCTATTGCAGTCAAGCTGGGCATCGTCGTCGCGCACCCGGAGTACCGCCATACGAATGATGTTTCCTTCCCAGTGCCACACGACGATGTCTGGGATGCATTCCAGTGGATTCACAGCCACTGCTCAGATATTGGCATAGACCCTTCGAACATGGTGGTTGGGGGACAATCTGCGGGCAGCGGAATGGCAGCATCGCTGGTGCAACGTGAAGTAAATGGAGCACGCCAGGAGGGCAGGTCATCACGGATCAAGGGACAGGTGCTGACGATCCCGTGGCTGGCCCACCCACTTGCCTTTGACAAGTCCCGGTTTCTCGACGAGTCTGTCATGTCTACCACACAGTGCGCCAACGCTGTCGGGCTGTCCACTGAGAAGCTGAGGTGGTTTGCCAGTCTTCTCGGGGCCGAAGATGTTTTCTCGGAGAAATTGAACCCTGGCTTGAAACAGGGCTCTGCTCTAGAGGGTATTCCAAAAGCAGCATTTCTCGTAGCTGGCGGAGATCCGCTGAGAGACCAAGGACTGCTATATGCGAAGAACCTGGAGGATGCTGGGTGAGTGATTCTACCGAGTTTGCCCTTTGAAAGCCCAGCTGCTGACTACATGAATAGTATCCCAACTAATGTTTGGGTGTTTGCTTCAATGCCCCACACTTTCCGCAGCTTGAATGGGTTGAAGTCGGCGGATCGTTTCATGCTCCGACTTTTCCAGGCTATTGCATGGGCTCTCGATGGTTCAATTGGTCGAGAGTTTGCAGGGAAATGGGCGATTGGGTAACTTGATTCTCTATACATAAGAGCACAGGGCTTCATAACGGTAGATTTAGAGTTGTAACTAGTGTTGACCATCCATCAATCAATCCTTGGGATTTCGCGCTTCTCGCTTCGGAATTTCACCCCCAGCCTCTCTGCCAAGTCCAACAAGACGTCATATAGTTCCTGAAGGTCTTCTCTCGTCGCGCCATTGTACAGCGCACCCTTCATATGATGCCGAAGCTGATTCTGGCAGTCGATTCCAATGAGAGCAGATATTACCACATATTCTGTCTCCAAATCATTCAGTATGCCGTCGAACGAGAAGACTCTACCATACAGGAGATCTATTGTTCGAGCAGCTGTCAGCACACGTTGGATGTCTTCGCAAATCCAGAAATGGGTCCAACTTACCCCGAACAACAAATGCATAGTCTGGGCTGGCATCTCCACTGGCATTGTAGTCAAACTCCGGATTCCGACCGTAAATCCTCTTGTGGAATGCATGGCCGCGTTCAGAAGCCGAAGCTTGATCTTCTTTGGCACTATTCCCCGCGGCAAACATTAGCTTTTTGCGACTAATACCCATCAATCGGAGTACGTTCTGTAGATCAGCTTACCGATGTGCAACTGGATCCCTCAAATCTTTTGGTATATGCGTGCCAAGAAGCCTGAGGGCCGTGCCGGTCTACGATCACCAGGTTAGCGGCGTGAAATTTCCAATTCTTTCGAATTGTATCGGGGCATTTAAACAGACTCACCTTAGCAGCTCCCATGATCCCACAGCTTTTGATGAGGGCTTCTCTGAGCTTCTGAGCGGTCTTGAACTGAGCATCATGGTCCAGCGTGGACATAACACGTTTTGAGAAACGCTCGTAGACACTGGGAACCACCTCGGGAAAGTTCAAGGCAGCGAGGTTAACGATGACGCAGTAATACCACCGTGTCTTGTCGTCCGTACTCGAGACTGCGTCAATCTTCTCGAAGAAGCTGTCATCGATTAGGGGTGTCTGTGCCATCTTGATGTTTGTGACTTTAGCACGTTATTTTGATTTCTCTGTGATCTTGTAACTCGAGGGGTTTGCAGCGTGGTTGTGACCTGGCAAGAAGGAATCGTCGTGGGTAGAGAGGCTCGACGCAGGACGGAGGCTTATTGTGTGGGCCTCGGAAGTTAATGAGACGTCGCGTGTGGTGCGCGGCTAACTCGGACATTGGTGTCCGGGGCCGACGCCCGTAACCCCGCCACTTCTAGGGGCGGCATTGACAACATTTTGAAAGACTGGAGGATGGATTAGACACCTAAAGCCTTTCAGAGACGACGTAACCCTCGCTCCAAGTTTTGATGTCCCCTGATAGGATCTCATTTCACAATTTCTGAGAGTTTGGACATGTATATCATCTGCCCTACAAGCAATGTCGGCTCCCCGGCGAAGCGTGACCGAGTAAGAAGCCCTGGAGTTGGCATTCTATGTTTTCGAAGCGAAACTCACGTTTAGTCAAGTTTCTAGGGCTGTTATCAGATGTAGCAGAGACTACAAAGGCAAACGAACCGTCTTGTCTAGCCTACGCCTGGTTTCGAAATGCCGAGGACGATGATATCGTTCCACATCACTGGGTGCAAGGGTTTGAGGTTTATGCTGAGTTGGAGGCGAGCACGGTCACCCACCGCTCGAGCGAGCAGTACAAGTCATTCAGACAGGCTTGTGCGGCTGAATCATTGCTTGACCGTGGGAGCGATTTGCGGTACCTGGAGCCACTGGGTATCGGCTTCATGACGCGGCAGCATGGCCCGGATGGTTCTCCAACGGATTGCGATGGTGAAGGGTATGTAGTCATTGAGCGGTTAAGAGCCGCAGGTGGGGTCGATGGAAGGAATAGCTTGCTCGAGCGTTTGAGAGCGTTTGAGGCTACAGGTCTCAAGGATCTCGACAAAAGCACTGTGGCTAGCTTCTGGGTGCTAGGATACCGCCCAGAAGACTGCGAATCTACCATTGTCGTGTTTCAACGCTTTGCAACTAAGCTGGCTTTCCAGAACCATTTTTTGACAAACAAGAGTGTGCAGGCAATGAGGTATGCAAGCCTGGTTTCATTTCATTTCACAATGCTAACATAATTGTGACCTTAGGCAAGAGATCTATTCAATGTGCGAGTGGAAACAAAGCACTTGTTGGCAGGATTGTGGAATTGGACACATCGGGAGATAAACAAAACAGAATATGCTGACAAGGTTGCAATTATCGACCCTGTGAGTCGTCTCTTTGACAAATATGAGCTTGATAACATAAACGCATTCGAAACATTAAATGTTGTGATACCCATGGAACCGTAGTCTTGGACTGGGATGTGTGTAAGCAGGCCAGGCAAGCTGATTGACCAAAGCAATGACGCCAAGACCATCAACACTCAAGTCGCCATTGCTCCGCGCATTGACGTGCTGATACACACCTTGGTGACCTCACCACTCAAATGGCACAACTTTGTCGGATCTTGCGCGATTATGGGCATCCTTCCCAGGTGTGAAGAATGGCATCAAACTGCCAGCGTCTTGTAAGACGGTTGCTGTATCGCCCTGTGCCTGATGTCTGCTTATATGCCGGACCAGTGTCTCGTGATATCTTACCCGATTCTGATACAGTATTTGATGCAGACTTGGGCCCTTATCATTTATATGGATCGAACCTGACCGCGAGGAACTTGAAATGGCGATTTCGTCCGATGCTCCCGCATTGCCCCGTCTGAGGATCGCCATCTCAGGTGGAGGACCGGCTGGACTAGCAGCAGCCATAGCACTTCTTGAAAAACCAGGATTCGAGGTTACTGTATACGAACAAGCCACAGAGCTGCGAGAGGTTGGGGCAGGCTTGAGGGTCGGTTACAACTCCTGGAGAGTTCTTGAACTCCTGGGCGTGGCAGACAAGGTCAAGGGACACATCAAGGTCGACCATCAACATCGGTAGGATCATAGCCCCATGAGGATGAAAAATTGAAAGCACACTAAAGGCCAGCAGTGATGGAGTCACTGGAGAGATTCTGTACACATATCCGCCATACGAGGGCGAGTGGAAGTATCATGATGCTCGAGTGAGGCGAACTGTGTTGCAAGACGCTCTGAAAAGCCGTGTTCCTCAAAGCTTTATTCAACTGAAAAAAAGATTGATCGACTTGGTTCAACAACCGGGTGGAGGCGTAGCACTGGTGTTCGAGGACGGCACGTCTGCATCCGCGGACTTGGTCATAGGCGCGGACGGTATTCGATCCGTAAGTCTTTTTCAAGTCTTGGTCTTTGATGTGACCCTGTTATGTTTGTTGATACCAATTGTCTACAAAGGCTGTTCGAAGAGCCACTTTCCCCGACCACGAGATTACGTACAATGGAACGACCATCTGGCGCTGTTTGATCTCCCTCGACGCTGTTGACCACCTTTCGATCACCAAGTATACAGCGTTTCATCATGGTCCGGGGAGAATTTTCAAATGCTCAGTGGTTTCCACGGAAGAAGAGATCGGCGAGGGAAAGGGGTTATGGGAAATGACTTTGCGCTCATATGAAGATCCAGCGAAGGCAAGGGGAAAGAAGTATAGCTGGGGTATTCCGGCCACAAACGAACGAGTCGCCAGTCACTTCAAGGTGAGTTTATCATTCTCATACATTTAGCATTGACTGAATCCGAAATAGGCATTTTCATCGGAAATCCAGGAGGCTATCGGCCACGTTCCCGAGGGGATATGGAAAGAGTTCTCGGCGTTCTCCGGGCCCAGGCTCCAACGAGTCGTCGCTAATGGTAACACCGCCATCATTGGGGATGCATCCCATCCTCTATTAGGTACGGTAGCTCTGAATGTGTTGTTAAGAATATTCTGTACTGATCATCCCAGGAGCCTTCGGAACAGGAGCAGGCTTTGCCATGGAGGACGCATGGCTGCTCGCGCAAATGTTAGAGTTCTATATCAACCGACATATGAGCGACAAAGACCGAGCTATTCGACAGAGCCTTGACTTGTTCGACAAAGTCCGCTCGCCTTACTACCACAAGATCTACGATGTACTTGATGCTAGGCCCAAAGATGGTAAAGTCGATTATGCCGCATGGTCGCCAACGCCAGGAGGGCCTTTGAATTGGATTTACTTCCACGACATTGAGGATGATTGGAAACAGTCAAAGAAAGTGATATAGGACCTCGCAGATTGAAACTCTTTCTAGTAAGATGAATTGGAGAACATTTAGTGGGCTGTCAGAATGAGTATGAATATCATCAAATCCGGTTCAATGAATTGATCAAAGGCTTTTAAAGAATCTCTACAGAGACGAGGACGCCGAAGACCATTGGATGAGATGGTCTCAAATGTATGCTTAGGATGGGTCGCTTTGTGAGCACGTCAACGAAGTCGATTTGGTCTGAAGAGCTTTTACAACAATTAGCTCAGCCAATAATTAGGCAACCATGGCAGTTCTAATGTCTGAATTCAATTCAAGGCGGTGTAATAATGCATGAGCCTCAGGCATGTAATATGCTCTGTACTGACAACCGAGAGGTGCTAGTTATTAAAGGGCCATGTCGCCACCACCTCATTCCCGCTGGTTCCCTGCGCTCAACCTGTCCACCCACCACACCACACTGAACTGAAGACGCGCAACCCCCAAACCAACAGAAATCTTGGCTCCTTGCCACGCAATCTGAGCAGCACGAGAATCCACCAAAGTGACCCCGGCACTATCCCGCCAGTGAAGATGAGCGAGGGTACAGATGCAGCCAGAGATGCTGCGCATGCTGCCTGCGAGTGTGGCCGCGATCATCGACAGGCAGGAAATCGCACTTGTGAACCCGTCGGACTCATGTCTCATCTACACGTTACGGTGCAAGAATTCTTGGACGCCCAAGAAGTCCTGGAATTTGGAAAGGACGGCCCAATGGCCCCGTGCCTGCTGGGAGGAACCATGGAGTATTACACCTTCGTTCTAGCATCATTTTCAGAATCCCAAACAACCAGCGAGAAACACCCAGAGTGGCATCTCGCGGCAGAGATTGCAAGGTTGCGCAGGTACTTTGACCAGGTCGCGGAAAACTGTGCTGAGAAAAAGAACGGCTGTTCCGACCAAGATCTTGAGAACCGGAGCTTCCTGCCTGAGATTTCTGGAAACGAGGAAAAGACGCTTTCGGACGCAAAAAACAAGGTCCACGAGTTCTGGGACACCTGCTACGACGCTATAGAAGTTTGGGGCATTCTGAACCTCCGCCGTGACAATGACCCCGAGGGATGCCTGCCAGTCGTAGACAAGGCCTTCAAAGACGCACTCGATGCAATCATGTTGTTGCCCGATAGCGAGAACACAACGGCGCAAGAGCTTTCCAGGCAGCTGCACGAGATATTGAACGAGACTCGACGTCTATTCAATTTTTCCAAGGGCAGACACAGACAATAATCATCTACGAGTCTGAAGACTTCGGAATATACGAACGACCATCTCGGGAACGAGTGCAAAAGAACGCATGGCCCCATTGTCAGAGGTGCTCTGAGCGAGGAAAATCATCGGAATCATGGGGTAAACCAGCGCGACTACGCAAGGGGGATTTTATATGTGTGAACGAGCAGCACAGCGGTCATGCGCCAAATGGCCTGACAACTTGGATGGACTCCTTGAGGCACATCGGATAGTGTCCCCACCCTTCACTCGATCTGGATCGCCTTGGGAACGAACAATCTGGAGCACGGATGATTGTACATAAAAGGACAATAACTCGGCTCAGGAGTGCTCTCTAGCCAGAATGTCGGAACATAGTAGTGGATGGATACCATCCCGGGCCACTATTTCAACCACCCTACTATTTCACCTAACTAAAATACTTAATTTCTATATAATTACTAATTATTTACTTATATATATATTAATAACTATTTAATATTTTTAAATTTTAACTTTATAAATAAATAAGAAATTAATAATTCTATATACCTATTTTTTTAATAACTAATTTAATAGTCTATATAGTTTAATTCCTTTAAATATATTCTAACTTTTAAATATTAAATTAAAGAAAATTAAAAATATTCTTTTTTACCTTTTAAATTAATTTATATATTTAAATATTTATTATAATACCTTTAAAGTTTTATATAAAGGATAATATAATTAATATTAAATATAATATATAAAAATAGTTTAAAAGGAATATAATTATAAAAAGTATAATATAGTTTTCTTTATTATTTTAAATTAACTCTTTAATAAGTATACTTTTAAATAAAACTTTAAGGTCTAACCTTTAAATTCTCTATTATTTAATATATAAAAGGTATATTATAAATTGGATTTTATATTAAAAATAATAAGGTTATATTTTAAATTAATTTATAATAAAAATATTATAATTTTAATTATTAATATAAATGTTAAAGAATGTTAAATAAATTAATTTATTAAGTAATACTTTTAACTTTATATAAAGATTAAATATAAATAAAAGATAACTTATTATTATAAGTTTCTTTTAAATAGTTAATTAATATTTTAATATTTAAAAAATAAATATATATAAATAAAGTTATACTTAATTATTAACTTTAATAAAGTTAATTTAATAATAGGATTTAATAAATATTTAATTTATTTATACTTTAATTAATTAAATTTATTAACTATTTTTATAAACTTTAATCTTTTAATTATTAAAATTTTAATAATAAAAATTCTTTAATTAAAAGTAATTAATTATATTAATAATTAATAATAATAAAAGTTATTATAATTAATAATAAACCTTTAATTTAAATATTATTTTTAAAAATAAAAACTTTTAATTTTAATAATTCTTTAAAAGTTTAAGAAAATATACCCTTATTAATAATATATTATATTATTTAATAATTAAATTAATAATAAACTTAAAGTATAATATTTTAAATACATTTTTATTATAAATAAATATTTATTAAAAGATAAATTAAAAGTAATTCTTTTAATATTATCTAGTTATTTTAATTATATAATTATTATTAAAGCTATAAGCTAAATATCTATAAAACTAACTAATAGATTTATATACTCTACTTATTTTATTAACCTAAATAACCTCTATATATCTTATAATATAAGATTATAGCTTCACTACCTCCTTTATATTATTCTTTAAATAACTTTAGTTTTAAATTAATAATTCTTTATAGATAATTTAAGTCTTTTTATTATAAGTTATAAAAACTATTTTAAATATAAGTATATAATTTAAAGCTTTGTAATTTATAATATAATTAATTTTTATAAAATAAGTTTATAATAATCTACTTTTAAAATAATATTTTTCTTATTATTTATATAAACTTTAATTTTTAATAATAAAATATTTAATATTATTAAAGTAAATTATTAAAATAATTCTTATAACTTATAGTAAAAGAAGGCTTAAATTATCTATAAAGAATTATTAATTTAAAATTAAAGTTACCTAAGGAATAGTATAAGGGAGGTAGTAAAACTATAATCTTATATTACAAGAGGTATAGAGGCCACTTAGGTTAATAAAATAAGTAAAGTATATAAACCTATTAGTTAATCCTATAGATATTTAACCTATAGCCCTAATAATTATTATAATATTTTAATATTTAATAGTTACTTATTAATTCTTTATTTATAAATAAAGTTAGTTTTATTAAAATTTTTATTTAAATTTATAAAAAAGTATAACTTTAAAGAATATTAAATTAATTTTAAAATTAAATTAAATAAAAAAATATTATATTAAATTTAAAAGTAAAATAATAATAATATTATTAAGTTAATTTATAATATTATAAATTTAGTTAATTTAAATATTTTTATTAGTAAATAATATAAATTTTAAAGTTAAATTAATATTTAAAAAAGAAAGTTAAATTAATTATTAAAAATTAATAAATTTAAAAGCTTAAAGTTTAAATGAAATAATTAACTATTAAAAGTATTAAGTAATACTTAATTTTAATAAAAGTTTATAAAACTTATAGAGATATTTAATAAAAAAGATTAAAGATACTTTTAATTAAAGAAATAAACTAATAAAATAATTTAAAGATAAAATTATGATAATAATTAAAAAGAACTTTAAAAATAATAAAAAAGAAGATAAGCTATTTATAAAAATATATATTTATTTTAATTAAGTATTAAAAATAATTAAATAATATAATAATTAAAAAAGTAACTTTTAAACTTTAAAATTATATTTTTAAATTTTTATTATAGTAGAATTAAATTTTTAATAACCTTATAAATATAGAGTATTTTTAATAGTGTATTAATATTCTAGTTAGGTAAAATAGTGGGGTGGTTGAAATAGTGGTCTGGGATGGTAGTGCTTTCTTTGATTGGACGAGCAGTAGATTGCAAGGTTGTCATGTTATTTGAGCCTTGCCGTTCCAGGCAATCACTAAACAGACATTTTGGTTAAAGTAGTGGGCAAAGTGATGTATCCATCCCGTGCAATTCGCGGAGTGTCACAGTGAAATGACTTTTCAGTTATTCAGGGCGGAATGTGATGATCAAGAATAACTGTTTCTTGAGTGATGCTTGAGGTCTGTAGCAGAGAATCTGCAAACTTGAAACTATTTGTCGAAAAGAAGAGCTTAGAATCCCTCCACTTTCTTCTGTCCCTCGGATGATGTACGAGAACGGTGATGGGCAGATGTGGAGTGCGGAACTTTTCAGCGTTACAATATCCAAGACACGGACATGTGAGGCGTTTTGAAAAGGGCATCACCAGGCACGACCCATGTGGGCCTCAGGGAACAACCAGGCTGTCACAAACACTGGAAACATAAACAAAGAGCAACATTCAAATAAAAGGAGCAAGCAGGTAAATTCTAACTTAGGCGGCATTCCACTTGTTTTTGCGATTCGGACAACAACACCAGACGCCAGGAACGCCAAGACCAGGCTTGTTCAACCCAAGCTTCCCACCATCTATCTGTCAGCATAAATATGGCTACAGATGCAGCCAGTCTCTCGCAGGCCATCTGCGAGTGTGGTAGGAATCATCAGCGTGCGGGAACTCGCAGGTGTCCCATCTTCGGGATTCTTCAAGACCTGCAACACAAATTGATGATATGTTGGCGACCCTTGACATCTTGAGGTTCGGAAAGGACGGGCTAATGGCGCATTGCTTGCGCTCGGAGGCTGTGAAATACTACGATATGGGAATTAAGTGTTTCCAAAAGTGGCAAGCCAAGAGCGAGGAAAACCCTGGTTGGAATCTGGCCGACTCGATTACCTGGATGCGCAAATACTTCGACCAAATCAGCATCACGTGCGCCGAGGACAAGAGAACCCTGGGACCTTACCCTTCAGATTCGATCTTGCCAGTTATTGTCGGCGATGAGGAGGAGTCGCTGAAGATAGCGAAAGAGGCAGTACTGACGCTCTACGAGTCCTGCACTGACTGTGTCAGTGAAAATGTATGGACTGATGAACCGCCGCTCCATCACAATAATGATCCCGATGGATCGTTGACGTGCATAGACGAAGCATTGAAAGATGCAATGGACGCAATCAATTCGATTAAAAAGGCAGAAGGTGCATCAATTCAGGATCTGAGCGACAAGTCGTACAGAATTTGGAGGGAGGCCAGGCGGCTGCTGTGCGAGTATGAACGACCACTCGTTTTCATCATCCCAAGCAATGCCGATTCCGTGACTGCAATATCAAGCACTGGGAAAGGCAGTGATGGACGGAAGAAGAGTGAGGCAGGACCAACCATGACTTGACTGTAGTCTGAGCCAATGTCCTCGCTCCAGACTGCAAACAGAGATGATGGGCATCCGAGGGAAACTCTTTCAAGATGGAAAGAAACACCATTCTGGGACCGAGAATTGAGAGATTGAGTAAAGAAGACAGCACAGAGACATTTACCGGCTCTCATAGCCAGAGGGATATGGGAAAGGAAGAACAGAAATGCCGTGGGCACATGAGCATTCAAATCCTCGGTCAATGCTGACTGGCATTCTGGCTTCTTGTTTGAGATGCAACAGCGTCGCTTATACCGGGATTCTTGTACACCATTGGAGTGTGGCATGGAAAGCATGGCATTAAGATATTTTGGTGGGAGAGAATTTCAATCTTACTTCCCGAAGTCATTGGCCGTATTTTTGAGTGACAGGCAGCAGGCTCGACTAAGATGTTGAGAATCTGGCTGAAGACTGTTGCGTATGTGAAGACAACATCATCTTCGGGCAATTTTCTCACGTGTATCATACGAAGAGTGGCGCCGAACACCATGGTTTCTCTTCAGGAACAGTCACTTGTACTCTTCAGTATTTTCCAAACTGGCGGGCGAAGTGATGTATTCATCCCATAATATCTGAACTTGTAGCAAAAAGGGTATCTTCGTAACTATCCGTCACATAATCATAGGTCTTCAAACCTTCTCGCCGTCAATGATCTTGTTTCGCCCAATGCCAACCATCTGCACCATCTCCTTCCAGAAGCTGCTCGGTGGCTCGCGGACGAGCAGGTCCTCCTCGTACCGATCCAAAAGGGGGCGGTCCCAGACAAGGTCGACGTCCTGGGGCTTGATCCACTTGGTACGCTTCAAGACCTTCCAGAAGATGAACAGGATAGGGGCCACGATCTGCATGGTGTAGTTGGAGAAGAATGTCCCGACGTCGAAGGACGGCCGGAAGGAGGACCAGCCGTAGGTGAGGACGACGATGGTCTGCAGGACGAGGGCGATCCAAGCGCCGTAGGGCTGAAGGTATCCGTAGTATGGCATGGTGCGGCGGTCCACTCCCTGGGCCTTGCACGCGGCGTGGTAGTTCAGGAATGTAATCGACATCACAATATAGTTGATCACACCGCCGCCTGTGATGAGAGCCAGCAGCCACTTGAGGACCGTGGCGGACCCGTTGCCGCACTGGAGGAAGGACAGCATAGGGAAGATCATGGTGACGGCGAAGCAGTAGATGGGGACGCCGTTAGGGGCGGTTTTTCGGAGGAAGGCCGGGGCGCGGCCGTCGCCGGCCAGGGAGTAGAGGGACCGGGTCGCGCAGTAGGTGTACGTGTTACCAGCGGAGAAGATTGTCGTGAAGAGCAGTGCATTCACCAGGTGGGGGAGTCCTTGGATCTTGAGGTTCTCCATGGCCATGACCCAAGGGGAGGCGGCAGCCGTGCCACCGCCGCCGCCGCCGCTGAGGTAGATCTTCTGGAGGACCGGGTCGTTGTAGGGCAGCACGATTCCACATGTCAAGGCAGCGCCGAAGAAGAAGAGGCCGAATCGCATGTAGACAGTCTTGAAGGCTGACTTGATGTAGCGGCTGGGGTGCTTGGCCTCGGCAGCGATCATCGAGATGTAGTCCGGACCGACGACGGTGAAGGTGGCAGTGGCCAGAGCTCCCATGAAGCCTTCCATCCGGCCCGTGTCACCGGCAGTCAGATACGTCGCAAAGGATCCGGGATTGGTAAAATAGCGGAACCCGTAGGCATCGTGGGCCGGGTTCCCTCCGACCATGGTGATGAACGTGAACAGGAACAAGATGAAGATGAGTATCACCTTGCCACCGGACAGCCAGAATTCCGCTTCACCAAACACGCTCACAGCAACCACATTCAAGAGACTAGATTTCACACGAGAATAGTTTAGCATACGGACATACTCACAGACACAACACGCACAGACACAGTGGCGCCTAAAAACGGGGCAAAAAACGGGGTCACCCGGGGAGAGGAGAGATGAGGGCGGGCGCGGAGAGCTCTAGAGGAATCCAGACGGTCTAGTTGGCTTTCAGCCCTGGGTGAGAACAAAGGAAAAATCGGAGCAAAAGATTAGATCGACCCAGAACGGGAGCGCACGGAGCGCCACACGGTGATGCCTTACCCATAGCATATGATGATGCCAGCACAGATGCCCGCCGTGGGACCGGGCTCGGTGACCTTATCGCTCCAGAAAGAGAGGACCAGGTTGAGCGCGGTCACCTCGAACGGGATGAGCAGTGCCTCATAGAGGAAGTAGTTCCAGCCGACCATGAAACCAAGAGCCTCGTCGCACCACACACCCGCGAGGCGGATGAAGCCGCCCGAGACAGGCATGTAGGTACACATTTCCGCGATAGAGTTGTTGACGAGTGCCACGACGCAGGCGTACAGCGTGTAGGCTAGGAGAAGATTGCCGGGCCCGCCCTTTGCGAGACCCTCGCCGATGGTCACGAACAGACCGGTGCCGATGGTACCGCCGATGGCGATTAGTTGGATCTGTCGGTTGTCCAGCCGCCGGTGCAGGCCGTCCGAGTTGTGTCGTACGGGGGAGCCATCGCTGGAGCTTGTGGAGACCCGTTGGCTCGAGGGAGCCTCCTTGGTGGCTTTGAGCTCGGGGGATGATGACATCGTGGAAGGTAGGAGGGAAATTCTGGACAGTACTCCGTGTGAGACACGGAATGGTTCGCTCAGGATCTCCCGGTGGTGGCGAAGGTCGGGACAAGGCACTGCGCCGCAGATTGCATGTGGAACAGCTTTGGAGAAGTATGGCACACAAACGGTGGGACTGAGAAGAAGAGATGCAGGGAAAACTTGGAAGAGCCTCGTCGAAGGTCGCAACTCTGGGCAGTCTTATACCGCCGTAGTGCAGTGCTGGTTTGCTGTGACGGGTACAAACACCACAAAACAGGAAAGGTGGAGCCAGAGTGGGCTTCAAGAGTGGGAGGACGAAAATACAGGAAAAGTTGGCCCGCTCTCACGCATCGAAATTCATACTGTGGAAATATGGTGTGGATTGCTAGCCGACGCGCCGGTGCGCAGCCATGTGGAAGAACATATTAGCGCAGAATTTGCAGTAATACTGTTAGTAATGAGTCGCTCGCTCAATTAGACGGCGTGATTATTGCATCACTGGTTCAGGTTCAGTCAGGTCCACAGCCGTATTCTATGGACGACCAACTTTTGTGTGGAGTTGGATGCGGGTTTAACTGGGGCGCTCCCTGACCAGAATGACGACGATCATTTCTTGACGCAGACATGCAGACCTGCAGACAGGGAGTTGGCTCGACTGTCTCTCGGTCGAAAAGCGGCTTACTAGCAGACTTTTGAGGAGCCAACACAGTAAACTGTTAAGGACAGTCCACAAGCAAGGACATCGCCTCTTACATAAAAGCCAAGAGTGAAGTATTTTGCACCCTTTGCCAAGCCATTCGTAATTCTGGCTCGATAATAAATCGACCATGAATCCTACGGTCGGGTTGCTTCGGCTGACGTGCATTTGAGCACTTGAGGCGTCGATGCTCAGCGTCCCATGGTCTTGTTTCCAGTGCAGTGCGGATAGTTGACTCCTTGGAGTTTGGGGGAAACCACGCATTTGCGGAGTTGGGACGGTACGAGACTGTGCAAAAACTGATCGGCAATGCATGTAGACTAAGCTGGCCGCAGGGAGGGCGCATGACCAGCAATGTTTTCTGACCAACTCCGAGCCTGTCGATCTACGATGACCACTGAAGATCCCCCATCACGTTGGTTGTGTAGATGTTACAAGGGCAGATCCGATGTAGCAACCCGAGAGCCGACGACCGCGGCGAGATCCATGATTAGGCAGAATTACTCCCAGGCTCAGGGCTGCCTTGACTCGGTCGCGGCAAGCCACCATGACCGCCCTGGAAAGCTTATGCATGTGAAATGGCCGATGTGCTTATTATTAGCTCCCGCTGCGGCGTGTTTAGGCGGGATTCTATCAACAAGGCATACGACTGGGCGCAGTCAGCGTGAAGCGGTTCGTTGCAAGTGCGGGGCGCACAGACAGGCAGACCACATGCGAGGCACAGAGCAGATTATGCAGATGATCGAACGGGCAGATCATGCAAATTAGGCGGGCATTTTGTTTCTGCGTACCGATTTTGCCACTTCGCTAAGCCCCTGCTTGACGTCTTGTGTATTCCATGATGGGGTTTACGCTGCTGAAAAGAGCTGAGCAATCGTCTTGCTATCACTGGCCCCATTAAAGATGGTTATCCGACCCCGGACAGAGGGGCACCGCACGGGAGTAGCCACTTGAGCCGCGATAATGCGGCCGGAGCTGTCGGGCCAAATGTGTATCTGCCGCCCCTGACGATAAGCAGCCCTGGAGACGCCAACAACACCCTCATCTGGAGCTTGATTGATGACCATCTGGGTTGTCCACCCTCAAATCCCGAATTTGTTCCGTTGGAATACACCATATCCACAAGAGATCGCGATGGAGCAGCTACGAGCACACAAGCTGTGCGGGGAACGATTGATAAACTCCAATCTAGTCTGTTCAGCCTCCGTTCCTGAATAACATTCCGATTTTCGGCCTCGACAAGCTTCGCGGAAGTCGATATCAACCCCCGTGAGACGACATGCAGCCCCTTGCGATACTACTTGGGCCGCCGTGATAGGGCTCTTGGCTGCCAACGAACAGACCCAGCCCACGCGCTCGACGGTCTTAGGGCAACCGTTCTCGGCCTCCATCCCTCCCTACCTGCCTCCCACCCTTGGACAACGACGCGGATGGCGCCGCAGGAGATACCGCGAATAGGAAGGTACCAGACACGTTGACGGCGCCCAGGACGTCAGCGGCTTCGTTGTGGCCCCTACTTGTGGGGATAAGCAGGGCCTGCGATGTGCAACAATGCAGCCTTGCCAAGAGGCGGAGTCCGGGGACAACGCGTATCTGACTCGGAATCTCGCCTTTCAGCTTGCATGACCGCGCCGACACTGGCCAAATGCCAGCATGCGTGAGGTCCTGGCCGGTTCTTCGCCTCCGGCTGAATCGGCAGAGGCGGCGATGGCTGAGACCACGCGTGGCTGCTTGTGATCCATGATGTGACCATGTGTAACTTGAAAGCATAATTACTGTGTAATGCGCTCTTTCGGACTGGCTGGACAGTGGCTTGGGCAGGCTTTACTGCAGCCAAACGCTCGGGCGAGAGGCTGGAAAACGCGGTGAGGGGAACAGTTGGCGGCAACGAGGAGAGTGGACATCGCCAGGGTGGTGTTAATTAGCCCGGTGACGATGAACAGCTCACAAAGCCTGACTACCGATACAAGCTCTTCTACAAGATAGAGTATATTAGGAGCTCATTTCTGCTATTTTTGCCAAAGGCTCAACAACGGGAAAGCCAATGGGCATTTTGGTCATTGCTCGCATCGAACGTGAGCTACGCGACATGGGCAGTCCATGTCATTTAGTGTATAGAAAACATTAAACACCGTAGAAAGGCGCCATGTATGTCCTCGGACGTATACGGAATAGAAGAGAAACCACACAGAAAACATTAAAGTATGACCTTTGATGAGACATCCATCAGTCAACCCCATACTAGTATGGATGCCACCGTAGTATGTGAGTGGTAACAATGTCCCGGTGCCCAGGGGTAATTCTGATGGATAACACGTGTCAAGACAGAGCATTTCCGTAACCACAGCGCTAGTCACTTCCAACGATCTCTGATTCGAAGGGTGCGAATCTCGTCTCACCGCAAGAAGCTCAGCCATCTCGTCCTGCGCTGGTCAATACTCACGACAGCAAACCTGTTCGCAACTGTCAATCAATTTGTGTTCTCCCAACTGCCGTCGAACACCACTACCTCAAGGGATATTTCGACAGTCCGAAAGTATAAATTTCCCCATAATTATCAATCTGGCCCCAGATCCATCAGTCATTTTGTGTGCGTAAATGGTAAGGGTCCGTTAACAACGCATAAGATGTCTTCGGGTTGCCCCACAGAATGCTCTTCAGATCGCTCCAATACCTCTAAACAAAGGGCAACTTCTTGCGGAACAATGGCAGGATCCACGGTATCAACAAAGGTCTGCTGTGAAGATAAGCGGCTTAGTTGTAATAGAAGAGAGAAATCATCACAAAGGCATTGGCCTTGACAGGACTATTGTTATTCGTTGACAGGAGTTGTATATGTTAACACTGACTTGTCCAGTTGACTCCTGAGGTCTTAAAACATTTCACGGCACCGAAACATTCTTCATCACTTGAGATAGGCTCAGCGGACCACGGACATTGAACGCTATCTCACTTTTGTATTGGCGAGTCACCCATATCTTGGCCATTATGCCTTCTTTTTATTGTCTCAGCTGCGAGTCACCCGTCTCCAGAATCATTTCTGAACACGTAGACCACTACTGCTGCCTGCGTCTGGACTGCGAGAAGTTCAAGCTCTCGGTGAGCGTGGCTGCCACAGGGATTTTCATTGAGTCAGAGAACGATAGCAGGCCTGAGCCCCCACATCGCCCATTTCTCGTGTCCCAGCACCACCCACTTCTGGAGAGCCGTCCTCGCCTACCTGCGGTCGCCGGGCCCAGCTCCCAGCCGTTCAGGGAGCACGCATCAGGTACTATTCGTCAAAATCTTCGGGCTGCTGCCCTTGAGGCGAGTCGTGTAGGGGCATCCGCTGACCGCCAGGATGACGTGTTTATTCGAATCCTCGAGGAGAAGCCGTTGAGTGAGCACCGAATTGACAGTGCAAACCGAATTGCTGGGATTCAGCGGTGGGTCAACAGGTCGGTCGAGCAGCGTCGAGCCGAGGCGCGATACAACCGAAAAGTGAGGATACCTTGCAACGCTTTCATATTGTACCTCAAGGCGTACGCTGATACCGCTAGCAATCTTCTGAAGAAGTACAACCGGTTACCGGGGATTATTACCACTCTTCTCGCCCAAAGCTGGCGTATGGAGTCTGGCAGCATGCGAGCCCAATTCTCTAGCCTTGCAGCTACGGAAAGGATGATCCACGAACAGGCATTTCCAGATTACAAAGTCACAAGAAGACGCAACGAAAATAAGAGTGGCGAGAGGTTCAATAGGGGGTAAAGGGGCAGGCATCATGGATAAACGACCACAAAGGTTTGTTCGAAGACTAACGCTGTTCTTGCTCTCCACCTGCAGTGAAGAATAGTAGGAATATTGATAGGCACAGGTAGATTGTGACAAGAAACTCTCCTTGAATGCATACATTCCAAGGTTGTTTATCTTTGACAGCCTTGAAACTTTGAAGTGCCCCGGGGTGGTTGCGGAAAAATGAAAATAGCTTAGGACAGCGTCAACTCCAAAACTAAAGCATTCATGGTTGGTCGTTCATGACGAAAATAAAACAAACTTGGATACTATAAAACATCCCCCAACAGGTAGGTCCGTATATTCGGAAGCTACTGCGACATGCCCCATTTGGTGGAATCATGCACATACCTCGTTCTGGAGCAAGAGGCAGTCCAAACAAGTGGTTTCTTTTCGTATACCCATATCAAGCCCAACAAAATTCGAATCAAAAAAAAGTTTAGACAAAGACTTCGACCGATCCGAGCCTCCCTCAATGCCCTTTCAAAACCAGCAACACAGTATCTGAAGTTCCCGGTCTTTGTGCGACCAGCGGGTTGGATACCCGAAGAGGAATTCAGTGACTGAGGTTCTTGGCCTCTTCTGTAACGTCGAGTCTATTTCACCTTTCTCATCAACTCTTCTATACCGGGCGTAACCCTCTTCCACTGCTCCTTCTCGTCCAGAAACTCATCACGGCCGGTGTTCCATTCGCCCTTGGCGACTTCGACATGAGCCGTGCTCCTGGGTTTGATATTGACAGCATATGGCGCTATCGAGATAACCGCCCCAGGCGAATGGTTCTCCGTATCAATTGGGACCTCTTTCCCGTCCTCAGTCGTCTTCTTGGATATATCGCATGCCCAGATGATTTTCGACACCGTCAGGAACAGGTTGCGCTCTGCGAGATGTTGACCAGGGCAGATGCGACGGCCTGCTCCAAATGTGAAGAGCTCCGAGCGCGCACCGACGGAGTCTTCCTTGGCCTCCTGCAGCTTGCCCTCCCATCGCTCGGGCTTGAAGGCGCGGGGATTTTCGTAGACCGAAAGGTCATTGTGTATGAAATACGCGTTGATAATGAGAGTGGATCCTGCAGGGATCGTGTAGCCATCGTACGTGATCTCCTTGGTGGAAGAGTGCGGGACACCGAAGGGTGCGATGCTGGACCAGCGATGGAGTCTGAGAGCTTGTAAGTGGGAATGAATGTAGTAGTATAGAATTTTTTTTAGCCCTTACTCTTGCACGATTTGGCGGATGTAGGGAAGTGTAGACATGTCAGTTGTGTTGGGGATTCGATTTGGTCCAACAACACGATCGATCTCTGTCAAGCATTAGCTACATCCAAGATAGGGCGTTTTTGAGGGAGAAAATGACGTTATACCTTCATGCGCTTTGTGCTGAACATCAGGGAAACATGCCAAAGCGGCAATGAGGTTAATCAGCGTGTGTGAAGTTGTGTCGGTTGCTGCCTAGATGATGTTAGCACCACACAATTCTCAACACAGCAGGCGCCACAGTATCCGAGTATGGTTTTGGGGGAGAAGGGTTATTTAATACCGTCAGAAGTTCCAGACCCATCCTTGCTCCTACGATATCCTCAAACTCTTCTTTCTTCTGCTTCTGTGCCAGAGCCTTGTTCAATGACGGCAGGATGTTCATCGACTCTTTGCACGGGACAAAGTGCTTGAGTGCGATCTTGGCATCTTTCACGGAGTGCTCACGCGCCTTTCGAATGGAGGGAAACACCCAATCCGGAAACATCCTGAGGATAGGGAAGTAATCAGGCAGGCTACCTCTGAGCCAGATAGAAGACAATTCGCCAAAGTTCTCTCGAACTTCTTCGATAGCTGGATCGTCAGGCGTGGGCGCGCGGCGTCCGCTGATGAGCAGGAGGCCGATCGAGTTGCTGTACCGGAAGATGTGGGTCCGGAAGTCGGTCGGATCAGAAAGTATGTCAACCAGTAGCTTGGTTGTCTCGAGCTCTTGGAAGGGTACATATTGCTTTGTTGCGCTGACATTGAGGATCGAGTGGAATAAACGGCGGGCTAAACGCCAGTAGTCATTGTTGGGTGAAAAGCCCATCGAATAGCCGTCGTGAGCCACATCGTTCATCAAGTAACTCGGAGGCCGGCTGGCTGTGATGGTACCCATCTTGTCGAAGATGTCGCGTGCCGCCTGGGCAGAGCTGACTAGCACCGTTGGATGCTGGCCACGCATCACAGTGACAAGAGAACCATATTCACGAGCCCACTCGGCATATTTCAGGTGGTGATGGAATGGTGGCATCTGAGATAGAGTTTTTCATTAACCAATCATCCATCTCGGGCGATTTTCAAGGCTCAAAGACGTACTTGCAGGTTGTTCCCAAAAAGAGGTACAGTTGGCGGCCCTGGCGGCATATTGGGAGGACGTCGGCCGATTTGGAGTACACGATGGAGCGCGTATACCAGAATGGCAAAAACAGCGACCGAGATGAACGACAACATTGTGATTGTGCACTATAAGAAATTGTTTTACATGTGTGAAGATCGTGAATAGTTTTTTATTTATTTCTTTCAGACCGAAGCTTCCCATGCTCTGATTTATATACGAAGACCATGGCCCCCTGCCTGTCAGTGCTGGTTACAATGTATCTGAGCCGGGCATGGACGGAAACGTTTCCCCATGCGCCGTCAGATTCAATGGAAAGAAATTTCACGTTATCCCAATCTTCTTTAGACTCTCGCGGTATCATTTTCAATCACTATGATTTTCTATCATGGCTCGAACACAGTAGTTGGGCCGACGGACGGCTGGGTGGCTAAGTCAGTCTATAGTTCTATAGTCTGACTACCTAGGTACGTTGGTCTTCAGGCTTACGGCTACACGTGTGTTAGCACGTAGTCAGAGTACATGAGTTCATACCTACCTAAGCACTGAGTCTGACTACAAGGACTATATCATGTGGATCTGTAGTGTAACATCTCTACTTTCCGTACTAAATTTAAACAAACTTAGGGCTGAATTCCCTCTAAAACTACTTTATTACTAATTACTCAGGAAACAGTCACTCCCGAAGACTTTCAAATGTAGTCTTACCCAATCAAGTGGAACTAATTTCGCCCCTGGTGAGCGAAACCTAATAGGGAATCGAAAGTTCATGAACGTTACTGCCGCACAACTTCGCCGACTAATCCTCGCCTAGCCGGGTTTAGCAGTGGGAACTTGTAAGACAAGGGGACAGCATCAGAAGCTCTTTCTAGGTCTCAATTCACGTCAAGTCATGAAGTCTAGCCTTGTAGTAAAGTCCCTTGACCAACACCAGAGCTGAAAATGACGGTGCTCTACCATTGCCCCGCAGGATGTCCGGATGGAAACGATCATTCTACCACCCAAGAGAATGCTAACAAGCTAGCACGATTCGTCATTGTCGACATTGTGTCCCTTTTAGTAGTGGTCACTTAGATTCTCACCCGTATTGAAGGCGCCATGTATGTCCTGGGACGTATGCGGAATAGAAGCGAAACCACTTAGTAAATGTGGTGAATGGTCCGGCCCCCACTCAGTTTTATCTGTCCTCTTTATTGGGCGCCGCGAACCATGAAAATCTTTCCGTATCAGCCGCAAAACGGTACCGGTACTAGCATCAGTTGACATATGTGTAACTCAACGGCCGCCTGGCCGACCTTGATTCTTGAAATGAAAGCGTCCTTTTCAGTATGATATGAAACAGAGTGACTTCGATTGTTCATGTGGTGGTCTTAATCAGCCATCCTCTCATGTGGTAAGCGTAGGAGTCTTATGCCGATCACAACCGCCAGAGTCAGTTGGCTCTGAACCGGAACGAGAGGTTGGGGAGGAGGCCGGGTTGCCTATTATCACGATGATTCATGAAATCTCATTTTAGGTCATGAAGATACTACTGACCAGTGTTTTTAGCGTCGTCATGTGCTCTTGACTACGTTGAGTATGATGAATGCCAGTCTTGGGCGTAATTGGTCAGCAGACCAGGGACGAGAAATTTGTACAGACTACATACACAGTCAGCATATACACTGCACAACGCTAGGAATGATTGTCACCGTTTGAATCATACTAACATGTAAGCAACCGGTATTTTCACTCTCAGCCACTGGAATTACTCAGAGGGTGAGTCGTGGCGGCATAGTTGTCTTACACGTGCCTAAGTAGTCCCATTTTTCAACCTCTTGTCAACAGAGACCTGCTGTGTATGCTTGTTGATTTGACTATGTAGGTAGAATCCCGGACAGAATATCTGCTCACGGTCGCACGGGTGTGTTACATCAAGTCCTGAGGACGGCACAAGTGTCGTTGACTTTTGTAGAAACCTTTGCCAGCAGCTGCTCCGCCAAAACACCACGAAAAGGATTGCAAGATTGACGCCTACTAGATTTCACCGTCAAAGGTTTGACAGGAGTTAGCTCTAAATTCTGGGAAAATGAGATGAACGGACGGGTGGTGCACGCGATGAATGACACGAGGGCAAGAAGTTCTCGGGTTCTATATATTTTTGAGGTCTCTCGCTCGAGCGCACGCTTCGACAGAATAGATCATGGATCAGGCGCGTCGTCCATGCCATACTAAAATGAGCATATTGTCAAATACCAACGAGGCTGAATGATCACCATGAGGAACAGGATATCCAGTGCGTGTCCTCGTCAGAACCGTCTAAGCGATGGTGTATGACAGAACCGGTACCACGATCTTCTCATTATTCGGGATCACGCAAGTGGCATTGTTACCCGCGTCACGAGAACACTCAATCTCAAAGTCCACGCCCCCACTCGCCGTGATGGTGCTTCCATTCTTACAGTCCCATGACTGCATTGGGCTCAAGTCGACGCGACCAGTGCTGACGTCGGTGTTGCTGTTCCCGACGAAGTTGATGCGGTAAGCGACACCGCCACAGAACAGGATGCCATTGCCGACCTCGTAGCGCCGGATGCTCTGCGGGTTGGACTCGTAGCAATTAGCGTACCCCGGGATGTTTGTGCTGATAGCAATCGTGTCCGGGGGTCCGAAGCCTGCTGGTTGCAACGGGAGGCCTGTAAAGCAAGCACCGACTCCACACCGGTCGCAGGGTCCTAGGTTTCCGTCGCAAGGGATCAAGACCCCTGGGGTGGAAGTCGAGTTGAAGCAGACGCCTTCCGGAGCTATGGGCGCTGGTGTGAGCAGTTTTGTTACCATTTCTCATACTTGGCTTCTCTGAACTCACGGGCGTTCGATTGGGTCACACAGTCTAAGTTGTTGCTGGAATTGAACCAGTTCAACGACGTGATCTCCCATGTTGGTATCACATCACATTCTGCAGGTATCGTGACGCCCTGTCTGGCGCTGAGAACGGCAGCACCCTGAGCGAGTGAAATAAGTGGAAGAAGGATGAGAGCAAGCGACTTGGACGACATTTTGGGCGGTTCTTGGGTTGTCAGATGGCACAGGATAGATGATTTGGATACCTAGGAGGACACCTAATTACACCTAGGTCGGCCAGAACGTATTTATAGTTGAATCATGAACGCCTGCCGTCGACAGAGGTCCATAGGTAGCAATATACCCTACAGTCAACGGAGACGATCCCCGCCCAAATTCGTATTCAATGGAATCCAGCTGCCTGAAGAGGGGAAATACGAGGCGGACTTACAGTAGCTTCCATTGCAGGGGGCATCGCGGCCCGGAAGCGAAGAGCTGCAGCAATGGCGTTGAAGTGCGGCGGCGGGCCCTGACGCCACCTGCAGGTCCCCAGCGGCTCTAGGAACCAAACAGCCATACCGCGGCGGAAGGGCTTACTAAGGGGCATCCATAAGGAGCTTACTGCCTGATGCGCCTATCCACCACTAACGACGAAGGAATCAAATTCTCGCTTGCAAAGCGCCTCGAGCCGGGGTGGGAGGTGGCAGGTTTCGTCACAAGCGCATCGGAGGATTTCTTGGTAGGACCTCAGGCTGCACATCGAAGGGCCATTGACCGCCATTAAGACTTCCAGAGGACCTCTTCAACATCAATTGGATTACGGAGCAGTTGTTTAGACAAGCCGTTCAATCCTGATGAATTCGTACGACAGAGAATTTATGTATTCTGAAAAGACTGGACAGGGTTCGTCGTTTCAGCCGGAATGTCCATTCCGTACTGAAGAGACATGGCACTAATACATTGCATGCACAAGTCCTGTTGATGCAGCCAAAGTACGATTTTTGTGCGTGAAAATGTCTAATCGAATGTCTATGGCGTGTTAACTTTTTCATTAAAAAGAGAACGGAAATTCGCGTACCCTTAATCGGAAGGCGCGTACCCATTTGCTGACTAAGAAGTATCTTATACAAGACAACTTCTTCTCGAAAGGGCCGGCTGGGGCGAAGGGGGCGAGCCCCGGAGCGCGAAGCATAGCGGAGGGCCGTGAGTAGGGCCGGTAGGCACGACCCGAGTTCCCAGAGGACCAACCCGCCCTGTTTGTGGTCCCTTATCGCGAAGAAGCCTTATTTGTTGAAGTCGTGAGAAGTCGTGAAGACTTTGAGACTTTGAGGTTCTCTGCTCTGATTGGTCGAATAGTAGGGAGGGTACGCGCCTTCCGATTGAGGGTACGCGAATTTCCGTTCTCATTAAAAAAGCCCCATGCCTCCCTCTACGGCCCGGCGATTCAGCGTGATTTCTTTTCACATATAATTCCAAAGGCCCAGGCAGTGCTCATGAGTCACGGCACGTAAATCAGAAGACCTCCACCACATACCTCTCGCGTAGCGCCTCAACCCACCATGCCTCAACATCAACTTCCATCCCAACCCCGTTTTTCCTCTCAGCCTGCTCTTTGTAAATTCCCCGGATGACGTCCCTCACCCCGTGATTAACGCCCCGGCCTCCACAGACATAGACACGCGCGCCGGCCTCCCACAACCGCCAGAACTCCTCGCGGTCTGCCCAGATCTTATCTTGGACGTGTTGCCGAGGCTCGCCTTGAGAGTAGGCAAATCGTACATCGACGACGCCTGCCGCCTGCCACATCTCAAGCTCAGACGCATATGTGGTGTGTGCGGCGCTGCGATGTCCGGCGTACAGGATCGCTGGTGCCGGCGGCTTTTGACCTGGCTGTTGGCGCAACAGCTCGGCGCGGTGCTCAATGAAGGCGCGGAACGGGGCGATACCTGAGCCTGCGCAGATCATGACTATCGGTGCCGAGACGGTCGGGTCCACTGGCTTGAAACGGGGGTTACCGCGTCGCACCATGCACTTGAGCGTATCTCCGGCCTTGAGACCGGTGAGATAATGGGAGGCAAGGCCACGAGTCGGGTTCTCGGTAGGAAGGGACCGGGGAGCCATGTGGGTGATTAAGGACCATGTGAGCGTCAGGGATGATGAGCTGGCCAGCGGCGATGATGAGATGGAGTATTGCCGCGGCCTCAACGGGGGGAGCATCATGACCAGCTTATCAAGTGGCAGTTTAATGCTTGGATAGTGCCGGAGCAGTTGCAGGAGAGAAGGCCGCCTGTCGGTGGAAGACGTGGTGCTCGCTGACAGCTGCTGGAGAGCTGCTCTGACCTCAGGGTCGGTACAATTCTCTGCGAGTGTCTCAATTTGCTGTGAAGGGGTGTTAGCTTCTGTGCTACCGCACACCTGTGGACCCACCGTTCCTCGTAAGTAATGGGGGCATGAGGAAGACCGTCTCACGGGTTGCTTACCTTGAAGCTCGCCGGCTGATGCAACTCGAGTCGGGAGTGCATCGTCGATATCAATGGGTTAGACATATCATGCCCCTGAGTTCGCAGTACCTGCAGGAGGCTGTCCATGTCTTCCTTCGTTTTGTCAGGAAAGACCTCTAGGTAGTCGCCCACGTCATAAGTCGTCCCAGTAGGGAGCTTGGTTTCCATATGATACTTTGGTCGTGGCTCGTGCTCAGTCATGACTTTTACGTCAACCACCTCGGCCTGGACTGCTTGGGTGTAACCATCGGAACCAGGGACGTGCAGGATGTTTGTCAGGCTTTCCGTGGTTGCGGTCACTTTGGCCGTGGAAAATGTTTTTGACAAGCTAGGCCACAGGCTGTCTTGCATCCACGCGTCGAAATCGCCAGTGACATTGCCTTCCGTCACGTCTGTTGCTCCTCGTTGTGTAAGGGTCGTGGCACCTCGGTCACACATCCGCTCGTCTATCTGGACGGCAATCTTCTGGTAGGTATCTTTCCAATCGCCTAGGGAAAGGCGTTAGAATAATGAGTAAAAAGCGCCTTTCATGTCTGGGATTTACTTACTGCTTCCACAGCCAAAAACTGCGTACTTCACGCCATTCACGGACGCCTCCTTGTCATCTTCCAGCCACTGAACAAATCTTCCACCATTGTCTAATTGATAGTTAGTCGTAGAGTCAGACACGAAATCTTCCAAGGTGGCATGGTGAATATTAGGGTTGGTACGAACCTGGAGGCTGACCCTCATACATCGTAGAAGTGATTATTACGACCGGACGATCCTTTGGGATATTGCCTTTTGCATTGTTGAGCGGCTGGACATCTCCTTTAAATCCATGCTGCAGTGCAGCCATTACCAGTCTGGATGCCAAGCTCTGGCAAGTCCCGGTATTGGATCCATAGAATATTGACAAAGGGACAAGCTCGCTGTCATCCGCACGATAGTTCATCTTTTCGGCGTCGGTGGCAAAAGACGAGTTGCCGTCAGAGCCGTGGAAAAGATCCTTCTGAAGCGAAACAGGGTCTATGCCGGGGCGCAATCTGGCGTACATAAACAGGTCGAGTGGCTTCAGAGTCAGAGTCTGCTTCCAGGTGAGCTTGTAATTGGGATCCTGAAGTCTGAAGTCGAACTTCTGGAAAAGTACCGCCACGGCTAGGATGGCCTCCTGTATGGCAAAATCGCTTCCTGCGTTACTCGATTAATATCGAATGCTTTGCTACGAGTTGCAGCAATGAGACTCGAAATATGCAGGGCAGGAACGTACCAATGCATCCACGGAGACCATTTCCAAATGGCTAATTGATACGCAGTCAGTCACATTTTCCTGAGCCGGTGCTTGTCATCGGCCGCGTAGAATTACCTTATAGCAGCCAGGAGGCAGCTTCTTGAAGTTTTCCTCCAACATCCTCTCAGGTTTGAACTCGTCCACGTCGTCCCCGTAGGCGGTGCGGTCCCGATGCAGGCCGGGGTTAAGCACGAATGCTGGCTGGTTGCGCTTCAGGATCCATTTCCCACCAAGGAGTACCGGCTCATCAGAGCCCTCTTCGCCCGGAACGGACACTGAGAAAACGGCAGATGGGGGATTCAACCGCAAAGACTCTCTCAGGCAGGCTTTGATGTAGGGAAGCTGGTTGAGGTGCTCAGCGGTTATGGGAGCGCTGCCAACAACTGAGTCCACTTCTTGCTGCACATTACGGTAGGCTTCGGGGTGTTGCAGCAGCAGCGCGAATGTGAATGATAACAATCCAGAAGTGGTCTCGTGGCCTGCGAGAAGTCAGCATAATTCAAATTTCATCTAGAATTGAGGTGCAAAGATCCGGGGCTTTGTCTTTCCTTACCAGCAATCAAGAAAGTAATCATGTTGTCAACAATGGTTTGTTCGGAAAGCATCTTGCCAGTCGCGGGATCTACTCCTTTGAGCATCGCGTTAAGAAGATCCTTCTTATCCGTTGGGTTAGCTCTCCGCTTCTCAAGAAGCTCAGAGGCGACCTGATGGAGATAGGCATTGTCTTCGTCGAACTTCTTGTTGGCGCTCCATTGCATCCACGTCAGCCATGCTGGCCTAACGGACCTGTTTGCCGACTCCGTGAGCACTCGCATCATGGAGTCAACGAAAGGGTGCAGCGTGTCCTTGTAAAAGGAATTGAACCGCAAATCCATCGCACAACTGCACTCTTAGTTAGTCTCCACGTCTCGCACTTATTCGCAGCACTCATGATTACTAGGTTCACTTACAGGGCGATACTGTCTAGAGTAAACCGGGTGAAGTCTGCAGTGACGTCTATGGGCTCGTCTGCACCGAACCGTGCCCATCTCAGAGCCATCTGTGTAATAATGTCATGCATCTCTACGGAACTTGTCAAAAATGGTCCGACAATCATAGCAGGTACTAGGTGGGTGCTGCATTGCCGCACCTGGAAACATTGCCTTCACAGACATGGGTCCGAAAGCCGGGACAAGGACACGATGGGCGATTTCCCAGAATTCTTCTCCATGGTCAGCCGTAAAGAGGCCCTCTGGCGCCACCACTTTGAGGTTACGCACGGCACCTGCAGGGAACTTGACCATGTCCTTGCGGGTACATAGCTCGTTCGCCAGCTCATGGCCGGTGACGAAGACAGGCTCAGCGCGGCCAAGACGAATCTTAAAGATGGGTCCTTCGAAAGTAATCAGCCTTCGCGGATAATTGGTGGTGTTGACATGAATTAGGTACCATATTTCTCAGCGATATCACAAAAGCTGCGTATACTGTTCGCTGGGTCAATATCTCTGAGATTGCCTATGAGCGGCAGCGGTGTTGGGCCGGGAATTGTGGCCATGGTGAAGATCGCAATGTCTGCACGCTGACTGGTGATGTTAATGGTCACACGAGCCGTGATTGCAACGGACTGGGAGGCGGGCTGAGGACATAAGAATACTCAAGAAAAAGCCCTGATAACAAAATTTCACAAAACTGCGGCTGTGATCCTTCAGGCACGCGTGGTCAAACTCGTTGGCCCGTCAAGAGACATCCTACGGTACGCCAAGCCAACCTCGACCAACGAGCGTCGGCTTGAGCTGGGCGAATCCGTCGCCCATCATTGTGGAATCGAAGCGGAAGCCAGCCTGATGATGAAGGGACGGGCCAATCATGGTGATACCCGGCGAGTAGGAGGGCCTGCTGCACGCGAGTCGCGGTGGGGGTTAAGCGAGAGAGCCTATTTTTGGAGACTTCGACAGGTTCAAATTACGTAGCTACAGCACAAGAATGCAACACATAATGTCGTCTTTTGATCTACAGCTTTCTAGCATGCGACACAAAGGAAACATAAATATGTTCTAATTGTTGAGCTGCGGAGGGCTTTTGATGACGACCTCATGTTCCAGACTCAACACCACGGTCCAGCAGGTGATTTGACACCGGGTTTCATTGCCGTTCCTCGCGCGAGCCGGTCAGCCGGGGCGGCTGTGCTATTGCATGAAGACCGTGCCATTCTCCCGCATGCCCGGAGGATCGTGTACCCACAAGTGCCACCCACCAGCACAGCCAAGTCAACCACCACACCGCCTGCGCCCCCTTCTTTCGACCAATTCAAGACGCAGATTGGGGCCAATGGACCCCAACTGCCACGAGTTCTGGACCCAGACTTCCACTCGACTACCACAGTACTCCATAAGACCCCCAAACACGGAGGTGACGCCAGCTCTGATGAGTTTTCACTTCTTCTCCAAGAAGGATTTGTCTGATTCCCCAGACATGAAACTATCATATCGGTGCTTCTCTGGGTAAGAAATTTTGCCAGTCTTTTCCAGTCTTGGAACAATTTTTGGAGTGATTTCCTTGTAAGGTCCCAGACGGTCATGCTGGCCAGCCCCACAGGTCGCCCCATTCCCCCCGGCTTGAACATAGTTTGAGCTGCCTTCAGTATGGACTCACTGGGTGAGCTGCCGTCGTGCGCTGTAGGTTTCTGTTCTTAGCCAGTGATTTTCATTGCTCTTCTCTCTTCTCTTGTCGTCGACTTCTGTGCTCGGTTGCTAAAGCATTGTCGGATCCTCTGGCCAGGCATCATGTCTTTCAACCGCAATCGCCAACGCCACGTGCGGACCAGCCGACCTGGCGTGCATATGTGCCAACGATACCATCAGAAGCCAGGGGTCTACTTGTATACAAAGTAGCTGCACGATAATAGACGTCCTATGTGAGCCCGGCCGTACCTTACTAGTATCACTTGGCGCTCCTGGTCGTCTTGACCGTACTAACTTGTCGAGCACAGCCGCAACAAATGTGACAAATACTCTGTGTGGGGTGGAGCCCGCAACGGACATGTCATGGTTTGTTCGGGATATAGCTATCCTCTGCTTAATGCTCGTGGTCGTCGCCATGCGCATTCTTTCTCGAGTCATGGCGAGAATGCCTTTCTGGTGGGATGACTGGATAAATTTTATGGCTGCTGTGAGAAAAAGCACGCTCTCAGTTCGACTGGAAATTCTGACGATGAAACAGGGGTTCTGCATTGGTCTCACTGCAGCTACTTTCGGAGGGAGTAAGTTCGCACATCATATTCGCTGCCTCGTCGCCGCTGCTAAACGACTTTTTGTTCCAGTGAGACCGAATGGCTATGGCAAGGAAGTCTGGACTCTTCGTCCGGACCAAATTACGGAGTTCTTAAAGGTTAGACGTTAGACAGGATTCCTAGCATTGCCAAATTTGGATCCGACCCACCTTGACGTTTGTTGATGAGCACTAATGACGGTAACAAAACAGAGTTATTACGTCGCATGCGTTATGTACCTAGGAGCGAGGTGTCTCACCCGCATATCCCTGCTTCTTTTTTATCTGCGCATATTCACCGTCAAAGAATGTCGCCGCAAGATTATCTACACCCTGTGGGCCGAATGCATCGTCTCGTTCGCATACTTCATCACAACGATCTTCCAGTGCACGCCGATCAGCTTCCTCTGGACCAAATGGGATCTTGAGCACAGCACCTCTGGTTACTGCGTTGATATCTACAACTTCATGATAAGTGGCTGGTCTATTCTTGTTGCTGCTGACTTTTGGGTCCTGTGGCTACCGTTGTCCATGGTTGCAGGTTTGCAACTCTCCATGAGGAAAAAGCTGCTTGCCTCGGTCATGTTCGCAACAGGAATTGTGTAAGTGTCGGGGACTCAAACCTGTCAGTCCTCTACTTATACTTACACACAATAGTGTTACGGCAGTTGGGATTGTCAAGCTTGCCAAGGTCTACTCTGCCACTCATACTAAGAATCCGACGTGTAAGTTGACATGGTCACCAGCCCCCTCCCTGGGACCGAAGAGGGGCGAGGAGGGAATACACAAATAATCCGTAATTTCCGTCTTTTTGATTCGTGACGCTAACATTCGCCCTTCTTCATTAGATGAGTTGGTGAGCATGAACAAATACTGCCAACTAGAGGTCGACCTGGGGGTGATATGCGCGTGCATGCCTAGTCTGCCCGCGCTCTTCCGATGCGCATCCGACCGCCTCAAGGGCAAGAGGAAGAGGTCAATGACTCACACGACAAGGGCAAGCACCAATGACTCATGGTTCCACCGCGGTGTCACGGGGGAGACGAAGACCTCCGCTACAACGAGCGCCGCAAGCGACCTCGGGCCACCACTTCACTCCACAGGATACGCTGTGCAGGAAGAAGAACATGTTGACCCGCAGCCAGATCAGATACAGGCGACCACCACAATTGCCCAAACGTACTGGCGCAACGATTCTTTCGAAATGGCTGGAAACGATACGGATACGGAGGGCAGGGGCATCGGTCAAGGACCCGTGACGGCGCAGGCATGGGGTGACGGACCTGGACCTGGCTCCCGTGGAGGTCACCAACGAGCTCAATAATTACTACTACAAGCGAAGAGATAACGAAGTTGACAGCAATCTCTTCCGCATCTAAGAGTATGTTTAGTGATGCCAATCAAGTCCTTGCCTTTTGATACCTTTCGAAAATCCTGTAATCAATGGGAATAGCAGTCCCTCAAGACTTCATCTGAGTCGAAAGAAGCTGACGGGGCCTCGAGGTTGGGTCCGGGTCCAGATAATCCTCGAACATATGCGGTTTGTCAATATTCACCTACATATGATACCACAGAGTACTCAACATCTACCCCTTATCAGACTCTATTGCCTGGGATTGTCGTCCAACTGAACCATGGAAAGAATGCCTCAAAGTTCAATACAAAAAACATTGAATCAGCCCGTCCAGCGTGTGGAATGAGTTTTGACCTTCAAGCGTGGGTTCATACATGCACGATGGTGCAACTTAAGGACCAAGTGGTCGAATTTGAGATGTTAATCGGGTCTTCTACAAAGTATTACGTGATAGGGCGAAATCAGAAATGCTTTGAACTGTGTGCTAGACTAGGCATTGTCCCAGGTCTCCCCTCCGTTTAATGCAGCTACTGCAAGGTGATACTTGAAGTCCCACTGCTCCCGTTGCCTCCTTGAGCCGTGTATCCTTCCGTCGCAAGGATCATGTAATTGTGGTTTCCCAATCTCAGACCCACCTTGGCCCATTCGTCGAAGTGCCTACTCATCGTGACCGTCCCGCCAACTCGCTTCTCCTGTCTGACGGACCAGTACTGCTGAAAGGTCCTCGTTCCCTCAATCGACGGCTTGTTGACACGCGTACTCTGGAAGATCTCGTAGGTCCCCTCCTCGAAGGTGAAGTTGCCCTTTGATGTCCATGGCTCATTAGGAGCCAAGTCGCCATGAGACTCGATCACGTAGTACTCAATCAATGGATTCTGGGTCCACCCATACACGGCGAGATACCCCGGGCCGGTCGGCTCGTACGTCCCTGTGTAGGTGACAACCCGGCCGCTGCCTCGGCTCCATCCTTTGCCGCAGACGAAACCGCCCGTGCCTGACCATTGGGTTGAGTAAGTCCCGCCGTTGCCATTGGTGCAGCGGAGATTGATACCACCCTCGGACCAGTTGGACCAGTACCAGCCTTGCCGCTTGCTAAGGCCTCGCTCGACAACGATGTCGGGCTCATCGTTGTTGATTGGTGTCGGTGATGACAATGCCGTTGAACACATGGCCAGCAAAGGCCCCACCGTGGTAAGCAAAGACGAGAAAAACATCTTGATTGGATTAATGCGTTTGATTATTTTGTGTGTGTGAACTGGTAAGCTGTTTTAGGATCAGCAGTTGCGATAAAGGACCATCACGAACGCATGAACGAATTTGTATTGCTCTTTAAATCGCAAGATTCACACATTCACCACGTTAGGCACGGTCAGCAAATACAGGAACAGTCCTTGGAACGCAGTTGGTCCAATGACAAGAAACATTCTGTATTCGTCTCGGGCTCCAAAACAACGATGTTTATATGACGGTGCTATAAGGCTACTTTAGCCGGCAAAGTCTTGTCCTTGGCAGCACTCTCCGTAAGCGAAACGCGAGATCCTGGATATATTATTCTTGGCAGTGTCCTTTCATTCATCATACCCAGTATTTCAGGCTCCGCAAATTTTTGAGATTGGCACCCACCTCATATATAAGATGGTGCGGTGGGTCACATTGGCTGATGTGTAATCTCCGTTTAGAGTATGTGGCCAGGTTGGTGATCTTTTTTTGCGAACGCGAACATGGCCAATCAGTCCGAACATGGCCAATCAGTCCTGAATCAGAGAGACTTCCGACCAAGTATTTCGCGGCAGCTCCCCGAGGGTCATTGAGAAATCAACGCGTTAAGGGGAACCCGGCTTGAGGGCCGTTGATTGTCCTAAGTATTGTACACATATCTCACCTGAGGGACCTATGAGTGGTAAGAACTCGTCTTCGCCCCGAAAGTATCCTGGGACAGATACGGCTCGGAGCATAGTGAAATCTGTCATGCCGCGTGAGTGCATTCCCCACATATCGATCGATGAGGCGTCCTCTCTTCCGATTCGGCAGGTGAAATGTGCGCAATGTCTGCCCGACGCCTTCCAGTGGACCAGCTTGGCTAAAGCCACTGGTCTGCCTCATGGTCTTTCGTGCAGGCACGCACTATGCATGTGGTAATCTTACCTAATTGAACCTGTTACTCCAGATATTGGAGGATTGTGGACGTATGATGATAGGACAATAAGCTGAATCAAAGGTCATCTTTTGTTTTTGAGAAGATTAATTAGAATTATTCATCTTCGTGTCAATCCTTGACTTTGACTGCGTAACTTGAGTAGATACCCGTGCAAACTGCCGTGCCGAAGTAGCCGGACACTTCCTTTTCAGAAGTTCGCATGCTATTCCTTGAGCTTGTCATCACTCTGTCATACCCGTGACCTTCGACCCTGCTTGAAGTAGCAGCAAGAAAAAGAGCATCGTCGTCTGCCAGATACACTTTGAACTGGGCAGCGTCAGGTTGTTCCAGCGCGATAAAAGTAATATCGGAACGAATCAACCCCTTCCCGATGATGCTCATTGGATACTCTGCATCTCCCCGCATCTCCCTTGCAACTAGGAGGACTCTATCTATACTCAAATGGCAGTTCATCGCCGTGAGTTGGGAATCGAGCTGAAAAACAGGACGGCCCCGAGAGTGCATCAGACACCAGTCGCCCGGCCGCGCCGTTGGCGGGAGCACCACCTCGTCCAGCGCCGAACCCCCGGATGTCAGATGATTGGATCCAGATGGTGTGTCTACAAGCCATGTCCCAATTCTCGTAATCCTACCTTCTGCGAGGCCTGAATGGAGCCCAAACTGATCTTCAAATGCCCATTCACCATCTCTTTTAACAAGACGATAGCCCCAATAGACATCGTGTTGACCAGAGTCCCAAGCAGGTGGAGGCTTTTGGGGGGCTCTCAAATCGACGCCATGACCCGGTGAGCAGATTGTATTGACACTTAGTCTTCGGGACTGTTCAGCAAGATGCTCTGAGGGCAGACTGCCTAATCTCAGATTCTGTGCCACGTTGGCGGCGAGGTCATACCAACGACTATCCCAACCACCCGGTCTCTGCTTGATGACCGCCATGACCTGGATGGCGAGGTCAAAAATATCCCTGCCGTAGTCCACGGATATTGCTTCATCGTCAGGCCACCTGACCATAGACAGCGTTCCGTATACCTTATCTCTGATATCTCCACACTCTTGATATCTGATTTTCCACATGAGGGAGCCGAGGCTTCTTGTCTTTGGGTTTGGGGAGGAGCCTGCACCTAGCAGCCAAAGAAAGTATTTGGTCCATTGACAGTTGTATCGACGCAACTGCTCTTTCGGAGTGAACGGGTGGAGCAGTCCCCATACCATATCAACTGGCTTGATAACCCAAGCAGACGACAAGAACGTACTGACCTGAGCCAATCCGTAGACACAACTCATTTGAACACTTTCCAGCCCGCAAGTGACGATGACCTCTCTGCCCAAGAAAAGCTCCTGGCATATCCACGTCCTCTGAAAGTAAGGAGCCGCCAAGAGGGACTCTAGCGCAGTGCACAGGCGTATAATTGAGCATCTCGGCATGCTCAAGATGAACCAGGTCACCATCCGCGTCCACTTGTCGTCGGTCATCCGCGCAATGTCAAGCTGGAACTCGTCATCCGGCAGCCAGTGCTCTCCGATCGACCGCAGCAGTCCAGACCGCGACTGGATTCTGCGGAATAGGAACATGTCGTCTGTACCATCGACCGGGGCCCCGAGGCAGGCCAGCACGTGCTCGGCCCGTCGGTAGACGCGACCCATCGCGACCACCTGCGCCTCCCTCTCGGCCTGATTCTTCTGGTCGATGCAGACCGCGTCGCACCAGAAGTAGCGTTTGTCGCTTCCATGTGCCCCCCTGGAACGCGAGAGCTTGGCCCTGCAGAGGGTCGCTTGACACAGAGCGACTTCGCAGTTCTTAGTCACACGCAGCGACCGGCCATTGATCTGCAGAAGGGCGGTCTGCGCCGGATCACCCCAGCTGTAGGAAATTGCGCTGAACGCCGGACTGTCCTCGATGCGCCATGTCGTTAAGTCGCAGTCGAGGATGTGAGAGCCATCCCCATCGTGAGCTTTTGCCGTGAGAAGCCTGATGTAATTTGAAGCATCCGGCAAACTCTGGTGCTCGTATTCAAGTCCCAGACTGCAGTTATCGCTGTCGTCCATGGCAATCATGACTTAGTTACCTAGGTAAGTACCTAGGTAGGCAGGGGCAAAACTGTTAACTTGGCTGAGACTTTGCAGCCAAGCCATGGGGCTTCTATTTTTACACCGGCAGCCGATTGCCCAGGCGGTTGCTTCTCTGCACCCGACAAATCCTTCCTGGAGCCGTGTGGGGATTCGTGTACAACAGTTAAGTGGCGCTAAAACCTCCCAAGATTCCCCGGACCCACTACTCTATAAACCTATAAAAACTAAGAGTAAAAATTAGATACTCTATTATACTTCATCTAAGTAACCTTAAGGGTACTATATTAGTACCTATAGATAGCCTATAAGAGTTATAAGAGCCTATAAGGCTTACTTTATTTTTAAAATATATCCTTAATATAAAACTTATAGTAACTATAAGAGTTACCTTTCTATAAGACTTAAAAGATTAAAGTATAAAAGTTATATAATGAATTTTTAAGGAGAGAAGTAGGTATATATTTTTAAGGTAGAGGAAGAGGTAGTTATAAAAAGGTAGTTATAAAGAGAAAGAGTAAAATAAAAATAAAAATAAAAATAAAAATAAAGATAAAAATAAAGATAAAAATAAGGATAAAAATAAAGATAAAGATAGAGATAAAGATAAAGATAAAGATAAAGATAAAAATAAAAATAAAAATAAAAATAAAAATAAAAATAAAAATAAAAATAAAAATAAAGATAAAGATAAAGATAAAGATAAAAATAAAGGTAAAAATAAAAATAAAGATAAAGATAAAAATAAAATAATATTTTAAAGTAAGTTAGAAAAGAAAAACTTTAAAATTACTTTAAAAGAAAAATTCTTTTTAACTATCTTTTATATTTAAATAAATAAAGTAATCTTTAAATTATTAAAATCTTTTTATATAACTTTTATACTTTAATCCTTTAATTTTTATAGAAAGGATTAACTCTTATAATAAGTGTAACTCTTATAGTATATATAACGTTTATAAAGAGTTATAACGCTTATAAATCCCTCTTATTTATTAATATAGTAGTCATTCTTATTATAATATATAGTTTCGCTTCTATTCTATATACGTCCGAGGATATACATAGCGCCTTTATACGGTAGTAAGCACTTAAAACCTTATTATAATATATTTAACTTATATTTTAACTACTTTTTAATTTAAATTATACTTTTTTTAATTTTAATTATAATTATATTATATTTATATTAATATTATAAAATCTTTTTAAATATTATAATTATTTATTAATTATTAATTTAACTTTTAAACTTTTATTTTAAATAAAAATTCTTATAATATCTATTAATATATTATTAATTATTTTTAATTTTATTTAATATTATTACTTAAATCTTATTATTTATTATAATCAAACTTAATTATTATATAATAAAAATATTTTAAAGTTAAAATTAATATTTATAATTTTAAAAGTTAATAAAATATTACTAATATAATAATATAAACTTATAAACTTTTAAAATAATTAATTATTATAGTCTTTTAATTAAATAGTTTATTATACTCGTAGTTATTAAGTTTAACTATTATAATAATTAATTTTAAAATTATAAGTTTAAGCCTCTATAATTTAAAAATCTTATATTAAGTAAGGGTATTAATTTAAAAGTATTAATTAAATAGTAATTTAAAGTAAGTTATATTTATAAAGAATTATTTAATTATAATACTATAAAATCTATTTAAAAACTTAATTAAACTAATAAAAATAAAGTTATATTAAGCTTCTATTCTATTTAAAATTTTAAACCTTCTATTTACTATATATTAATTTAATAATAAATATTTCAATTACCCTTAGCTAATTATAACTTAATATTCCGTTATATAAAAATTATTTCCTTATTTAAGTGGTTCTAATAAGCTTTAATAAACTTTAAATAAAGGATATAATAGTATAAGTTTATAAACTATTAAAATAACTAATTATTAAATTAATTGTTATAATCTTTTAATTAAATAATCTATTATATTTATAGTTAATAAATTTTACTATTTTAATTTAAATTTATTATAATAATATTATTTTATATATATTTATTATATATATATTATATAAATATATTTTTATTAAATATTTATTAAAGTTATAAGTTTATATACTTTATTTATTTTATTAATTAAAGTAGTTTTTATATTTTTATAATATTAAATTATAGCTTTATTATTTCTTTATATTATTTTTAAAGTAATTAAACTTTTAAATTTATAATTCTTTATAAATAATTTAAACTTTTATTTTATTCTAAATTATAAATATTATTTTAATATTAATATTTTATATATACTTTTAAAATCTCTTTTAATATAAAGTAAAAGATTTATAATTATAATTTTTAATTGATTTTTATTTAATTAATTTTTAATTATAATTTAATTTAACTTAATTTAAACTTTCTTTTAAGTTATATAAAAGCTTTTATTTTTATAAATATAAACTTTTAATTAAAACTTTTAAGTTTAAATTTAAGATTTTATAAATTTTAATTTCCTTTAAGTTAAGTTTATAATTTTTAGCTTTTCTAAAAATATATTAACTATTTTAAATATTAATAACTTTTTTTTAAAGTAAAAATCTATCTTTATATAATTATAAATTTAATTATTAATAGTTATTTTTTTATTTATAGTAAAGCTATTAGAATTATAAACTCAAATATTATATATAGTAATAGTGTGTGGTTACTATACTTAAAGGTTATCTTTTAATTTAATAGTATAGTAGGCTAAGTGACTATTTTTAAGTAGTTTTACTTATAAAGTTAATAGATAGGTGTTTATTTAAATAAAGTTAGAACTTTTAAAGGAATAATAGCTTTATTTTTACCTATTTTAATTAACTTATTTAAGTTATATAGCGACTTTATATGTAATATTTAATAGTACTAAAACTAGCTTATAGTTTATAATAGCTTTAAATTTTAATAAACTAGTTTATATTAAGGTTAATAGTATTAACTTAAATTAATTAAGTATAGCTTAGTGTATTAATGTAGCAAGGTATTTTTAAATAATAAATAGTGTTATAAATAATTATAAAGTTATTATAAAAGTTTTATATAATAAACTTAATTAAGTTAATTTTTAAAAGATATATTATATTTTATCCTTTTACAACCTTAATTATTTACTTTTAGCTTAATAGTAGAATTAAAAAATATAAATAGTTTATACTTTTAAAATTATATAAAAGCTTTTAAATTAAAAATAATATTTATTTAAAGGAGATAGTTTTTTATTTATTATTTATAATATATTATATTAAAAATATTAAACTATTATTAATAATAATTTTAATTAACTTTTAAAAAAAGAAATATTTAAAATAATTATTAATAAATTATTATAAACTTATTAATAAGTATTTTATATTAAATTTAATAATATTAAATTAAATTATAATATAAATAATAGAATTAACTAAAAAGTATAATTATATATAGTATAGTAAGTACTTAAAGGACTTAGAATTCAATCCTTTAGGGGGCTTTCTGCCTGTACAAATTTAGAAATCGACCCCATAGAACACCTTTCGATTTTCTAGAACCACTCGATTCGTGATGACCCTGATCGACAGTAAAGTCAGGCCCAAGCCAGCGTAGCAATAATTGTGTACCTAAAAAAAGGCACCTCCGAATGGTTCATGCCGAGTTGCCGGAGCAAGGGGGAGATCATAATCTCTCTCTCCATGAAAACGATACAGTCATTCGGCTGCGAGATGGAGCGAATAGGAGTTACCGGCTTTACCTAGGTACACTACATCGAACTCAGGTGTCCCCCTGGAATCCCATCTACTACATGGTACTCTCGCGAAATCTATGTTGTGTCAGAGCGTGGGGCAGACGAATTGGGGCCAAGTAACACTGTGGGGGGAATGACGTTCATGCGAGAAGGCTTCGCCGCTCAACCGACGCCCGAATTTAGTCTCGGGTCTTGGACAGGCTATACGGAACGGAACGGCTCGCCAACGAATCCCTGTCGAAAGTGCAGCCTCCCACTGAATTTCCGTCCTACAGGACGGTCACCAACCCCTTTTCCCGCGCCATTATGGATACTTGGATTTCCCCGACCCCATGACTTTGGTCTCTATCTGAGCCCTGTTCGCGTGACAGTGCTGCATGGCAGCTTGGTAGTGCCATGGCCTCTGGTTAGCCCGCGGTAGATCTCCGAGCGGGGCATTTGACTGGAGACTCCCCGCAGAACGGGGTGCCGCCTCCTGAATCCTGTGGACCTGTAAGGTGCTTTGGACTTGCCGTGATCCAACGACACCGACTCATGCCAGCCCAGACAGCTGTTGTATACGAGGACTGGCACGTAGCAATGACGATGTGAGTCTCGGTATCATGACGTACATGTGCCAAAGTTTGCATGACTCTTTGTGGCCATATTCAGCAATTTGGACACGTTGTTAACATACTTTATTGGTCGGGCAGTAATTCCTCACGTTGGAGTGCTGACGGCAGGACGTCCAGCAACGTGCAGAATCGTGCAATATGTTACTGGGCCTAAGAGCACACATCGTGCAGATAGAACCCTGCTTCAATAATGAAGTCACATTCAGGAGCATGAAGGTTGACAACAAGGATAGTACCAGCCCCGTAACAAACAAAGGTCGGAGCCCCCAGACAATAGTGGGCATCAACATGACAACGTCCTCAGCTGGGTCCACCTACGCCTATCATTGCCATCTCTAATGCTGCCATACCCATACTCCAACGAGGCAGGCGGTCGACAGGACATCTATTGTTTGAAATGATAAACATAAATACCATCACCACGTCCATCATCCATCAATCTATCTCTTGTTCAACATCAGTGACTCACACAGATATTTAAACAACTACTCAAAAATATTACAACCTCTCTCAACCCTCAAAACACAATCATCAAAATGCAGTTTACCACCGCCATCCTCGCCTTTGCCGCCGCCTCCGTGGCCAACGCCGAGGTCCTCTTCAAGGCCTCTGCGTTCAACGCTGCCTGTGTCCCCCACGGCTCCGAGTGCATGTGAGTAACTTTGTTCCGCCGCCACACCATACTATCCCAGAAGCCAGCCCGACGCTGACATACCCATTTCCAACAGCTATGCGTTTGACGTCATCTCCACCGACAACGCCTCGGCAGCCCCGGTCAGCTGCCGTGCCCAGGTCCAGACCACTGACGGCACCCTGCCGGAGGTTAAGGCCGGCGAGGGCAAGTGTGGGGAGTCCGACCTGACCTTCTTTGTTGCTAAGAACGGCGACGGCCTCCGCGTCAGTGTCTCCAAGCCCGTCTCCACTACCGTCCAGCGCGTCGGCTCCCACATCATTACCGGCGGCGAGATCGAGCTGGAGCAGGCCGGCGCCTCCGGCGGGCAGAAGTACACTGGCCCCGCCGCATTCGACCTGGAGCGATAAATCTGGCCGTCCTTTGCGGTATAATCTTTTTGGAACGGGCTGACCGATATGGATGTTTCTGTTGAAGTCGCTCTGTTGGATGTACATACTTTGTCGGTGGGCATATCTAGACCTTATAAGAATCTCTAAAACCCTAGGAGTCAATCAAATATTGATTGGGGCGGAGGCCTTCATTCTCCTAAGATATCTCCTGATAAAGTGACATGTGTGGTCATCAATGCACAATAACCAACGTACCCGAAGTCTTTGTTCATGACAGTGCCCCATTCTAGACAGGCTTCTGAGCTGAAGACCATTAGTCGGATGTTTACGTGTTTCCAGTCTAGTGGAAGCGTTTCTCATCACTTAGAACAATCGGAATATATATACAAAAGACTTAAATTTATTCAACAATCTTTTACTAAATAACACTTGGCTTTTTGAAGATTTGGGGTTGCTCTTTGGGGTTTCCGTGATTTCCCAACCAAGCTGTCTGAAAAGGAGCGTTCTAGAGTGGAATGAGTGGCATTGGTTCTGAAGGGTTCAAGGAACCAAAGTGCGACTGCTGCATGGTTGAAATACAAGACTCGACCTTTCGCAGATTTTATGACCAGGACAGGTCCAAATGGCAAAACCAAATTTTCGGGAGGATCATGTCCAGGTACTTCGAGAGTTCATTGCAACAGGATTGTATTTTAAATCCAGTTGCTTCTCATGCATTTACTCGGCTTCTAGCTCCGCCACCCCGTTGAAAAAGGCTTGTAGTAGAGACACCAAATCTTGACCTGAGATCCAAAGTCTCTTCATTTACCAACGGGCGATTCGGATATCAGCATTCGTGGGCATGGCTCAAGGCGAGGACTTGTAGGGCGACATGGTGCCTTCTGAAACATTGGCTTACAGAAGACTGAGCAGTCAATATCGAAGCCTGATATGGCGAAAGTGACTGCGTCTATGTTTAAGATACATGTTGCCTTACGCTTTTCCAAGGGGAGACCGACTCCTGTTGCAGCTAGTACAGTAACTCAAAGAATACAAACAGTCGACGCCTGACTTGCTGGCAGTGAATGCTACTAAAAGCGAAGACATTATCTTGTATTAGAAGCCAAGAGCCCAGCCTCATGATAGCAGATCTCTGCTACTTTCTCAAAACATCTGGTAGACATCAAAACGCAAGTCCCCATTAATATTCATATCCGGGTCGGTATACTCTAGATGAAACTTCTTGTTGTAGCCCTCCACCCCATTGAAAAAGGTTATAGTGTTGCCATCAACCTTCACATTGTCCATGGAAACACCACCGATTTTCACATCGACCGATCCGACCTCGATGTTGTTCAAGGGCGTCTGGCCGTTGGCGTCTAGGTAGATAGCGACCGCATAAACACCCACGGGGGTCTTGGCTAGCGTGGGGTCGTCGCCAGTGGCTGAAGTGCTGCATTTGTTGTTGAACATGTCATAGTTGCATGTTCCGGTATAAATGTGGTTTCTTTGAGTGGTCATATTGGGTGACTTGAATGCTGCGCAAGTGGTGAGGGGGCTCTTCTGCCAGTGGTGGGAAGAGAGAGCTGTAGGGATAAGGTGGGTGTGAAATAATAGTCTGCTGAGCCAAAGAGCATGGGAAAATCAACAGACGGTCTTTCCCAGATTCATATCTTCAGCTTTTATTGATGAAGCTCAAGGGCTTTCTTTCTTTGAGAGGTACAGTGGATTGAAAACTGATGTGATAACCGTCAGAGCCTTGTTTCAGCTCAAGGAAGCCAAGAGAATTGGCGGCCGCCGATCACTAAGCGGCATACCTTTGAGGTGCGCCATGGCGCGACTAATCTTGGAAAAGTAAGAAAAGATGAGCTCAGCACCCAGCATCAAGAAATCAATGTGCAAATATGGTAGGTGACTTGATGCCCAACGTGTAAAGCTGGACAACAGCCTCGTACATCATCATCCGCCCATTCCTGCGTAATCATTACTTTCAGGCTGGATTGAGAGGCCTGCATTTCTTATCACCACCCTCCCATAGCAAGTATACAATAGAAACAAAGCCTCGACGTGTCCGGAGGATTGAATTATAATTATTAGGATGCTTGTGCCGCACTGGTGCATCCATATTCGTGGTAGTTCGACTTTCACTCACTTGATCTAGGTCATCTTACACGATATAATGACCAAGTGCCATTCCGTTTAATTAACGACAAAGAACTGCTCCATGGAGGTATCAAGTAAGATCCCCATGTGTTATAGCTTTCGATCGCAAAATAGGCAGGCGAAGGTGTTTCCAGGTGGCCATCCAAATATTCGGTCCGCCTTCACACTTCGCCCCTCCTCCACACCAACTTGCTGCTGGACGCCGCAGACACTATGCGGCGCCTCATCGTAGCAGATAGTCCAAATGTCAGGGCATTCGCGAAGCCTACAAACTGACTCGTGCTCTGCAGAGCTCCAACAATCCTCGTATTGGACGGCGCCGTGCCCGTGGCCTCCATCAAGCGGTTCACGATGTCAGGAATCCAAAGTAACACGTATAGGGTTGGATAAGCGTTGAGCAGTAGCATCCGACGAACCTCCTTCTCGACGCCGCGGCTGTTATGGCCGGACTTGGTGTCCGATGAGGAGCCGTGACGGAATTCGCTCTGTGATTCAACATATGTGTGGACAAGAGGCTTCGTCACCGAGAGGCTGTTGTTGGAAGCACGACTAGTGTTGGTCATTTGCGAGTGTGGCCACGATATAGACTGCTCGTAAGACGGTGAAGAAAACCCAGCATCGCTGATTGGCGGGGGATCGTGGATTAGATGCTGCTCGACGAAGCTCATATGGATATTATGTGAGCGGAAGACCTCTTCGCGGCTGTCCCCTGCGCCATCATGGTCAGGCCCATCTGTCGTTGTAGATGCGGTCGGGCATCTTGCGTGCTGCCGGATCGGCCTGCTTTCGGCTGCCTCCTGTAGAGGTGACCCAAAGGACGTCGCGGAGACGCCTATACCCTGGTAGCGGCCCCCTGACTGCTTTCGCCAACTGTGAGTTGGCTGGTCGCATGAAACAGACGACTGAATAGTGTCCCCACTGTTTTGATTTGTGAGCTCTGCTCCTGATGGTGTCCTCGCACGGCTCCGCGCATCATTTGAGTCCATGACAAGTTTTAGACCTTGCCATCGCTCTTTGAGCGCAAACCTTCCTGCATTTGAACCTCTGCCTGTGTCTTTCTCTGACGTTCCTTGTCCCGTCAACGGATTGTAGCTGCCGGTACGGCCCCTCTCTGCCCCAAACAGGGCCTTGAAATGGCGGCGCACATACCACCAGATGTAGGCATACAGCGCCACTGTGAGGAAGATTATTGCAATCCTCCAGCCGTTAGTGAGAGTGTATCATAGGTCTGTTCTATCCGCAGTAATCCAGCACCAGTTGCCGCTTACTGGCGACATAGCCCGCATGCCAACAGCTGTGGTGCTGGTGATGACTGGCACGAACCATGTCGAGAGGCAGATGATTGTCTTGGCCGCGAGTGAGACGTTTGGTAGATAGGTCTTCCGTGTGATGGTCAAAAGTGTCACGATAACAATTGCCATGATTGTGAAGTCCACGGCCTGTACGGTCAACTGGTTGACGAAGCCGTTGGCGATGCAGGCTGGGCCGGGGTTGGGTGCTTCGGCCTGAATGTATATGCCGCCCGATATGGAGTTATTGAGGGTATTCAGGAATTCTACGCGGCAGATAGTGTTAATAATTTGGGATTTGAAAGCCTCGTGAATGGCCGATACCAGAATATACGTCTCGTTCATGCGGTCGCGTTGCGGAGGGGGGAAAGGATTGTCAGTACGTACCCGCGAGAGCCAGGTTGAAGACCAGAACCTGCCTGAAGGACCGCAGTTCCTCCCGATACACCATGTATGATACCAGCACGCAGAAAGTCGCAATGCAGGAGATCATGCTCCCGGCAAGAGTAAACCTCGCGACGACATTGTCATATGCCATGTGGACAGCGACAGAGAGGCCTAGCTGAGTTAGGTGGTCTGCGGCTGAGCAAGTGTCTAGGTATATGAAAATTTAATCGCACGTGGTGTAAAGCTGTCTGGTTACTATGATTAGTCACAAAAAGGATTGTAACGCCAAAGTTGTGGCGATCTAGGAGAGAGGTAAGGAAGTCGATTTGTTGTAGAATATCGAGAACTTACCGTAGTAGTATGTGATCTTCGGCATAATCTCACTACTTGAAAGAAAGAGGGGGAAATTTCTTGTCAGCTGCGCTATCTTGTAGTCGACAACTAGAGACACTACCCCACGCTATCTCAGCTTCGTGGTAATGCGTATAAGACATGACTGAGCAAAGTTGGAAGTCACCACACTCAGACTATGCAGCTCATTGAATGGCTGGGCCACTCGCTTCTACTCCGTACGCACCATGTCAGCTTGTCCTACATGACATGCACACTTGGAACCATCAAGTTATGCCAATGCTTGGCTATTTCGCTAGTACCAGACAACACCGTCAACGTGTAACATCAAGAAGGCTGTGAATCTATTTAGTTGCATAAGAGGATGCTGACGTGAGGGGGGGGGACGATAAGTCTTCCTAAGATATCAGATATTCGCACCCTCAGAAACAGAATACACCCGCACAAGTATATTCCCTTATACACATCACCCATAATGCCTACAGGACAGCCTCCTATAAGATAACCTCCTATGGGATAAAATCTGGTGATGGATCTGCATCTCAACCTTCGGGCGAGAACGACGATGACGCACCTCCTTGCAGGGAGCCCAAGGGCAAGGAGCTCATGCCTCATGACGGTCTGACCCTAGGCACGGTCCGCGGCGAGGTCGAGACAACACAAGCTGGTGACCCAGACGCCTCGAGTAGCGAGGGCTGTCGCTGCAGCCCCAGATGACGATGATGGCAGTCTATGAAGGATCTGTCAGAGGGCCACATTCTGGGAGATCACATATCTCATATGATGTTTCGAGGCTTGCAGGACAAGAAAGAAAGACGTCGCAAGAACAGGGAGCAGAATTTCAACTCAAGTTCCAGGCGTGTTCTCGAGAAAGCTTGTCAACCACAATGACGCCGTTGTCGACCAAGACGGCGAAATCTTCGGAGAAAGAGGATCGGAGACTTATTCGCCCAAGTCCCCGGGGGGACGCGATACAACAACGGTGAGCATGGCAGCGCTCTAGGAGTTCTGGCTCTTCTTCTGTGGACAACAGCTCCCATGACAACAACGGCACTGGTGGCAATACTGGTGACGACCAGGGCCCACATGATGATGGCGCCCCTGATTCATCTTTCGGCCTCGGCAACTCTCAATGGGGTCGAGATTCATGCTCTGGCGGCGGTAGCTTTCGGGGAGGCAGCAGTTTTCATTGCCGCAACGCTCCCGGTGGCTACCAGAACGGACATGACGATGGTGCCTCTGGCCCGTCTTCCGGCATGCCTGGCCCTTTCAACAACACACCTCGCCACCCTCCCCATCTGCCTGGCCCGTCGTCCGGCATTCGCAATTGTAAATGGGGTCCACAGTCATCTTCCGGCATTGACGGCTCCAGATGGTATTCAGGGCCATCTTTCGGCCGCGGCAGGCCCAACGGCGGCAACGGCAATGTTAGTTCGTACTCTTCTTCTCCTTTCACAAAATCACAGGTGACTAACATTACGAGCAGGCGGGGATGAAACCGCGCAAACCGTGACCGATGGCGGCGCCCCTGGCTCATCGCCTGAGGGCACTGGAGGACAAGACCTCGAGCAAGGCAGGAAAATACACGATATAGGGCAGAGGAGCCGATTTGAGCGGTATAAGCCAAAATTTCACGATCCAGAATGGCGCGCCAAGGAGAGAGTCAAGAGCCTCGCGAAAAGATGCAGCTGCAGCACCTCCCAATCCTCCAAAGGCTCCCTCTGTTGCCAAGGGTCCGTCTCCTCCCAATGCTGGTCCTCCTAACGCTTCCTCGCGCCCGAGGCACAAGCATCATGGTAACCACGGGAAGGGCGGAAAGGCTAAGAAGCCCTACGCCCAAAATGATCAAACCTCCCCAGTCTCCATCGACTCCGCAAGGGTGGAATCCATACATCCAGAAATCTGGAGCGACGGGGCAGCAACTGGAAGAATTGAAAACACACACAAAAAAAAAAAGAAAGAAATGGTCGCCGAGGCCATCTTACGAAGGCGCAAAGACTAAGCTCGGGCAAGAATGGGAAGAACCCCTGAGCGGTACAGATGGAAAGGTTATTGAGGCTCCAGAGTTTCAGAGAGTCTGTCGATGAGGTCTTTTTCTTTCTGGCACGGAGAGTATTGAAAAATGGTGTATGCGGCAGTGGAATCGAAATAAGTATTAGTAGTTATAGATTGAGAACAAGGTGTGCGCAGCCGGCGAAGCGTCACCTACCAATGATGACACAGACACAGATTTGGACTGTACCGACAAAAGTGCCCCTACACATGCGTGCCTCTTTCTCCGATGATGTTTGCTCCCTATGCTTATTAAGTGCGCCGGCACGAATAGGGATGGCCTAACTCTATGGCTAGAATACTAGTTTGTTCAAGCAAATTGGAAAGTCACTGCCAAATTCTCTGCACGGGGAAACCCACTGATTTAAAATAAAATAATTCTACATTGCCTTGCCCTTCTAGGGAAATCATTGTTGCTCCGGCTTAACAGAGGAACTCAAAGAATACAAGTAGTCCATATTCCATGCTTACTTGAGTGATGCGAAGGCGACGGCTCAGTCTAGAAACGCCGGCTCGGCTCTAGATGGCCAGGAGGTAAGGGACCTTAGCAAGGTGCCAGCACCGGAAGCTGGTGGAAAGCCATGGATTTCAAGCAGTGACTGCTCATGTCTTAGATAGTGATATATCAGAGGCTGGCTGCAACACCTGCTAATAATCAACAAACTGGAATCCAAAACGAACCCTGAAGTTTGTTGAATGTTGACAAGCTTTTGCCAAGTCAGCCCGGTGGATGCTAATCAACTTGATCTGCCGCCGTCATCTCTTGGCACGGGATCTATCGACAATTGTAAGGGTATAAGGAGCTTCCAAGTCAGTGTGGTTCCCTCGACAGGCATCCGGATCGTTGCCCTGAATCAAACCCAATGTCAAGCCTCCATCGGATGAGTAGAGACACGAACAGTTGGCCTACGTCGGCCAGCGAACTGAATAAGTCCCTGAATCAAGCTTGATTCATTCGGGCGACCGGCAATTCAGGTGACAGATGCTATCAGAGGGACGATAAGGTCATATCAATAACACCGAACGTGTCATGTTGGGCTGCTGGTTCCATGGCCTGCTGGTTCCGAGTGTCCCGAGGTCACCATCGCCACGCGTACACTAGAAACGTCCCAATCGAGTTACGGCCCCACTGGTAGCAGGGCCATCCCAGCCAGTCGCGTGGAATGTTCATCAAGCATTACCCACATCTCGGTTTCCCCATGGCCTCGTATCTTGGCTATCTTGGATGGGCAAATGGGCGCGGCTGATAACGCGATCGTCCGCATGGCACGTTGGCACGCACCACCTTCCCCATCTGGAGTGCAAGTCCTCCGCTGCTCATTACCTAGGTACTTACTCGAGACGTTAATCCTGGCTTTGTCTCCAATCGCCGCATCTATGCTCAACATATATGGGTCACGACTTAGAGTGAAAGTTGGGCTGTTGTGTGGCGATCGTGTGATAGAGACACCGAGGCACTTGTCGAGCAGGATCTTGCCATATCCTGCCAAAGATTCAAAGAGCCAGATAGGCTAGGCCATACGGGAGGGTGATATACAGTACTGCTATCAAAGATGCCAAGGGTACAAATCTTGATTTGTGGGTCTGATACCTACCTAGGTAGGTAGGCTGCGACAACCCGGCATCGTAGTAGGAGATATCCGAGTGGAATGCGTAGGATGTAGTATCACTACATGCAATGTGACGGACCCTCTGTTTGCTTAGACTCTTATAACTATCATGTGCCGCTTGTGCTTGCGTTTGAAATATCCCTTCGCATCCCCTCTCCAACTTCCGCTTTATTAGCGGGGTGGCAACCTTCACGGCCACTCGTTGTTGCTCTCAACTCGAGAGCACTATTGTTCCGAAACTCAATATGTGTAAGCGCCTCAATGCCTGTCTTTCCATTTGTTTCTTCTTGACTGGTAGCAACTGACATCATGCTAGCGAAACTTACCACTGATCATGGCGAGGCAAGCATTCTGCCTCCGCCCTTTGAGGAACCCCCAGCCGTCCACCCGGAAGTCGGCACTGTGTCTGAGGAGAAGGCCAATTTTGACGCAGAGATAGTCACCAAGACCTCCACAGGTATCGGTGACGTCTACGATCATGAGCAATACCCCCCACCCACCGACGAAGAGCGAAGCACTCTTCGCAAGGTGCCCGACACGATCCCCGCCATCGCCTATATCCTCTGCGTCGCCGAGCTGGCCGAGCGAGCGTCCTACTACGCAACAACTGGTGTCTTCAACAACTTCATGGAGTATCCTCTGCCTGAGGGCGGCAACGGCGCTGGAGCTGTTGCCAAGTCCGACATCAATGGCGTGCCGGGCGCTTTGGGAAAAGGCGTACAATTTGCCTCGGCACTTGTTTTGTTGTTCACTTTCCTCGCCTACGTGTTTCCCATTCTCGGCGCTTGGATCGCAGACACAAAGCTAGGTCGATACAAGACCATTATCTGGGGAGCAGGCATCGGGGCCGTAGCTCATGTGATCATGGTCGGTGGCGCTGCCCCGTCCTTGCTCCAAGCTGGCAGAGGCATCGCCCCTTTTATGATTTCGTTTTTCTTGCTTGCAATTGGTGCTGGTATCTTCAAGCCGAACGTCGCACCCACAGTGATCGATCAATACCAGCATCAGCGAGAGTACACCAAGGTTCTGAAGTCTGGCGAGAAAGTTCTAGTGGACCCGGAGACCACGATTCAACGGATCATGGTGATATACTATGGCTTCATCAACATTGGTGCATTTTTCGCCCTGGCCTCTACCTATGCTGAGCGCTACGTCGGGTTCTGGCTGGCATTCCTCCTACCAACCATCATCTATGTTTTAGTTATCGTCATATTTGTGGGCGTGAGCAAGAAGATCGTCAAGAAGCCACCAATGGGGTCCGAGCTGAACGACTTTTTCAAGATTACCTGGATCTGCTGCAAAGACAACAAATTCATGGTATGGAAGAAAGACTTCTGGGACGCCGCCCGCCCTGCTGTTTTGGCAGAGCAGGGAATGACAGTGAAATGGAACAACCGTCTCGTTACCGACGTGGGCCGCACTTGGGCCGCGTGCCAAGTCTTCCTCTACATACCCATTTATTCACTCAACGACGGCGGCATCGGAGCTGCAGGTTCCAACTTGGCGGGTTCGATGACGCTCAACGGCGCCCCAAATGATCTCCTATCCAACTTCAACCCGCTGGCAATCATCGTCTTCACCCCAATCATGGCCTATGGGGTCTACCCTCTGTTAGCCCGGAAGAACATTCGATTCGGCCGCATCAAACGCATGACAGTCGGCTTCATCATCGCAGCAATCTCAGGTATTTGCGGTGGACTTGCACAACTCTATGTATATCGCACCTCGCCTTGTGGGTATATGGCTTCGACCTGCGACAATGTGTCGCCTATCTCCGTCTGGTGGGAGCTTCCCATGATTATCCTCGGCGCAGTCTCCGAGATCCTCGTCAACGTGACTTCCTACGAGCTAGCATATTCCCGTGCCCCTGCGCACATGAAATCGGTGGTCTTCTCCATCTGTCTCTTCATGACTGCTCTCTACGCTGCCGCTGGCGAGGTCTTGACGCCTGTGATTAAGGATCCGTACCTTGTTGTAAGTGCTTCCTTGACACCAAACACCCTGTCCTCTTCTGGCCCATGATCTCTCTGGATTCCCTGCTGATACTGACGACGCAGTGGATTTGGTTCGGCCCTGCAATTGTGCTCTTCGCTCAGACAGCCATTTTCTGGATCCGACACCGGGACATGGATGAGGACGAATATATGACCTATGACACTGAATCAGACTTGGAAGTGGAGACTGTCAAGGGTGAGGATGGGAGTGCTGCCACTGTCATGGGCGAGAAGGCATCGCCGTCGGAGAAGAGCTGAACTGCTATGGACTATGCCTGGTGCGGAGCGTAGAAGCTTACCTAGGTATCTGGTTTCGTCTTTAATCTGGATCTTCTCCTATAGAGTGATATATAGTCCCTTGATACAACGGTAAACACTCGAACACCTAGTGTGTGATAGCATAAAGGGAAAGCTTAAAGACTGAATCTTGCTGGGTATCGTTATCTGCACGATCGTGGTAGGTGGCCTTAAACGTTGCTTTTATCCCCTTTAGAACCTTGGAAGCGTAAATCCGAGCGCTATTGCCACCTATCCCAGTCTTGTGTTTTGCAGGTCAGCACCTGGGCACTTGGGATAGTGGTCCACAAGAAAATGGGCGATTTGAAAATCTAGAAGAGTTTGATTGCAGGCCTCTCGGGCAAGACAAATAGAAACTAACAATTCAGCTGGGTCGCTGGTGTGGAGTTGAGATCAGGGTAATCTCTCATTTCTAATAAAGTGCCTCTAGCTTATTTTTCTTCCATTCGAGTTCTTCTGAGGCTCCTGATTCTGTTTCAGTTGCGGCCCAGAACGTGATCCAAGGTATTCTGCCACCTGTTGTGTATGAGAACTGAGACGACTACAGGCAAATACTCGTTCAGTAATTAAGGATACAGCTGAACACTCTGGTGATCCCTTACTTAACAACACAAGAAACCCCTCCAAGAAATTGTGCCTCCATAAAGGAATTCCTTTTCTTTTCATTTTGCATCTTTTTTCTCATGAGCCAAGACAAATGGCTTGACAATTCCTCCACTCCCAACTGTCATCGAAAAGAGTACTCAATTCAATGCCCCGCAGATGGAATGAATGGTACCTACCTAGGCAGATAGCTTCCCGGGCCCTGGAGTACCTAGGTACTTCGTGGGCCACTCTCAGTGTGATCCGTTGCATCACCTCACCAAAGACCTTATTACTGCCGGCACCATTTGATACTCTATTCGGTAGAACTTAGGCTAAGAAACAGGAGGTGGAGCTTGGTTGCTCTTGATCTGCAATCAAGCCTGATTTTTCAATTGGCCACGGTTTCTTGGCACAACTATGTACGAACGAATAGAAGTGTAGATAACTGTTCCAGCCGCGAAACGGTTTAGCCGACATGGCTTTGGAAAAGTACATATTTCCCGCACCCCACTGGTAGCTGAACGGGAGGTTCTTGATTTATATTGCCGGCCCCAACCACTGGAGAACCCGAAGCAAACCCGGAAGATAGCGACCCAACTTTCCCAGCCAACTGCATCGCCATTTGTCACACAAGTTTCAACAGGGGCAAAATTCTATAAGCACTCCATGCTCCTCGAGGACGTCTGATTTTGCTAAATTAGCCCATGAGCCTCGGGCCCAGATTCCATGGACAAAAGCCTCCCAACTATGCATATGAACCTACTCTCCTTTCTGGCCGTCGCGGCCTCAGCATGGGCGCAGAAACCATGGGCAAATAATTCCATGGGGTTCATCGGGTGTTACATGGCGGATGACACTGCTGAGGGCTACGTCACCAACGGCGGTACTCGAATGTGGGGGCCCTATGGGACCAGGGACCTCGTCGTCCAGTCGTGGACCGACAGCAACTCGACGGCATGGCAAAAGTTCGACCAACAGGTCGCCCTGTATGGGAGGCCAGAAGCGGTGTGGGTACAAATCTGCGTCTTCGAGGACCCGGGGGCCACCTACGATGAGGTCAAGCTGCTCATCGCCAACGCTCGCGAACACGCTCTACCTGGTGCCTCGATCTTCATCACTGGCCAGCCATTCTATAACAATAACCACACTTGCCCTCTATCTGGGGCTAACGGGCCAAAAATGACCGATGATCTGGCCAGACAGGCCGCCGGGGACGCTTCTCAGAGGGTGACCTACCCCGGTAGATTTGTCTTATACAACCAAGACGTGGCTGATTACTGCCACGCCAATGGTGGCGGGAAAAGGACGCTCGGGGAACAGGCTTTGAGCTTCTTCGAGGACATTGATTAGTATTGAGGCAGAGTGATACTAATAAGGAAGTCACTTGGTGGTCCTTCGCACACTTTCTGACTGCGTTCTTCCCACAGCATTGGACCACCAGTGTCAGGGCTCCAGCTTGCTTTCAGCCTTGCTTCATGCTGCTAATGGTATTTGCATATCTCAATATTTAATTTTCTCCACGCAAGATTAGTCTGGCCTGTTATTTGTATGATATTCGCGCATTTCCTCGCAAAGACTTTTCAATGCCAACAACAGCTCAATGGCAAGGAATTCCTAGACAAAATCCAGCCATGGCTTGCGTAATCCCCTATGTCTACATTCATAAACTACCTAATATGCAGGCACGAATCCTGTCACGGGAGATACTCTTATCTCTAAAGACAATCAAAATTTATTCTATTTGTCCTACAATGTTCACAAATAGTCTTGATCGGTCTTGAACGTTTACCGCCGCATGAAGGCCTCACATTCGTTTTATATGCATTGGGATTGGAAACAAAACCACCCCACATTATTGATCATCCACAACAGCGCAGGGTCGTGCCAATGGAGTAATCACATGCAGGGTTTCTCGATCCATTGGGGGTGCAATGGCAGCTGCGCATTGACAGACAATGAGAAAACCACCTTCCTAAAGGGCTCGACCGGTCGGTGGCCGTCGCGTAGCATCGCCCCGCTGTCGCTACAATGCCCAAGTCGTGCCTAAATTTGAAAAGCTACGGATAGAGTACAGAGTACCATCATGAATCCCATGGTATAATGCCAAGCTTGATGCCAGCTGAACACCGCCAATGTGTGTCTTTTTGGATCCTTGAAACGTGGTCCAACAATATCAAGCATTGGAACGGCGTTGACGCCAAGACTGAATTACCCGAAAAGAGGTGACGAAGCACGGCACTTGTCCCATTTTGCAGCCAGCGAATATCGGGGGGCTTCCGATGTTCCCGCGGGGGCGGATATACCTTGGGAGATAGATCCATCAACTGTAAAGATTCCAGCCAGGCACAGGCTCCTGTGGTCGCATCCCTACTACGTACCTAGGTAGAAATTTGATGGGGAGGAAATCGGGATGATTGGGTCCGACCACTTTCAGACCGGTCAGTATGGTGGCCAGTGCCAAGAGTTGTTGTCTCGGGTCTCTGATAAAGGTGTCCATTATTTTCCAAATGCAGACAGGAAAGAATCAAACACTGCAGACAGGGCGGGGTCAGTGGGGAAGTGTGCTGCTGAGGACCGGATGAGTATAGAAGAGCAACACCCGCTTCACCACCTGCTGGAACTGAGCATTTGGCGGCTGTAGAAGTAAAGTCTTCATTGAAAGATCGTCCTCAACATGCTTCTCCGCGCTTCTACGATTCTCCTGGGTCTGGGGGTGCTATCTGACGCTCTCACCACACGTCAGGCCGCCGACGAGTACGACTATATCGTGATAGGTTCTGGGCCTGGGGGAGGAATAGTCGCTTCCAATGTAGCTCGGGCTGGCTATTCCGTCTTGCTTTTGGAGGCTGGTGACAACGCGGCCGAAGAACCCTTTGGTGCCTATCCAGCCTCGTCAACATGGGACTTCTTCGTCAAGCACCACGAAGAGGAAGCCAAAACTATGAAGTTCAGGTTCCTGACCTGGCGAACAACTGCTGGCCAGTACTGGGTTGGGAACTCCGGCCAGCCATCCGGAGCGAAGTTGCTTGGGGTCTACTACCCACGAGGGGCGACTGTCGGGGGCTCATCCATGATTAATGCCATGGTGACATACCTGCCTCCCGACAGCGACTGGGATTATATTGCAAACTTGACCGGAGACACGTCCTGGAGGTACTCAATCTGATTAATCAAACCTGATCTCAGCCAACACACGAGTCGCTGACACATGGTATAGTGGTTCATCCATGAGGACTCTCTTCCAAAACATCGAGCATAACAACTACCTCCCAAAAGGCACAGCTGGTCACGGCTTCGATGGCTGGTTCCAAACCAACTCGCAGGCTGGGTTCGCGCAAAACACGTGCAGAAGCCGCTGCGCTGGGAAAAGACGCCAACCAGGTCCAAAGCATGATCAGTGCCGACCCCAACTTCCTCGCGGCCGACCGCGACAAACAAGTGGGCATTTGGGGACTCGCCTCCCACCAGAATGCCCAAGGCCAGCGCTTCAGCTCTCGTCACCGTGTGCAAGAGACTCTGAACAACAAAGAATGGCCTTTGACTCTAAAGATGAACGCTCTGGCCACCAAGATCCTGTTTGACACAAACTCCACCGCCTGCGGTGGTGTTCCCAAGGCAACTGGCGTCGAGTACCTCACAGGCCAGTCGGTCTACAAGGCAGACCCGCGCAACAGTGGTGCAGCCGGCACCAAAGCCACAGCCCGGGCACGCAAGGAAGTCATCGTATCAGGGGGCACTTTCAACACCCCACAGCTCCTCCAACTCTCCGGTATTGGCCCCGCGTCTCTGCTGGAGTCTCTCAAAATTCCCGTGCTCGTCGACTCTCCCGGCGTCGGCGCCAACCTCCAGGACAACCAGGAGATGCCGGTGGTCGGACGCTCCAAGAACGGCCAGGGCTCCGGTGCAGGCTACACATTCATCAAGACGAACCACACACAGAACGACGAGCGCGACGTCTGGATGATGCACGGCGCCCCATTCCGCGGATTCTGGCCACCAGCTAACCGTCTCAGCAACCGTCCCGGGCCACAGGACGCAGCGGGAACACTCAGCATGAGCATGGTCAAGCAGCACGTTGCCAACCGCGCCGGCTCGGTCAGGATCGTCAGCACGGACCCCAGGGACCCACCGGACATCAACTTCCGGCTCTACACGCAGGGCCGCGAGCAGGACATGGGCGCAGTCAAGGATTACGTCGCGTGGGCACGCCGCGTACACAAGGCGACCGCCGCGCCTGTTGGCCCCATCACGACCATCGAGCCCCCATGCCCCAGCGGCGAGGACGCCAACGGTAGCTGCGGTAAGGCGGATGAGGACTGGATCGAGGGCCAGACCTTTGGGCACCACTGCACCAGCACGGCGGCGATCGGTGCTGAGGGAGACAAGAATGCTGTGCTTGACTCCAAGTTCAGGGTCCGCGGTGTCAAGGGGCTCCGTGTCGCTGATGCTAGCGTGTTCCCCAAGATCCCGGGCATCTTCCCTGCGGTGTCGACGTTTATGGTTGGGCAGAAGGCTGGCGAGGCTGTGATTGCTGACGCCACTGCCGATCAGTGCTGAAAGGGCCTGGGTGCATCCAGATCATTGATGTCGTGCAACAGATTTTCAGGGTGGGGCTCAGTGTTTTGGATGGTGAATAAGGATGTTTTGCAGAATAAATGCGAGTGGGTAAGGTGAACTGGAGGTGAACAATGGGATCTGCAACCCACGTGCCATTATCAAATGCCAATTCGTCTTGTTGACTATAACTGGATTATCAAGACCTAATACCATGGGAGCTTGATTTTATGAGAATCTCGTACGGCTCCTAATGCTGGTGGTCTCTTTGTTCCCCCGCCCCACCCCGCCCTCCTTCCGTGCTGTTTGGCTCTTCCTCAAGTCACTGCACATGATTGAAACGTGCTTCAGCCTGCACTGTGTCATCCAGCGAGATTAAATCCGCGTCAAGGTGTCAATAGTGTTTATCTTGTGGGGCAATGGATCTCGTTGCAGATACCACTCGAACACGTAACTACTTAGGGAAGTAGTCCGGACGGGTAGCAGGCGGTTGCCTTAAGCCTGTAAGTTTTATATGGTTTTTGCAACCGAGCATGTCAAGAGTATCTCACCTAGATATGTGGTTTCGCTTCTATTCCGTATGTGGTTTCGCTTCTATTCCGTATACGTCTGAGGACATACATGGCGCCTTCATACGGTGCTAACCTAGATATACGGAAATCAAGAGAACGTAGATTTATAAGGTAAAAAACGGAGGGTATAGGACAATGAGCTAGCGTCTATGCACCTAGTAAGTTAGTCTATATACCTAGCATTTTCTTTTTATATATTTAATATCTATTTTTATATATAGGGTTTATAGAAAACTATATACCTAATTAGGATTTTTTAAATTTTTAATATTTAAAGTATAAACTCCTTTTAATACCTCTTTTAATACCCTTTTATTTTTACTTTTTAATAACCCTTTTAATATACCTTTTAACCCTTTAATATACCTTCTAACCTATATATCTTTAAGTATATCTAAGTACTAACTAAGTATTTAAATACTAATTAAATATTAGAAAGTTAAAAAGTAAGAAGATAAAAATAAAAATTATACTTTTTTTAACTTTTTAATATTCTTTTAAACCTTTTAACCCTTTAAACTTCTATCGTTTTAATGTTTAATTAATATTTAAATATTTAGTTAATACCTAAATATATTTAAAGGTATATAAGTTAGAAAGGGTATTAAAAAGTAAAGGTAAAGGGTTTTAAAAGGTAAAGGTAAAGAGGTTTAAAAGGGGTTTATATTTAAAGTATTAAAAATTAAAGAAAAAGTATATATTATAAAGTTACTTAATATTAACTTAAAAGCTATTTATAAATATAAGAGAGTTATTAAGAAATATATATATTAAATATATAGAAAGAAAATACTAAGTGTGTAAACTAACTTATTAAGTATATAAATATTAGTTTTAAAATAACTTTTAATCTTTTAATTTTTATAAGTAATATTTATAAATATTTACTTTTAAAAATAGTTTATTATTAATTACTATTTAATAACTATTATATATTTAAAGATAAAGTTATTAGAAATTATTATTATATTCTTAACTTTTATTTTTATATAATAATAATTATTTTTATAATATTTTATAAATATATTATTTTTAAAAGTAAAATTTTAAAAGTAATATTATTAAATAACTTTAAGTTTTATTATATAATAAAATATTATTATTAACTTAAAATTTAATCTTTTAAATATTATAATATAAAATAAAAGTAATACTTTATATAATAAAAATAAAGTTTTTACATTTATTATTATTTATATTTTATAATTATAAGTTATTAAGTTAAAATTCTTTTTATATATATAATAAAAATTATAAATTATAATAAATTTTATTTATAATAATTAAATTAATATATTAAATAAATTATAATAAATATTAAAGTTTACTTTTATAAAGAAGTTACTTTATACCCTTTATTTTTACTTTATAAATCTTCGTTCTTAAAAATAATAAGATTTATAAAATTAAATAATAGAATTAAAACTCGGTATATAGTACCTATATTAATTTAAAAGATATAACGAACTTAAATTAAATACTTTAAAAAAGTATTTATACTTTTAAGTATATCGACGATCTTTTATACTATATAAGAAGATCTTATAAATAATTTTTAAATCTTTATATATAGAGATTAATAAGTTATTATAAGTATTTTAATATTTCTATAATTATTTAAGTATATATAATTATTTAATTTATTATTTATTTAATATAAAGCTTATATTATTTAAATAATATAAATATTTAAATAATAGTATAAAAGTTTAATATTTTTACTAATATAAACTTAAAGTTTCTTTATTATAATAATATTAAAACTTAATTTAATATTAAAACTAATACTTATTATATTTAATATAGTTTTACTTCTATTTTATATATATTTAAGAATATATATAACGTTTTATATAATAATAAACACTTAAAACTTAATATTTAAAAAAAATATAATATTAATAATAATAATTAGAATATAATAAATATTTATAACTTAAATTTTATAAAATAAAAATAAAGTTTAAAGATATTATTTAAATAACGATATTAATTATTATATTTTTTAAATAATAATAAAAAATAAACTTATTTTATTTAATTATATTAATAATTTAATAAAGTTAATTTAAAATATAAATAATAAAAAATAGTAAGAGGGAGGTGGAGGAGTGAAGGTATGCCACTTATATACTATTAGAGATAACTAATAGATAGATTAGTTATTATAGTCTTTTAGCCGGACGGTTAAGGTGTGTGGCTAGTACTTGCGCCTTTCATTGTAGGAGGGAGGAAGAAGGGGGAGGACGGTGGATAAAAGAGGAGGGTAGGGGGGAAGAAAGAAGTAAGAAAGAGAAATAAAAGTAAATTAAATAATAATAAATAAAATAATAAGTAAATTAATAATTATTATTTATTAAATACTTATTTTAAATTATTATATTATAATTAGTTTTTTAAAACTTATATATTATAATATACTTTTATTATAATTATAATATTTACATTATTATTTTCTTATAAACTATTATTAAAGTAAGTGTAGTAAAGTGTATAGTAAGCCTATTTAGTGTCCATGTGATCACCTAGGTACTAATAAAGTCACCGACTTTTCAGTCTAACCTTTAGCGTAAAACTAAATTGCTTATATAAGCTGATGGCAGCCTCAGTCCTTTTTTCAACTGCCACCCCTAAGTTCGTTTGTCTCCTTCGGAACCAACGCCCCCACCATCACTTCACGTCTTTATTCATCCACCCCAGACACAATGTCAGCGAATTGGACCACCGGCCGAAACTGGCGAGGCGACAACAGCGGCTCTCGATCAGGGACACACCGGCAGCAGGGAAACCTTCGGCAGGATTCCCAGACCATGAGCCCGAGCACGGACGAAGCGCTACGAAGATCGCGGAGGGCAAGCGCATCTACCTCGGCAACCTCCTCTACGAAGTCAAGCCCAGTGAGATCGACGATATGCTGACTGCAAATGGCTTTCGAGAAGACGTCGAGAATGTCCATATATCCATCGACGCCGTCACAGCGCGTAACCCAGGATACTGTTTTATCGATTTCACGAGCTCCGACAGCGCACAGTCAGCGCTTGAGAGCCTGGCAGGCAGTACCATTAGGGATCGGCCTGTGAAGGTCGGGCCGTGCAAGCCCAAGGGGGCCGAGAGAGCATGGAGGAAGCCCGACTACAAGCCGACATCCCAAAGATGGGGTGATTGGAGAGCCCAGCGCCCGAGCGATGACGAAGGCCGTGCGTCTGACAGCCGAGAGTCACAGCAAGGACCCCACAAAGCCCTAGAGCACTTCCAAGGCGTAAAGGAGAGTGGCGCATCAGCTAGAATTTATCTTGGCGGACTTGGCAAGATGAGCAACCAGGGAGAGCATGATGAGGAGGTTCAAAATTTGCTTGACGGCTTCAGCATGTGAGTCCTTCCACGACAATAACCCGCTGCAATATGAAAATGCAGTGTGTATGAAACGGATGAATGTGACACTAACACAGTGGGAATTTATTCAGCGTCGCCATCAGCAAACGGATTACTCCACATCCATCGACACAAACAAAGCCTGGCAATCATCATTACTGTTTCGTAGATTTTGAGACCAAGGCTGATGCCGAGGCTGCCATCCGCCTCTTGAATGGCAGAGCTATTCCGGGAGGCAGGCTTCGTTTGTCCATGGCCCATGGGCTTCCTACTAGCGCCAGGGAGTAACCGAGCTCACAATACGATGATCTCAAGTGCTGGCACTTCGCATCGTTGCCGGACAACATGACACTGATCACTTTTAAAACAATTGGTAATGAGTTTTTGATTATTGTGATTCTGGCCAATAAACCCCCCCCCCCAAAGTCTTGCTATTGTATGTTATGTTCCCAGCTAGCTTATTGTTATTCTACACACAATGCTACAAAATCCTATACCTACTAGACCGGGGGTCCATAGGTTTGGTAACAGTTTGCTTATAGAGCTAATCAAAGTGCCAGAATTAACAGTTCCCTAACGGGTAATGGTTTCTACTCTAAATACTAGCTTCTACTTGGCCCCCTAGCCGAAACGAAGTCAAGGAAGAGGAGGGAGGAGGAGGATGTAGGATGTAGGAGAAGGGAGGAGGGAGGAGGGAGGAGGGAGGAGGGAGGAGGGAGGAGGGAGGAGGGAGGAGGAGGAGGGATTGGTTTTGGGCAGAAACGGACGGTCATTTTCTAGGATTTCTATTTCTTCCCAAGCATTGACTAACTTCCACCAATGTACAGTAGGCGTGAATACCTAGGTAACTGATTTATTCATATGTCCACGGACTCCCCACGAGATAGTTCCAAGCCCGCCATACCGTAGTAAATCCTGGGAGATGGATGGATCTTGATAGCACTCTACTAATTGCCACTTTTGTGGTGACCGAGGCTCTCCTTAGCGCCCGTGCCCAGTCAACTCGCCGTCGTATAATGTAGTTTGTTGACCCTTAATCACGGGCGGCGCGATGCCCACCAGATCCCGGTTGGCCAAGTCCCACCACAGCTCCAAAATGCTCCGCGTGGTCATATTGGTCCATCCGAGAAACGCCTGCCCGGCCATGAACGGGTGCTTCGGCACGTAATGGGCGTCATGATAGTCGGCCTGCACGCACTTGACCCAAAACTCGTCCCGGCCGACGGCGTCGAGGACCTCTGCGTCCGCGAGCAGGAAGTGACGGCGGGTGGGGTTATACGCATGCATGATAGGCATTTTGCCGTCACGAGGGTTCGCCTCACCCTCCTGGTAGAGCTCACGCACCTGATCCATCGATAAGCCATCGAGTCTGTCAGGGTCGGAACGTGGATCCAGCCGGAAGAGGGATCTGAGTGTGGGTGCAGCCGGCTCCGACGCGCCGTGGGCCTCGATCTCGTCCAGGGCCCGGGCCTCGATCTTGGAGATGAGACTTAGCCACTGTTGGTCGGTGGTCGCGCCATAAGCGGTACGATAGATCGTGAAGCCCCAATTATGGTAGTACTGGTACCGGTCAGACTCGACAATGGATATGCCCTCGGGAGGGTGGAAGAGGCTGGCGAGGAGTTTGGGCAGCTTCGACATGTTGGATGGAATTGTCCAAGATTGCTGACGGTTTGTCAGTCGTTTCAGAGTCCTCGTGATAGTGGCGTGGCGTGATGGTCATGGAAAGGATGCAAACAGATTCGTCGCTGGAGTCAAAACTGCGATGTGACCGATGTGACGTAGGCAGAAACTTGAGTCAAGATAAGGAAGGCACTTCTACATCCAATATTGCCACTGTCAGCAAGGATAGATTGATAAATCAATGCCCAGACCGCCAAGATATATTAGTGCTTCGCAACTGAGTTCCGCGAAGGTGGGAAAGTGAGACCCTGCGTCTCGCCTCACTCGAGTAGGTAAGATTCAAATAACACTCAGCACAAGTGTGACCGCCAAGGTGAAGGATTCAGGCAGAAACCCCTCAGTCATGCGAATTAGCGCATGTAAGAGCTGCACGTCAGGGTTGGTGCTACACAGCATCAATCTGAGGATCTACAGTTGCAATGGAATTTGTTAACCCTGGGTCTTAGATTTTGACCACTGTATGAAGGCGCCACATATGCTTTATATGTATAGGGATTAGAAACTAAAATACCATTTGCTTTCTTTGGTGTTATTCTGACATTTTTCAAGCAACAAGTATCAGAGCGGTACTTATAGTTTCGCGGAATGAAGAAAACACCAAGCCCGACAATAGTATGTTCTAAAATCTCTTCCCAAACTGCAACTCGGGACCCTTTTGAAGCGAGATGTACGCATCCTCCAACTGGAACTATTCTTTGTCAACATGATCACACCCCAGCAGAAAACCCGGATCCCTTCCAAAATCCAGCCTATAAAGCGTTCTAGCCAATGTAAGCATCATCTCCACCACTGCCAGGTTCTTCCCAAGACAGGCCCCAGGGCCGGCGGCGAAGGGGTGGAAGTTGGATCTCATCCAGGCCACAGCCTCCTTTGACCCCGCCGTGTCGTTAACGATCCACCGCTCAGGGCGGAATGTCTCAGCGTCCCCATAAGCAGCCTTGCTTCTCGAGTTCAACCATGCGACAGACCCAACAATCGTGCCCTCGGGGTAGTAGCGCCCTTTGACCTTTATACCCCCTGGAAGTACCTCACGGGGCAACTCGCAAGGCCTAGAAGGATTAAGACACATCCCTTCATCTATACAGGCCCTCAGATATGTGTAGCCTGAGAGCTCAGGACCTAAGGTAATATTATCTGTAGAAGTAAAGATTGTTCTGATTTTATGCATAAGTTTCTCATATTGCTCAAGATTATTGGTTAAGTAGAAGAATATACCGGACAAGCTAATGGCTGTAGTATCAGATCCAGTAATGATCATGAGATTGGATTCTGCTTGAAGTTCGTTGTCGTCGTCAGCGGGAAGACCGGTGTCCGGATTTATGACCAAGGCCTAGTACTCCACAACAGCTCAGGAGCACGATAGAAACGACGAGGCAATAGATGATTGCCAGGAGAAGTCGAGAAGCCGAATTTGGAACCTTTGTCTCTCAACCTCGGATTGAGAGTTCGGGTTCTGGTGCTCCAAGCAGTGAGATGCCAGCATTGAGGTCTTCTCGTGCCTGGCGTTTCTGGGTGATATTTCCACCTCTGTGTCTTGGGCAATTTCTCATTGCCCTCAAAGCCGTGATTCCGACAGCATCCCTGCCAAAGATCTCATCGGATTTGGAAGCGGGTGATAACTGGGTCTGGATTGTGAACGCATATCTCCTCACAAAGTGTGTATCTAGACACTTCTTTCCAAGCCTAACTATGCCTGTGAAGTCGCTGGGACGGTACTGATGAACGTCACTAGCACCGTCTTCATCCCAATATTTGGAGAGTCCGCCGCCATCTTTGGCAGACGCTGGCCCACAATATTTGCTACGTCCGTGTTCATTCTCGGCAGCGGTATAGCTGGAGGTGCTACGTCCACCGCCATGCTCCTTGGTATGTCTTGACTTTACCTTCCCCGCTTTCTTTTCTATATACGTTTACTGACCTCACCCATAGCTGGGCGCGCCGTGCAGGGCTTGGGAGGCGCAGGCGTCAGCGTTTTTGGGAATGTCATTGTCTCCGACATAACTACGGTCCGGGAGCGCGGAAAATTCATGGCTAGTGTACGCAACCCTTGGGCTCGGGCTTGCTGTTGGGCCCTTGCTCGGAGGTGTCTTGGCTGAGGCAAACTGGCGTTGGGATTTTGCGAGATGTGCCCCATGCCATTCCAACCTTGGACATCGTAGAAACCTTCCAGTTGGGCCCGCCAACTTCAGTGTACTGACTTGGAATTGGAACAAGTGGATCAACCTACCTCTCGGTGGAGTTGCCTTGGCCATGATGGTCCTCTTCCTCCACGTCGACGTTCCTTCGACCTTATATGTTCGCCGGGGCATCAAAGACGTTGACTGGATTGGCAACATCCTCATCATTGGAAGCCTAGTCAGTATCCTGATCGCTCTTACATGGGCTGACACCAGATATCCATGGACTTCGTGGAGGATCCTCGTTCCGTTCATTATTGGATTCGCAGGTCTAGCCGCCTTCCACACCTAAGAAGCAAGCAGCTTTTGCAAACACCCGACAATTCCCCCCAGCCTATTTAGGACCCGGTCCGCAGCGGTTGCCTTTGCCATTACTTTCGCATGGGAGTCCTTTCGGCGTGGAGGACTTACTTTATCGTTCTCTACTTCAAGGGCGTGCTCCTCAAGTCTGCGGCTCCAGCCGGCGTATTACTGCTTCCGGCTGTCCTTGTTTATATAACATCATTAATAGTCCGAGGAATCATTCTTTCCAAAACAGGTCGTTACAAGCCCGTCCATGGTCTGGCATTGCTTATAGTTGTTCTGGCAAGCGGGCTATCTATTGATTTCAACCAATACTCGTCGTTGGCCGAGATTGTCATATACCAGATGATCGCGGGTATCGGTACGGGAATACTTAGTCAGTTACCCTTTCCCTCCATGACAGGAAACCTGGTTTGTGAGGAGATGGAATTCTGTACCGGTACAATTTCTTTTGGAAATGTTGAGCCATTCTAACTTCTCTCAAAGTCAGCACTGCCCTTCCAGCCGCACAAGCCGCCCTCGACGACGAAGAAGCCGTGGCGGCGAGCGCTCTTTAGGCGTATATTCGCCTTTTCAGCATTACAGGGCATTTCCATCCCAACAGCTATTTTCAACAGCAGGTTTGCGGTCAAGTCCTACAAGATCTTAGATCCTACTATTCGCAACACACTAGGCCAGGGGAATACCTATTCTCATATCTCCAGGGAATATTTATCATCACTAAGCCTTGCAATCCACTATAAGGTAGTGAATGCTTACCTAAATACCCTCAGAGTAGTTTGGTATGTCTACCTCCCCTTAAGTGTGGTTGCACTGGCTATCATTTTCCTGGAGAAGGAGGTTGTCATGAGGACAACAAGGGAAAATAAGAATAACAACTCCCAGGAGGAAGCCGGGGCCAAGAATCAGTCAGAATGGGCTTAAGGTGATGATAGCGGCCTGTTGACCATGCGTTCCTGAATCGAAAGTCAAAGTGTCGAAATGCCCAGCTTGAGCTTCAATGCTACCATGAATCCAACTGCAGCGAAGTTGCAACGGCCCGTTTCAGACCACTCTGAGAAAAGGAATGAAGTCAAGAAATTTCCACCTAGCATACCGGAGCGTGTAGTCTCTCTAGGTAATAAAGTCGGCCAGGGCTAATGTAGACCCACAAGCTAATGAGTATAGATCTACTCAGATTGGCTCGGGCGACATAATTTAGTAAATAACTATTTACTTAACTTTAGCTATATTGTATTTTTTATTTAACCTATTTATTTATTTATTATTTTTTTAACTTTCAGACTAGTTATTACTTTATACTTTATGTATAAAGTTAATAATTACTTAATATATACTTTTAAACTTATTTATATATAGAGTTACTAACTTCCTTTATAAGGCTCTTTTTTTTACTATATTCCTTATATATTATATAAAAGTAAATAAATCTTTAATAATAAAGTAGTATACTTAAAAGAGGAAGATTTAATTCTTAATCTTTTTATAGAATTTATATAGGAAAGCTTTTTTAAATAAATTTATTATTATAGTATTATTATTCTATTAGTAGCTATATACTTAGAATAGGGACTATAGTTTAGTTTATTTAGTAAGGGTAGATTTAAGTGGTTATTAAGTGTATTAATAAAGAAGAGCTAGCTTACTAAGTTTTATATTATAGGATTCTTCTTTTTATAAGGGTTATTTTAAAACTATTTTAGTCTTATTATATAACTACTTTATTAGCTTTTTAATATAGTGTTATTAAGAGTAATACTTTTTAACTTTATTTATATAGTATAAAGTTTAACTATATACCTATATATTATATTCTTTTTTTATTATTATTAATACTATATTTCTTTAAATATTAAATCTTAAATATTTATTATTATACAAAGGTACTATATATATTTTATATATATAGAAATTAAAAATAAAACTACTAACTATTTACTTCTATAATATATAGCAGGCCCACAGTGAAAAATAAGGTCTACACACAGGTGGTACGGTTATACCATCCGTCCTTTGACCTTGCGAATATCCGGTCTCGTATTCTTACACCCCTTCAGGTTCGAACCATTGAGGTGACGACGGCGTGATGCGCCGCATGCCCTCTTCCACTGCAGCCAGCTCTGCCTCATCTATATCTATACCCGCCGCTTTTTTCTCCTGAAGCTCCATCCATTTGAATAGATACTGGACCTCCGGCCAATTTCGCCCATCCATAAACACGCGATGATTGCTTCGCACCTCCGGCTCATTCCTCTCATATCGATCGCGGAATATGTTGTAACGCGACATGGCGTCATGCGGATTGTAGCGGTAACCATTCAACTGTGACGACTTGATGGGCAGGGGACATGGGCAATCGCCCGGCTGCAAAAGATACCGTCCTAAGGACTCGAGCTGGTCTGAGGTGGGTGGATAGAGTGTCAACGGGTCCTTGCGATCGCCGCCGTGAATGTAAACTTCTCTTCGCTGCGAAAACAACACGACAAGTATGTCAGCGTTTGAGTAAAAGTAGTGAGCCCAAGGATGTCTGTGGTCTGATCTTGGAGTGAAAGAGCGGTTGAACTTACCTCAACCCCAGATGGTCCACGATCGAATACCACAACACCGCCAAAGATTCTGGCTTCCGCCCAATACCCAACCACATCCGCGATGCCAGCTGGGTACTGACTGTAAGCAGCGTACCACGGATGAAAAAATACCGCAGGTGGTCGACGTGCGCCTCGTGGATTAGTTTGCAGGCGTGCATCGCGCCACGCCTCGAAGACACTGTGCTTATGGATGCCGTCGTCAAGCTGGAATAGGCGGGCTGCGATTTGGTGGCAGGATCTGGCTAGTAGTTCAATGAGACTAAGGAGGTATTCCTTGGTCTCAGGCTCTGCCCGCTGAAAGTCATGCAAGGTCTGGCAGGGATCAGCATATGAAGGTATCCTACGCATAGAGTGCGGGACAAATCATTTGCATACCGCATTGATGTGTGATCAAAAGAACATACTTACATTTGGTGGGAAAGACAGCATGTAAATATCGAGCTCGTCGCGAAACCTTCTCGCTTTCTCGCGAGCCCCGTCACACATCATCTCATGGCCCAGTACATTCACGGGATGGTCCTCTTTCCAATTGTCATATTGCAGCCAGGTAGCCTTCATTGGCAGACCATCTACAATCTCTGAAAAAGTTGTTTCCGCAATCTCAGACGCCAATATCTTTTCCAAGGCGGTAAGGAACACATAGACATGCTTGGAATTTAATAGTCCCAGATTGAATGGCGCTGGGTCTCCATTTTCGGCCGGATGATCGCTCATCGTCCTCGAGCATCCATGTATCAGAGAGAGGATGTGTGCAGCTTGCAGGAAGTGGGCACAGGACCGTGGTGTCCCGTTGTCTTGGGGTTAGGGTGAACAGGCAGCCGCCCCTGCGCAAGGACTTCCCAATTTCATTTTTGCGACTGCTGTCTGTGACAAGCGAAGTGATGCCGCCCCCCTAGCTAAATTCACATGAATACCCGTGCCACATAAATTTCTTCACCTCCTTTTAAAATAATATTCTTTTAATAAATCTTTTATTATATATCTTAAAAATAAGTGTAAAATATATTAATAATTCTTATTAAATAATTTATAAGAGTATATATTTTTAAATATTTATTTAAATATATTTAAAAGAATTTTTAATAAATTTAATATATATATATATATAAATCTTTTTAAAATTATTTTAAATCTTTATTTAAAATTATAAAAAAACTATTTTTAAAGTTTTTATTTTATACTTTATAAAAATATAATTATATAAAGATAGATCTTTATTTTAAAAGAAGTTATTAATATTTAAAATAATTAATAAATTTATAAAAAATTAAAGAATTATTAAGTTAATTAAAGTATATTAAAATCTATAAAATTTTAATTTTAAATTTAAGGAATATAGAACTTTAAAATTAAACTAAATTATAATATAATAAAGTAATTAAATTAAAAATAATTAAAAGTTATAATTATAAGTCTTTTAACTTTATATTAAAAAGAAATAAAATAATAATATAAATTTATTAAAATAAATACTTTAAAAGTTTAATTATATACTTTATATTATAAAAGTTTTTAATATCTTTTTATATATTTTTAAGTTAAAGAATAAAAGATATATTAAGAAATTATTAATTTAAGAGATAGTAAAGAAATTTATATAGCACGTGTGTATATGCGAATTTAGCTAGGGGGGGGCATCACTTCGCTTATCACAGACAGTGACCGTGCGGCTCTTTCGCCCAACCGTAACCTTGGACCCACCCACCGTCGCCAGCGGGATACCCTAGGGTACCTCAGCGGAACCTACCAGTACTTGTGGCGTACCAAGTGGAACTGCAGCCCACTTGAAGAATGATTATCAATTGAACACAATGGGGTCCGGCCGACTTTTCCACCCCTGTTTGACAATCATCCGCGAACGGTCAACTGATGGCCCGATCCCCCACAAAACCAACATCACTGAATGCACAGGTAGCCCACCGGCCAGAGCACGCAAAAGACTCGGACAGAGCATATGCAGTGTAGTCATGTTGGTTAAGAAGACTTGACATGAAATACAAGTTCCGCTCCTTGGCCCTTTCTGCAACCCATCCACGGGTTATTCGGATGTCTCGATGGGCGTCCGACCAAATCACCAATGTCGCACATTTTCACGTCCACGCACGACCTGCCAGTGCTTGCATTGCTTTCATGGTTGGAGATTTGTCAAATCCTCGCGCGGTAGGTCAAGATTGTGATACCCGTGTCGTATAAAGTGAGAAAGGACTACGAGCTATGAGCTGCTGGAGAAGTCGCGTTTAAATAGAGTGGCCATCACAGCCAGTGGTTACCGTGAAAATATCGGTGAGGGAAAGGAGCAAGATACTATTGGACTAGGTATCACTTCAGATCGACTGAATCCATGGATGTGATCTTATAGATGTACCCGAATACATCTGGGCTTCGCTCCGATAGGCGATGAAGGTATTGCCGATTCTTCCTGTAATTCGAGTTTTCTGCTGTGCACTGTTGCACCTCAGACGCAACAGTAATCCGCTGGCCCTGATTATTGTAAGACAGTGGGGCGCTGCGCCCTTCAGGGGTACTTGTCAACAGAAGCGAATTACACTGACTCCGCTCCTCGTGTCGATGTGTAAGCAGAGCCTCTCGTGCAAAACCACTAGTCGCCTCTATCCAACGGTTTGGGAACTCCCTATCGTTCTGGGCCCTTACAAAGAGGGTTTCAACGCAACCATCTTCTATAAATCTGACAGCTCTTCAATAAGGGATAAGGGATCACTAAACAACACGACGTTTCAAAGCAACTTTTGGCAACGTCAGGCTGATGGCGTCGACTCGTCTGATAATACTATGGAAGTTCAGTACGTGTCCAGACGTTCATAAATTTCAGTCTGGACCATCCAAGCAACAATGAGGAATCGCAGTGCCAATATCTCAAGTCAATAGAAACTATCAGATACCAAAGATTCCTCCCACTGTCACATCAATGAATTTGTCGAAAAGGTCACGGGTCAATAGCCACTGTCAGTCAACGCAATTCAACATGACATCAAAGATCATTACAATAGTGGGAGCTACACGCACCCAAGTCGGGGGCATCATTGACTTTCTAGTGGGCAACCCAGAGTACAAGCTTCGTGGCCTCACTCGCAAACCGGCAAGTGCCTCGGCGCAGGAATTGAAGGCCAAGGGAGTTGAAGTCGTAAAGGCTGACCTGAATGACCTTAACTCACTGCATGCTGCTTTCTCTGGATCTTACGGAGTGTACGGCGTGACAGACATGCCAGGAATGCGGGCAGAACTCGGAGACAACGATGCCGCCATCGCTGCAGAAGAGAGACAGGGCATCAACATCGCCAAAGCCTGTCTCGAGACCCCAGGCCTGCAGCACTTCATCTGGAGCACCCTGCCGGACTCCGTGGGACTCAGCAACGGGACCTTCGACCTGCCCAACTTCCGAGGCAAGGTCGCCGTCGACAACTTCATCCGCGCCCACAGCGAGCTCCTCGCCAAGACCACGTTCTTCTTCATCTCGCAGTATGCGAGCAACTACAACTACGGTCCCCTGGCGCCACACCTGATCCCGGGCGCGGGTGACGGGAAGGGCGACACGTACGTCCAGTTTGTGACGCACCCGCCCGACACGCCAATTACGACCATCGGCGATGTGCGCCGCAACATCGGCCCCTTTGTAGCTGCGATCTTGGCGCAGCCGGAGAAGACCCGCGGCGGCACCACTGTGCTAGCCCACGTCGAGGTCGTGCCCGCCGAGGAGTCACTGCAGATGTGGGCTGACGCGCGTGGAGTCCGAGCGATCAGTATCCCGGTGTCTGCCGAGAAGCTTACCGAGCTGTTCGGGTCGTTTGACTTCTTGGGACTCATGTGGCGATTCTGGGCTGCGCTTGGGGATAGGGCCTGGGGTCTTCCAAGTGGTGGGAAGGTAGTGACGAAGGACGATCTGGGGGTTACCGGGCTGATCGGGCAGGCAGAGAGCTTCCGTACTCGCAGTCCTTAAAATGCAGGGTTGAATATTGGGAACATTGAAGGGGCGGGGGGAAGTTTTGAACAAAGTTCCTGTACTTTACTCACAGAGGCCAGGTTCCAATAATTTGAAAATGAACTTTGCCCCGTCCGAGATACGAGTGAGAAAGTAGCAGGATAAGTTAGCGGTCTACCCGTATGTGAACGTGGAACACATACTAGTACCTAGGTAGTTACGAACGGCTTGGGAGTTTAGAGTGGGGATCAACGGCTTACGGATGGACGTCTCCCATCTTCACCCCCTTGTTCGCCGGCTCCAGCGCGATGCTGGTCGTTTTCTGCCTCTGGGAATGGCACGTCCGGGGCGAAATGGCCCTTATACCCTATCATGTTGTCAAGAGACGGATCGTGTGGGCCAGTACGATGCAAGCTACCTGTCTGTTTGTCAACAACTTTGCGGGTGTCAACTATTTCCCCATCTACTTTCAGGCTGTCAGAGGTGTCGGTCCCTCACTGAGCGGTGTCTATATGCTTCCTGCCATCGTGACGCAAATCCTATCCCTGGTCAGCACTCGCGCTCTGGGCAAGTAAAATTCTTCTGCGATTAGAATTTCCATCGCGCATGACACCAGATCATGAACTCAGATGGGCTGGTTCAAAGAAGACTTGAGGAACTGACAAGGTATCGAGTTTAGTTGGGAAGCTCGGTTACTACATCCCTTTCGCCATTTTTGCCGGTGCAGCAACCGCCGTTGCCAGCGGGTTGATATCAACCTGGAGCCCGGACACGTTCATGGCAGACTGGATCGGTCATCAAACATTATTTGGCGTGCGCGGAATGGGACTACAGATGGTAAGCTTTCCCACACTTGTATCAGCTGCGCATACCCTGGGACACTCTCGCGGCATTCATGACGGAGCATCACTGATGTTAATGCCGACTCTCATAGTGCACAATCGCAGTGCAGAGCAACATCCCAGCAGCCCAGAATCCCACCGCCATCGCCTTCATGGTCTTCATCGAGAGCCTGGTGTCAGCCATCTTCACCGTTGCGGGCAACGTCACCTCCACGCAGACCCTGAGGCGACGAGTCTCGGTTCTCGGACCTTGCGTGAGCCCCGAGGCGGCGCTCGCGGCGGGCGGAGGTGCGAAGGCGGTGCGCTCCCTGCTGACTCCCGGGAGCCCGGAGCTCAGCGGTCTGCTGCTGGGATTCTCGGAGAGCGCCAACTCGGTCTTTTGTTTGTTGACTGCTATAGCTATTGTCCCCTTCACCGCGGATTGGGGCTTGGGCTGGGTTGATATCCACAAGAAGCCAGCTGAGTACAGGGCATAAGGTGCATGTTGGGCATTGTTCTGGCCTTATCGTGGTTTCTTGGTAATTGGAGTGGTGGATAGAGCACGCCAGTCTGAGGCGAAGGTCATCGCAGCACCAAAGAGGCCAATATATTAAGACGAAACTGTCCATGCCAAATGTCACGAACCACCCAGCTTTGAACCAACCAATGACATAATGCTATATTCAAATCAGCGTCACCAGATAACAGCCAAATGAATCACGCGGGTAATAGTCTTTTGCACAGAGGTGCTTCTTGTGGGTCGAGTATGACGGGCTTCACAGTACCTCTAACTCCGAGTCTTGGCTCGCAACAGCCTTACTGTCACATATTCAAGCCGGGCGAGAAGGGTGTTCATCTTATAACCAAAGCTTGCAGCCATTGGCCATCAAACTGCATAATGCGGGGTCGGATTACTTACATGCGGTCGGTACTTTGCAAAGCGCAGGAGATTGGCAGTTGCTCGCCGACCGGAACGTTGAGCAACAGTACCTTACCTGTTTGAGGCATGGAGAGCTGAACTTGGCTTCATTGGCGCGAGACTCTATTTGGACCCATCCCACCATCAGCAACCCTGTTTGGGCATCTGACAGGCGATCGCAATGTAATGGCAAGCGGGAAGTCCTACATCCGTCCACTCACCTTCACGATGACGGGAGCTACTGAACAGGAATACTTGGCTGTGTATTACCATCATAGAGAGGAATCCTTCGGCGGGATGGTACAGCATAGTCATTGCATTATGGTGAAGCGTGGCTCCTCAAATTTGATCGCTCACGTAGATATAAGGGGGCCGTACCAGCATCTCCAGGGATTGAAGAGTCTAGTTGTAGGGCTGTCGCTACCAAACAGGTAGGTGCCAGCTGAGACACAGCCATGCATTCGAAACAGTTTTTCTCTGTGGCCGCCCTCGCGGCCGCACTCGCCAACTCGACCCTAGCATCAGCCGGCTCGCATCGCCAACACAATCCATTCCTGCCCAAGCGGCAGGCGGCCAACGGCACGGCGTACGACTACATCGTCGTGGGCTCCGGCCCAGGTGGCGGGCCGCTCGCGGCGAACCTCGCCGAAGCGGGCCATAAAGTGCTTCTGGTAGATGCCGGCGGCGACTCGGGCGACAGCCTCTTCGAGCAGATCCCCGTCTTGTTCCCGCGTGCCACGGACGACCACCCGACAACACAGTGGAACTACTTTGTCACACGCAGTTCAGACCCGGCTGTTGAGACCAAGAACGAGATCACCTCTTACAGGCTGCCAGATGGCGGCGTCTACACCGGCCTCAACCCGCCTGCGGACGCCGTACCCATCGGCACGCTGTATCCTCGAGCTGGTACGCTGGGCGGGTGCAGTCGGCACAACGCGCTGGTGGCTATCCGGGCGTTTGACAGCGACTGGGACGCGGTGGCGGACATCACAGGGGACACATCGTGGAATGGCAGCACGTTCCAGCGGTACTACGAGGAGATCGAGCACTGCGACTACCTCCCAAACTCGATCGTTGGCCACGGCTTCAACGGCTGGTTCCATACGCAGCTCACTTCACTGATCACAGCGGTGCAGGACCTGAAGGTAGTCAGCATCATCGCCTCGGCCGCATCAGCATCGGGCATGAGTCTTATAGGCATCATCTACCAGACCGTCGCAGGGCTGGCCAAGATCCTCATTAAGGACATCAATGCACCGGGAAGGACTATCACCACGGGCCCTTACCAGATGCCGCTGTCGATGGGCGACTCAACACGTGGTGGAGCCCGGGACCGTATTTTGCAGGTCGCCAGCGCTACTGATAGTGATGGAAACAGGCTCTATCATCTCGACATCAAACTCAACACACTCGTCACCAAGATCAATTTCGACACGACCTATCCCGACGGTCCACGCGCCACGGGTGTGGAATACCTCGAGGGGGAGGCCCTATACCGGGCTGACACTCGCTCAGACAACGCAGTCGTGGAGGCCGAAGGCGTTCTCACAGCCACCAAGGAAGTCATCATCGCCGCCGGGGCTTTCAACACGCCCCAGATCCTCATGCTCAGCGGCATCGGCCCGTCCGACCAGCTCTCAGCCCACGGGATCCCGCAGACCGTCGACCTCCCCGTAGGCACCAACCTCCGCGACCACATCGAGGTGCCCGTCATCAGCGAGACGCAGACCGACTTCAGCCTCTTCAGCGGCTGCACCTTCATGTACGGCTACCCGGAGGTGCCCGACACGTGCCTGGAGCGGTGGAAGTCGGGAGTCGGGCAGGCCGCCAAGGGCACGTACGCGACCAACGGGCTTGCGGTCGGCGCGGCTATCAGGACCGGCGGGGCGCCCAGTCCCGTCGACCCGGACGTGTTCGTCTACGGCGGGCCGGCCAACTTCCCGGGCTTCTTCCCGGGGTGGTCTGAGCTGGCACTGCACTCGGACCACCGGCACTGGGTCTGGGTCAGCCTGAGGGCGAGCACGCCCAACGAGGCGGGCACGGTGGGGCTGCGGTCTGCGGACCCGCGAGACACGCCCGTCATTGCGTTCAACACCTTTGAAGGCAGCCGGACTGCCCGCGAGCAGGACCTGCAGGCGTCGTATGAGGGCGTGGCGTGGGCGCGACGTGCTATGGACACACTCATCCCGCTCGATGGGTCTTTTGCGGAGACGAAACCTGGTAGGCGGGATGTCAGCAGTGAGGAACAGATCAAGGAGTATGTCGAGACCAACTCGTTTGGGCACCACGCGTGCTGCACGGCGGCCATTGGCAGGGTGCTCGACTCCGACTTCCGCGTGAAGGGAGTCAAGGGCCTGCGTGTTGTGGACGCGTCTGCTTTCCCTGTCATCCCGGGGTTCTTTATTCAGCTGCCGACGTATCTGTTGTCCGAGAAGGCCAGCGAGGCTATTCTTGCAGATGCCTAGGCGAGCCTTATGGTGCTGGATTTACGAGCAGCCATGTTGGCATCATCGGGAGATTTTATTATTGGGACTAATGGGTGGATAGTAACATCGGGTTCTGAGTAAAACATTTCAAGGTTGTTCCGCTGTTACTTAATATACATTCGAACTTATCTGTAGTGTCTTCAAGCAATGGTAAACGCTCAAGACCCAGCGTTTAGGTGGGGGAGCAAGTCTTACCTTGATAGATAAGATCGAAATCAGCAAGTCATATGGATCACTCCGTATCGATTCACAGCATATTGATGAGCGAGAAGTAGGAATGGAATCAAAGGTTTATGTTTCCAGCAGCCGTCTCGATTATCGTGCATAGAGACGAACATGCCGATGTTGTGGTGCGGTTGAATGACGGCCCAGGCTTGAATATGACCGACCCATGGATGACATCTTCTTCTGCCTTAGACCCGTCACACGGGGACCCGTCTGTGGCGCTTTTTAGCTGACACTTGGAAAAAATTCCCCTACTTACACCTACTCGCCTATATACCTACTCACCCACACACCTACCCACCTTTACGCCCACCTATCTATATATCTACCCTTTAAACTATTAAACTTTAGACTTTTTATTATTAAGTAATTAAACTCTATATATTATTATTTATTATAAAGTTAATTATTAATAATAAATTATAATCTATATTATTTATTAATTAATTATTATAAACTTTATAATAATATATTTATAAGTAGATTAAAAATAAAAAGTAACTTTATAAAATTAAAAATAAATAAATATATTATATAAACTATTTTATTATATATTTATTAATTAATATAAATTATAATATATTTATTAATAATTTTTTATTAAAAATAATAATTTTATAAAATTAATATATTTTATTTTAAAAGGAGTTTTATAGTAAATAGTTAACTTTTTTAAAGCTTTAAAGGATAAAACTCTCTATTTAATAAAATATTTAATACTATTAAGTTTTTTTAAAAGTATTATTTAATAATAATTAAACTTCTCAAAAATTATAAATAAATAAAAATTTAATAAAATAGTTTAAAATATTTTAATATTTTATAATAATTAAATTATTTAATAATTTATTAACTTTATTTATAAATAAAATATTAATATTAAAATAAATAAGGAATTCAAAGTTAAAAACTTTTATAATATATTAAAAATTATAATTACTTTAATTATTAAAAGTAAAATAAATATTTATATAATATATATAATAACTTTTAATTTAAAAGATTATTATTTAATTATATTATTAAAGGTTATAAATAATATAAAAATATATATAATAATTATCTCTATTATAAATATAAAAAAATTACTTTTTTATTTTAATATATAAAATATATATATAAAAGGAGTTAAAATATTAATAAATATAATATATAAAAATATAAATATTTTATTAAAAGGTAAAACTTATTAAAAATTTTATAAAGGTTTTCTATATTAAAAGTTTAAGAAATAATTAATAATTATTTAAAAATAAAGTTATAAAAATAAATTAAAATTACTTAATTTAATAGTTTATTAATAATTATAAATTAAATATATAAAAGAAAAATAAATAGTTATAAATATAAGAATTTAAGCTTTATAGTTTAAAATAATATAATTAATTTAGAAAATATATAATAATATATTAAATTTAAATTAATAAAAAGTTTATATAATAATAAAAAGTTAAGTTATAAATATAAAAGTTTTTTTATATTTATTATTTTAAAAACTATTAAATTTAAGTTAATAAATAAAAGTTTTAACTATAAAAGTCTATTATAAGTATAAACTTTATAACCTTTTAGAATCTAAAGGCTATTTTCTAATATACTTATATAAAAGTAAGTCTTTACTTTTATTATTAACTTTAATTATTATTAGAATATATATAAGTTATAATTTTTATTATTAGTTTTATTTAATATTTAATTAATAATATAATATTTAATTTAATAAATATTATTAAATAAATAATATTTATTATTTAATATAATTAGAAAACCTTTTAAATATTTTATAATTTTAAATAAAATTAAAAATATTTAAATATAATTAAGAATTTATTAAATTATAATAATAAATTATTTAATTATTAATTATTATTAACTATTTTTTTAATTAAAATATTTATTTCCTATCTTTTTCCCTTTAATTATAATACTAAAGTATAACTATTAAAGCTTTATTATTTAATTTTATTTAATTATATTTAATATTTTTATTTTAAGTTTTAATATTTTTAACTTTTATATTTTAAACTTTCTCTATATATACTCTTTATTACTTTCTATATTTAAATACTTTCTAAATACCTTTTTTCTTTATTTATTTTCTTTTTTACTACTTTTAAATTAAAAAATTACTTATTATTACTTTTAAAACTTTAAAAATATTAATATTTAATTAATTTAATCTATTAAAATATTATTTATATTACTTTTTCTATATAATATATTTATTACTTTTAATTATATTTATTTATACTTAACTTTTGAAAAATAATTTTTAACTTCATAATATTTATTATATTTATAATTAATATACTTATAATAAAAGTTATTATAATATTTATTATAACTATTTATTGTTACTTTAATTTAATTATTAAATAATATATTATATTTATTTTTATTTTCTTTATTTATTAAATTTTTATAATATTTATAAAAAACTTAATATTTTATATATTTAAAATTTAAATCTAAGTTTAATATTATAATATTTAAACTAAAAGTTAGTAAATTTAAATTAAAGATTATTAAAAAAATATTATTTTTAAATTATAATTAAATTTTAAAACAATTAATTATTAAACTTAAATAATATAAATAATAATAACTATTTCTTTTTATTAATAAAGAATTTTATCTTTATAAAATTAACTATTTAAAAATAGTTTATACTTTTATATTATTATTAATTTATTTATCCTTTTAATCTAACCTTTAAAATTAATTTATTTAATTTTTAATTTACTTTTTTAAAGTAATTTTTATTTTTACATAGTTTTATTTCTTTTATTTTTATATTTATTTCTTTATTAAATCTTATTTAATATATTTATATATTCTTTATTATAATCTTTTAAAAGAATTTATAGACTATATATTTAATTAACTTTAAAAAATAGTTTTTTCTTTTTTAAAAATAATTAATATTAACTTATATTATATTTATTATTCTTAATTAATCTTTCTATTTTTAACTATATTTAATTAATTTAATATTATTATATAAATAATAAAAAATAAATAAATAAAGAAATTTCTTTAAATTAAAAGAAATATAAAATAAAATTTTATTTTATATTCTATTATATTAAAAATTATATATAATAAAGGTATTTAAGTTTAATTAATTATTTTAATATATTAAGAAAATATTTATTTATTATTAAATATAAATAAATTTATTAATTTATTATTTTATTAATATTTTATTTTTAATATAACTTTATTTTATTTTTATTTTAAAGCTTTTAAATTAAATCTTTTAATATACTTTATAATACCTTTAAATTAATTATAAAATATAAATAAAGTTATATTTAATTAAAAGATAAAGTTAAAATAATTTTTTAAGTTTTTATTAATATTATTATAAAAGAAACTTTAATTTAAAAATTAAAGAAAAAATTTATATATAGAATGAAAAAGGTTATTAAATTTTAAAAATAAAAATAAAATTAAAAAAATTAATAAAAACTAAATTTAATAATATTTTATAAAATTATTATATTATTAATAATATAAATAAAATAATTAATAAATATAATTTATAAAATAATAAAAAAGTATAATAATAAGAAAGCTTTATTAATTAATTTTATTAATAATAAAGTAAATAACTTTTAAAATACTTTTAAATTTATTTAAAAATATATATAAAGTTTTAATATTAAAAATATTTAACTTTAATAAAGTTTTATTAAACTATTATAAAAAAGTATAAATATAGGTTTTAAATTTATATATTTATAATTTATATAATTAAAAGTATATTTAAAGTAAAAACTTTATTTAATTAAATAAAAGGTAAGTATTTAAAGTATTAATAATTTATTTAAGTTATATTCTTTTAATATTTTTAATTTTATTTTTATTTTTTAAACTTTATTAATTTAAAGTTATTAAATTTAATAGAGTTTAAAATAGAGAGAAAGTATTAATTAAAGGTTTAAAGAACTATAAGGTATAATAAGGGATGAAAAAGTATTATTATAAAATAATTAAAGTAAAGAATTAATATAAAATTAAAAACTATTAAGGGTAAAAGTAAAATAAAGTAGTTAAATATAAAAAGTATTAATTATATAAAAGGATAAAAAAGTAAAAGTAGTTAAAGAAAATAAAAGTAGTAATATAGAATTTATATTAGTTTTAAAAAGTTAAAAGGTAAGTAGAAATATTAAACTATTAGAAAAGTATTAAAATAACTTTTAATAATATATTAAGTAATAATTATTTAAATAGTAAGAAAAGTATTATTAAAAATTTAAATAAAATTAAAGATATTTAAATATAATTAAAGAAAATATAGAATATTTTTATAATATTATTATAAATAATAATATAATAAATATAAAAGTAGATAAATTTATAATAAATAATAGAATTTAATATAATAAAATAATTTATTTTATTCTTTTATTATTTATTTTTTATAAAGTAATTATATTAATATAAATTATTTATAATTTTAATATATTTAATTAAACTTAAAAGTTTTATAAAATTAAGAATTATATATATATTAAAAATATTTTTAACTTATTTTAAAGTATTGTTTTTATAAAGTATAAATAAAATTATATATATTAAAGGATACTTTTAATTTATCTTAAAATATTTTTTATTAAGTATAAAGAAAGTTATATATATTAAAGAATATTCTTAACTTATTTTAAGGTATTTTTTATAAAATATAAATAAAGTTAAGTTTTAAAGTTATTTTTAAATTAAAGGTATATTTAATATTTTAACTTTATATTTTAAATTATTATTATATAATTTTATTATTATTTCTTTTATATTTTAACTACTTTTATTATAGTTATAATATATTTTAAAAAAGTAGTAAATTTATTAATAAAAAAGTTAATTAATATAATACTTTAAAATTAAAAACTATATTATTTAAAAATTCTAATATATTTAATTACTTAAAGTTAACACTATTTAAACCTTTAAGTTTAAAATTTTAATAAATATATATTAAAAAACCTTAAATTTAATATAAAAGTATAATAAGTTTATTAAGGTATTATTTATATAAACTTTTAATTTTTAATTAGTTAAATATTATTAATTAACTATTTTATAAAAACTTTTAAAATAATATAAGGGGATAATAAGTTTAAAGAAAGATTATATAAGGATTATAATTAAAAATTTAAATAAAAAATAATATTTTATAGTTATAATTAGTTTAAAAGTTTAAAAGGTATTTTAAGTTATATTTAATTATTATAAAGGATTATAAAAATAAGGATTATAAAAAAGGAGTATAAAAATAGAAATAATATAAAGGAGTATAAAATAAAAGTTTTAATATTTATTTATTTAATTAAAAGATTAATATTATTTTAATAATAATTTTAATTATATAATATATTTTTAAGTAAAATTAAAAATATTTATATTATATTAAGAACTTTAAGAATATTAATATATATTTTATTAATATAATTATATATTATTTCTCTTATTTCTTTATTTTTATATTAATAGTATTATTATTAGTTTTTCCTTTTAATTATTATATTTATTTCTATTTAATTTATCTTAATTAATTATATTAAAGTTAAAATTATAACTTATTATTTATATTTAGTTTTAAAACTCTTTAAAGTCTTTTTAATTTTTAAAAGTATTAATTCTAATTTATAGTTTTATTTTATATAACCTTAAAATATTTTTTAAGTATATATATTTAAAATAGAATAATATTTTATAATTAATTAGTTTTATAGTTAATATATTTAATTATTAAAAATTTAATTATATAGTTTATATATTTTTATAAAAATATATATTAAGGTTTAGTTTATTTATATTAATTATTTTTAAAGATAGTTAAAGTTATTTTTATTTATAGGGATATAATAATTAATAAATTTATTATTATTTAAAGTAGTTAATAGTATTATTAGTTAACTATAATATATATATAATTAGTTATATTATTATTATATTTAGTGTATATTTAACTTTTAATATAAAAGTATATTTTAAGTTAAATTTATAGGAGATATATATAGAGAGAGTAATTTAATTTAAAATTAATTTTTATTAAAGTTATTTTTATTAAAGAAATTTTAAAATTATTACTATATAATTATTAATATTCTTTTATTATAATTATAAAAGAAAATAAATAAAAATTTATTTTTAAAATAAAGTTTATTAAATAATTATTAATTATTATTATCCCTTTATTTATTAATTTTTAAAAATATATTATAAATATAATAATTTTAGAATTTTAAATTAAGATAAAATAAATATATTAAATAATATTTATTAATATCTTTTATATAATAAACTTTAACTTTTAAGCTTTATTTCTTTTATAAAATTTAAAATTTAATAATATTTTTATATATTATATTAAAATTTAATAATATAATTTTTAATAAATATTTATAAAAAATAATATATAATTAAAATAAAATTAATATTTTCTTTATAATTTAATTAAATATATAAAGATAATATTTAATACTTTAAAATAAAGTTTATATATATTTAAAATATTAAATAAATAATATTAATTAATATATTAATATAATAAAATAAATAAATTAAAAATAAGTATTTATAAAATAATAAATTTTAATATTTTAAAAGTTAATTTATTATATATATTAATTAAATAAAAATAAAAGGACTTAAAATAGTAAAGCTATCTTATTCTTTTAATACTTTATAATTATAATAAATATAATTAAAAATACTTTTAATAAATTATAGAATATTTAAAGTATTATATTTATAAATCTTTATTAATATAAATAGAGTTAAAGTCTATATAAATTAAATTATAAAAAAGTAAATTAATAAATTCTTAATATAAAAAAGTTAAAAGTTATTCTTATTTTTATTAATATTACTTTATATTATTATATTAATAATAGATTTTAAATTCTTAATATAAATATAAAATACATATTTTTATAATTTAAAAACTATTTAATTAAAAATATAAATATTAATTTAGTTTATAATATTTATAAAAATAATATTTTAAATATTCTTTTAATTTTAATATAATTTTAATTAAATTATTTTAATAAATAATTTTATTAAAAGAAATAATTTTATAAAGTCTTCTTAAAAGAAATTAAAATATAAAAATATTCCCTTAATAAATATATTATAAATTTTATTAAATAATTTTAATTAAAATATTTAATAATAAAGTTTTATATAAATTAAAGTTAATTAAAAATAATTAATTATAATTTAATAAAAATTAATATTATAAATATTTAATAATAAATAAAATAAAAATAAAATAAAAATAAAAATTAAAAATTAAAAGAATAAATTTATTTATAAATATAAATTTTAAATATAAGTTAATTTAAAATTTTAATACTTAATTTAGTTTTTATATATTATAATAAAATAAAGTTTATTTTATAATAATTAAATATTAAATTTTAAATAAAATTAAAGATTTTAAGTATAATTAAGAATATATACTTATATATATAATATATTTAATATAATATATAGTTATTATATATATATTAATATAATTAAATAGTAAAAAATAATATATTATTATTTTATTAATATAAATATATTAGAAAATAGTTTTTAAATTTTAAAAGATTATAAAATTTATATTTATAATAGACTTTTTAATTAGAACTCTTTATTTATTAATTTAAATTTAATAGTTTTTAAAAATAATAAATATAAGAAAAAACTTTTATATTTATAATTTAACTTTTATTATTATATAAGTTTTTTATTAATTTAAATTTAATATATTATCATATATTTTTAAATTATTAGATTTATTTTAAATTATAAAAGTTAAGTTCTTTTATTTATAATTATTTTACTTTTTATAATAAGTTTAAAATATTATCTCCTTTATATTTATAATTTAAAGTTATTAAATTCTTTTATTATTAAATCTCCTTTTAGAATATTCTTTTATTTATTAAGCTTTAAGTTAGGTATATCCTTAAGGTTTTTATAATAAAACTTTTAAAAGTTTACTTATATTTTTAGTTTTTTTATAATTCTTTTTAAGTATTATATTTATTAATATTTTAACTCCTCTTTTCTATATATATATTTTATATATTTTAATAAAGGAGTAACTCTTTTAAAACCTAAATAGTAATAATTTATATATATATTTATTATAAATTTATAATTTAAAATAATATACTTAAATATTAATTTTTAATAGTTAATATAGTTATAATTATTATATTACTTTTATTCTCTTTTAATAAATATATAAATTATAAGTTTAATAATATATTAAATATTTATATAATTAAAAATTTATTATTATAAATATTATTTTTAAAATATTTAATAGAGTTAATATTATATATAATAGTTTAATTATTATAAAATATTAGAATATTTAAAATTACTTTTATTAAGTTTTACTTACTTTATAAGTATTAAGAATATTAAGTATAAAAATATAGTTATAATTAAGAATTTTTTAATAGTTTATATTATTTTTAATTATAATATTATATTTTTAAAGTTTTAAAAAGTTTTATAAAGTATTTATTTTTAAACTTAAACTTATAAAAGTAAAAAGAAATAGTTATTTTAGAAGAAAAAGTTATAAATAGATATATCATAATCTATATTAATTAATAAGTATATAATAGAATGATTTATATAATATTTTTATTTAATAATTACTTTTTTTAAATAAAAATAATTATAATAGTATTATTATAAAATTTATAATAATAAGTTAGTAGGTTATATAGATTATAATTTATTATTAATAATTAATTTTATAGTAGGTAGTAATATATAGTATTAAAGTGTTTAGTAATAAGAAGTTTATAGTTTAGTAGTTTAGAGGGTAGGTGTATAGGTGGGTAAGCGTATGGGCGAGTAGGTGTATGGGCGCCTAGGCGGAATTTTTTCCAAGTATCAGCTAAAAAGCCCCCTACCGTCTTGGTATTGCCCCCACTGATCAGCAATCATGCATCATCGTTTGGTAAAAGGGCCCAAGCTCCGCTGCTGACAAGCGCAGAACTCAACCTCTTATCTACCTCTTCCCTTTGAAACATTCGCCTCTTCACTCTTCCCCTTTGTGACCGGCCAGCATATGCATGTATCGCGGCTCTCAAGGATGGCTCAGAATTCATCAGTACCCAAGAGCAGTTGCGTCAAGGCAGCGCTCGACCGTATCTGGGATCTCGACTTCAAGCCCAGGATCCCGACCCCAGATTATCCACCCATCTCGAGCATACCCCGGACATCCCCAGATCGGCTCCAGCGGGCAACACCCAAAGAGCCTCCCGTCGATCACCTCCCGTCATTATCGCCGTCAGCCAACGACTACCTTTACGACCACACCGCATCCGTGCCGACCGTCCTCTATCTCGCGTACGGCTCGAACCTCTGCGCCCAGACTTTCCTCGGCCAGCGCGGCATCCGCCCCGTCTCCGCCGTCAACGTCTCGGCGCCGTCTCTCCGGCTGACGTTCGACCTTCCTGGCATCCCCTACAAGGAGCCATGCTTCGCGAACACAGCTGTGAGGAAGATACCGAAGCACCCGCCGATCCCGGACCCGCCGGGAAAGGTGCCTGACCTCCCTCGTCCACCGCCGTACACGTTCCCCCCTCAGTCCGACGTGTCGGACGCTGCAGGTGTGGACAAGCCCTCGGCTCCACAACACACTGGGGCGCGTGGACATGTCAGCTCAAATGCACACGGTGATCCAGAGTGGGACAAGGGCCTTATCGGCGTGGTCTACGAGGTCACGCCAGAGGACTACGCAACAATAATCAAGACCGAAGGCGGCGGCTCTGCATATCAGGACATTCTTGTGCCATGCATCGCCATACCGAACAGGGTCGGAATCCCAGAAGACCCACCTATCCCAGAGCTTCCGAAGCCTTTCTTTGCGCACACGCTGTTCGCGCCGCGGATTCCGGAGAAGCCTGACGACGGCGATGGGGACGACGGCAACAAAGAAAAGAATGGTGCAAGGGCACCTGGAGACGGAAATGATGGGGATGACGATGGGGACGGGGACGACAAGACCCCGCTGGACAGGCTCAAGGAGTGGTGGCAGGACATGCTGCTCAAGCCCATAAGGCCCGACCCGGAGTACGCGCAGCCGTCGGCGCGGTACCTGAAGCTCATCGCGGACGGCGCGGCCGAGCACGGGCTGCCGGACGAGTACCAGGCGTGGCTGGCGAAGCTGCAGCCGTACACCATCACCTCGCGGCGGCAGACTATAGGGCAGTTCCTGCTAATCGGCCTGGTCATGCCCCTCATGAGCCTGTTCTTTGGCTTGAGCAAGTGGCTGGCTGATGACAGAGGCAGGATCCCGCTCTGGCTCGGCTTGTACATGGAGACTTTGTTCCACGTTGTTTGGCTGGGATATGATAGGGTCTTCAAGCCCGTGTTTGGGGATGGGGAGAGGACCGAGGACGAGGATGAGAGGCGCAGGCAGCGCGGTCCAAGGAGGCTGTTGAAGAAGTCACGCATCAACAGGGATGAAGAGAAGTTGGCACTTATCCCTGAATGACTCTAGGTTGAAGTGAATTTTGCAATAGGAAATCAAAGAGTACATGACGGATGGACAAACGAATTCCTTGTCTGAATAACGACATCTGGGGTCGTGTGTGGAATGGAATCTTAGGTAGATTGCACATGGTTCCAGCGAACTCAGTTTAGCAATGAATCAGCTGTCTTGAAGTATCCGCACAGATTCCGGTCACTTACCAAAAGCCTACGCATGCCTCTGAGAGTACGAGTATGAGCTGATAGTGACATGAGTTCGGCCAAACTCTCAATCAACCCCATCTACACAAGCTGGAGCGACTGTCAAGGCTTTGCAATATCAAGAGTAAATTGTTTCTTTTTGTGTGGGGGGGGGTTGCTCTGGCAAATCACTCGCTTTCTGCCGTCGTTCACATTGTGCAAGGGAGAGAAAAGATCGCAACAAGAATTTTGTATTGAACGAGTGTGAGTTCGACCCAGTTCTATAGATACCTAGGTACCGAGCAAGGGACTATTTCCGTATCACAAGCATGCCGGATCTCGCCCGCGTGATCCTCCCGTGTCTCATCACACCGCGTACCAGTCCAAACCAGCTGGAACGCACCAAATCAAAAGTCCAGACGCCAGTTGCTTTCCTCTATTCATCATGATGAAGTAGTAAATGAATGTCCATACCGACCCAAACTGATTGAGCCACATAGCGCAAGCTTAGGCATTTCTGCACCTATAGTTGCCGGGCGAAGATGAGGTGCTCAGGCGAACAATCCCATGCGGCGCGACGGAAGACTTCGCAGCCCTGAAGCACATACGAACAAGGGAATTCTGATCGGAAGTCCCCGGGTCTGCATGTGTTGGAATCGTCAGCTTAGTCTTTTGCCTTCGTATCAGCCTGGCGGCCGCTTTTCCTTTTGTAGACATGCCCTCCGGGGTCCGTGATGTCAACCGGTATGCTGCGTCAAACTTACCGGGCATGTTGATCTCGAAGATGGTGCTCGACCCGTAGCTATCCTCATACAGGTAGTTACCCCATGCCTGTTGAAGGTAGTAGCGGACCTTGGGGGCGCAGGAAGAACAGCATTTGTATCGGAAGACCATTTTGGTTGTTGGTGGTGTTTTTGTGTTGTTGAAGAGAAACTTGGCTTGACCGGCAAGTTTGCTTGGTAAGAAATGTTGGATTGATCTGAGAACTGAATGAAAGGATGAGGATCAGGCCTGGAATCAAGACGAAATCAACGAGAACTGTCAGCCTTTTTATTTTGGACTTGCTCACGAATGTTGCCACTACTCTTTACCACTCTCACTGAACGTCAGATTCATCATCGCCGTCCACAGACTCTCGAGATGAGGGTATGGCGTCGGCCAAACAGGCCGTCCCTCTCAGACAACAGCCTCTGGCGGATCGTGTCTCGAATCCTCGCCGCCGTCAACAAATATCTACCCAGGTGGTGCTTTACTTAGAACCCATATGTGCAGGAACATCGGGCGGTCGTGGGACGCCCGAACCAGGTCCTAGTCTCGCCCGAGGCCGTCATGGCTTCAGAGGCCTAGTCACATATCCAGATCCTGATGGCCAAGTCTAGTTCTGGTCATATGTAGCTAAGGAATGGGTATTTTGACTGCCCTGAGTGGAATATGGTGGATAATATTCGGTAGGGGTCCCATTTTGGAACACACTGGTCTGGATCCATGTGAATCGGGCCACGTGTGGCCGGGCCTGACGAGGACTCCAGGAGTATTGTGTGAACCCTCATACCCTAGTAGAAGGAACACTCGAGGAACGGGAAGACACGGCCTGAGGCCAGGAAGCCCCAAATGCCGGTCTGCAGGGGCTGGCTACCCGGTCTGAAGGCGTCGAAACCTATCACAGGCCTTGCTTGTCGTGGCCGGTTTAACGCCGAAATGCGTCGATCACGAACAATGAACATGGATGGCCCCAAAGCCCAGCAGGATCGAAACGAAAGGTTTGGTATTGTCTATTGGCTCAGGCTATTTGAAGAGTGATCTTTTTATGGCGGAGTGGAACGGAAGTCTCCATTACGGCGGGCTGAAGCTCGACGACCATCTCCCTACAGGCCCAGTGGTTGCCAGAAATAAACGGCAGCTAGCCCAAGCTGGGGAAGGACAGCTTTTTGTCACCGCACGAGGACGATGCCAAATCATTCAGCCTAGTCCCCATAATATGCTCCCAGCACTTGAGGCAGCCTAGCCCATGGGTTAGCCCCGGGGTCCTCCTCCCTTACCGTGCGATCGGCAAATTCGCGCGATCTTGTTACTCAAGGTTATTAAAGTAGGCATCGAAACTAGCATGTGTAGGTATTTGTTATTCACGTGAATCGGCACGAATACCTCGGCCAAAATAACCACGGGGAGACATTTTCAGTGACTGCCAGCTTTCGTTTCTATATCGTATACGTCCGAAGCCATACATTGTGCGTCCATGCAGTGATACTTTGTTCGGTATTCAGGGCAATATTTACCACTACGAGGTCCAGGTTGGAGTCATGAAAGTGTGCCAGGTCTCGGTTTATTATGGTAGCCAAAGGCCTGCGGCCCCATCAGGAAGCGGCTAACGTAGACCGTATCTAGCAAAGATTGAGTGATTACTAGCATAGTGTTGTCCGCGATCAGAGTGAACTAGGGGGGGGGGGCGGGCAACCAAAGGTCTGACACCTGCCCCGGTAAGCCGGAAGCGACCGTGATAATAAGAAGCCTATCTTGCGCTAAGATGCGCTTAGAATCCTGCAAGGATTTCGACTATCGCCCTAGTGAATGCTTGGGGCCATGTTTCGAATCCTTTCCAAACCTGCACAGAGGAAACCCCATCCTTCAGGATTCGAAGGCGTTCAAATGTTATCAAAATTTCCACAGTATAGGCATGGCCCTTGGAGCTGGCAGCTCAGCAGTCCCAGTGCCAATAATGCAAACGTACCCAATGCCGATGCTGTTCATCAGTTGGATCGACCTGGAGCACAGACGCTGCTTATTTGAGCTCCGGTCATCAGAAGCCATCTATTCACACGGTGAGCCTCCGCAAGCATTAGGAGCGAACCCAATCTTGCTTTTGTGTGCGTATCTTCAAAGCCATGGGAACCATCTGCATCAACCGTACGGCAAAGCGTCACTGTATATACACTGTTCAGATACCCTCCAGCTCACCTGTCTCCGAAATGCAGAGATCAGAGACAGGAATAGTCAACAGCAGCTTCGAGTTGTGGCATGAGGAATAAAGTCAACAGGAAAGGGCCGAGACAGTTCGTCGCCAGTTGCAACTCAATGGCATGAGATGTTTGCTTATGCTGCCCGCAGGCGTCTGAGATACGCCGGAGTTGTTCCAAAGGACGTGCAACTTTTAGTCAATTGCCAGGAAGCCGTCTGTAAACTCAGTGCTCTTGTGGTAGTGCTCAAGTTCATGAGTCAAATGCTGCGCTGTTTAGGATTCACGGATTGACTGGCTTTTGAGACGGCTGAGTTCGCCATAGTCGTATCGTCTGTGATTCAAAGATAGCCGGAGTATCCACGTTCCTTACCAGGTAGTTTGCACTTCGACGACGTGGTATAATCACAACCTATCTGTAGAATTCATACCGCAACGTTACCTAGGTAGATGGGAAAAGTTCCAGACAAGCGTTGCCTGAAAGCGTTATCGTATTCTCCAAGAATCATGTCATGAGAGAGGGGGAAGGCGAGTCTGTTAGAGGCCCATAAAGAATCAATGCTTCGCTCTTCCAAGTACTGACACAGTTGAGCGGTAGTACGATAGGTGTGTTGTCAGAGAGAACTTTGAATCGATCCCGAGCAGCCCGAGCAGCAATGGAGAAATTAGATACTGGAGAAGAGGAATGTCAGAAAGGCGTCATCGATAGTCTACGAACCTGCATGACCAAACAACATAATAAGTCTCAAGTCTGTTCCAAGAAGTGGGACCCCACGACCAATTATCTTCGAGACAACCTCGCAAACAGCGGCTTCTTCTCAACAAGCAGGAAAGTCCTCAAGTCCTCCCATCTGACCTCCTGATCTGGCACAGCGGCGAAATCAAAGCTCCACACCAACTTTGCCAAGATGAGGCGCATTTCCGCCCAAGCGAGATGCTGGCCCAAACAATTTCTTGGGCCGACGCTGAAAGGCTGCACAGCGTGTCGGTGGTCTTTGAAAAATTCAGATTTCGAGTTTGTCGTCGCCTCGGGAAGCCATCGTTCCGGCAGAAACGTCGTGGGCATGTGGAAGTAGGATGAGCGACGATTCATGGTGTAGGCTTGGATGGAAACAGGAGTCTTTGCGGGAAATCAGCTTGGGCTGCACGGTGCATGAGTTGAGTCGAACTTACTCCTCCTGGCAGCCATACGCCTGCCACTTCACCACCAGAAGCAGGAACACGCCTTGGAAGCACCCAGGGAACAGGCGGGCATAATCTCAATGCCTCGCTAAGGACAGCATTAAGATATGGGAGCTGGCGCAAAGTTTCCAGAGAGATCTCTGCCTCGGATTGGAATTTATCGCGGATCTCTGACTTCAAGATATCCATCTTTTCTGGGTTGCTCACGAGATAGTTCATGGCTCCACTCAAAACGGTGGCGGTCGTTTCGCTCCCAGCTGTGGTAAGTATCATGAATGTCACATATATGACATCAGTCGGCAGCGCGGCGGCGCCTTTTCTCTCGTCGATGACATGAGACATGATATCAGGTCGTTCCAGCTCCCAGTTGAGGCGGCGGTCGACTTTCTCCACGATTTGTTGGTAGTGGTCTGTTTGCATCTCCCTCAGTGATTTGGGGATGCATTTGAATAGCAGAGATTGTAGCCAAGGATAATAGCGCACTGCGGCGACGAATGATGCCGCCTTGACACTGTTGAATAACAACGCAATCCAAGGATGGTACTTGGAGCTCTGCAGGCAGTTGAAGGATTCGCCGAAGCCTAAGTCTCCGAAAATGTCGAATGCCGTGAAGTGGAACCATGGTACCATGTCGATGTCGGCAGCTTTCTCGCCGTCCTCTTCAGCCGCAGCAACAAGCTCTTGCAGCCTCTCTACGAGGAGGTTGACATATTGGTGGATGATCGGTTCTTGGGCCCTTAAGGCACGAGGTGTGAAAGCGGGGACAAACACTTTGCGCATAGTGGCGTGCTCCTCCGGGTCTATAGCGCTTAGCAGGGAGTTGGGCAGGCCTGTCTGGCCACCCCACCAGAGAGGATCCTTCAGAAACTGCCCATTGTCCGTATGAGTCTGAAATATGTCGGCCCAGGCTGCCTCGTCGGCGAATGTGACTTCGTTTGGTGCCACACGTAACACTGGGCCGTAGATGCTGTGCAATCTCTGAAAGTCGTGCACGATTGTGCCTCTCAGAAGCGCCCTGATAAAGGGCAATCTTGACATTGACCATGTACGCGGGCCCGGTATATTGGCAAGAGGGTGTAAATAAAAGTTATATACAATCTGCGGCTTCGGCCATACTGTATTTTTCCTTTATACTATATAACTATCTTTTAGTTTAGCTACTTATTTCTTCTTTAATAGTTTAGAGCTTATATATAAAGTTTTTAACGGCTTTATATATATCCTTATAATTCTTTTAGAGAGGAACTTTAAATTTACTTTTTTCTTTATTTTTATTATATTTTTCTATATTATTAAAGAGTTAATAGTTACTAATAATAAAAGTATAGACTTAAAGGAGAATAAGTTTATTATATTTTTTTTTTATCTTTTTATAAATTACTTTTAGAACTTTTTTTAAGAGTTTTAATATTTTATTATAAAAATCTTAAAGGTAATATATTATAAATTATTTCTTTATTTTAAGTTTTTAAAGTTAGTAATTATATACTTAAATAAAGGTTATAGTACTTATTTAATAAGGGTTTTATTAATATATATATATATATATATATATATATATATATTTAGAAGGATAGTTTTAACTAAACTTCCTTTAATATAATTTATTTATATAATAACTATTTTTAAATTTAATCTTATTATATAACTCCTTTATAATAACCCCACTATAGGTTACTTCTATCTATAATTAATATTATTATTAAGATAGTACCTTTTAGTTTTATTTATATATTATAAGGTTAAGGTTATAAATATTTATTATATTATAATTATTATTATTAGTATTATATTCTTTTTAAATATTAAGTTTTAAGTACTTATTATTATATAAAGGTATTATATATATCCTTAGATATATATAGAATAGAAGTAAAACTATATATACAATCTATAAGAAGGTATACTGTGCCACAAGATTGAGATCAGCCAAGCACTCTGGTAAGATTTTACCTGTCGTCATTTAGGTAGAACATAGAGCCAACGTCCACTCACCCAGCAATTATATCCACTCACCCAGTTCCCGCCGACCACTTACCCAGTACCAATTTTTCTAAGCAACTCCCTCACGTTTATAAGTACCTTCTAAGTCAACACCAAGAGACCCTATAGCACAATTTCCTTCTCCAATTTTCAATACTTTCAGTACAAACCCCTTCTGGCACGCCTTCTGGCACGCCTTCTAGCACACCTTCTAGCACGCCTTCTAGCACACCTTCTACGCCTTCTAGCCTACACACATTCAAATACCAACTAAGCATTCAGATACCAACTAAACGGTAAAAGGCCAGAAGTCTAAAATACTAGAGGGCCAAAAGGGATACTAAAAGGCCAAAAAGAATATAGTCTTCACCTTTACCTTCTTAACTTCTAACCTTCTGGCGTTCAGTTGGTATCTAAATGCTTAGTTAGTACCTAAATACATACAGACTAAATGGCGAAGGTAAAGGTAAAGGCGAAGGCGAAGGTAAAGGCAAAAGGGCGCCAGAAGGGGTGCTAGAAGGGGTGCCAAAAGGGGTGCCAAAAGGCGTGCCAGAAGGCATACCAGAAGGGGCTTATACCAAAAATATCGAAAATTTAGAGAATCCTAGTCAGGTACATAGTTTTATATAGGCCCTATATATAAATTCTTATACTAGGTGAGTGGTCGAAAAAAACTAGGTAAGTGGACATAATTGCTGGGTGAGTGGACGTTAGCTCTAGAACATACGGTGAGAAAGACGGCAGCTAAAAGCAAAGCCACTTCAATTTTCGGGACGGTCTGGATTTCGTTGGTGGCCATGTTGGCTTAGTTACCTTTATATTAGTCAGTTATGAGGCCGAATGATAGAGTCCAAGATGGCAAGAAGGTGCCAAATTTCGTGGGAATGATCGAAGGCCACCTTTTAAGACCCCAAGACTGCCAAGGTCATCATTAACATTACCCGGGGGGCAGGCCTTCCCTACCCCCCTACGCCAAGGGCGTAGGGGGTGCGAAAAATCCGCAACAGCCAAAAATCCGCAACAGCCAAAACTCCGCAACAGCTAAAACTCCGCAACAACGAAAACTCCGCAACATCTACACCTACCTATTTCTACTACTTTACCCTATAAAAACCTAATTTTTAATTAAATCTTTTTTATTTAATTATATATAAAAAAATTAAATATCTTTAAAACTTTTATTTTATAAAGATTAATAATAAAGTAATTTTAAATTTTTAAAATTAAAATAGTTCTTATAATTTATAATAAAAAAAGGTTTAAATTATTTATAATAAATTAATAATTAAAAACTAGAGTTATTTAAGAAATAATATAAAGGAAGTAATAAAACTATAAGTTTAATTTATAATAAATATAAAAATTATTTAAGTTATTAAAATAAGTTAAGTATATAAACTTATTAATTATTTTTATAAAGATTAACTTATAATTTTAATTAAAAACTTTTAAAAGAATATATTCCTTTATTAATAAATTATATAATAAAAATATAAAACTTTAAAACTTATTTTTAAATTCTATTTTATATAAAATAATAGTTTTAAAATTAAAACTTAATTTTAAAAGATTAAAAATTAAACTTATAAAAGAAATTTATAATATTAAAATATTATAAAAAATATATTATAATATTTTAAATTATAAGAAATACTTTTTTAAAATATTTTTAAAATTATTTAATTTATAAAAATAATATTTTAAAACTTTTATTCTTTAAAAATATAATTTATTTAAATAAATATCGTAGTTTTAAAAAACTTATATTAAAAAATTTTTAAATTTTAAACTTTAACTTTAAAATTTAAAAAGTATTTTAATATTAATTTTTATAAGATAAGAATTTTAAAGATATTTAACTTTTCTTTATATAGAATTTAATAAACGAAATATACTTAATTAAAAAAATAAGTTTTTGTAGAGTAAATTAGTAGAAATAGGTAAGGTGTAGGTGTTGCGGAGTTTTGGCCGTTGCGGATTTTTTGCACCCACTCTGCTAGGAGTGGGTAAGTGGAAGCCGAGGCCCACGGGTAGTGCACGTTGCGTCAATACATGTTGGGCATGGATGCTGTGCCCTAATTCGATATGGCCCGTTGTCAGTTTTTAGTTAAAGTTAGCCTGCCTCGGATTGCTGCCTGTTGTCTGATATCAACCGAGTTGGTGACTGACAGCAACCTAACTCTGATGTGTCAACCCACCCTTACGCGATCCTAGTGATGCTGAGTGTATAATCTACCTCTACTACCCTCTGGTCCTACTAGTAATAACAGATCTTTGCTTACAAATTCCCGGTCTGCGAGTAACGGTAGCTTGTGACGCGATTGATCTGACAACACTGGCAGTGCTATTGAACGGAGGTGACTACCTACTAGTGAAAGTATCCGACCTTCAAAAGCGCATCAAGCAGTAGGCACGTATATGTTCGGGATCGTCGTTCGACATCAAGCTTGCCTACGTGGCAATTGCCAATAGGAGGAATTGTCAATCTCCATGTTCACTTGGATGCTGTTGTCCCAACAAACCCCCTCTGCTGACTGTTTGTCTAAGCCGAGATGAGCCGACGGAGCTCCATGCCGTTTGGACAGCCGTCTTATTAGCCCGGCAGCGGCCAAAGTCCAGCTTAAAAAAAAACATTGAGGCGATGTCCGCTGACCAAGACGTCGACACGGCGTTTGCTGGCCCACCGTTCAATGATCCCCGTTCCGGATTCTATCATTAGATTTATCTGACAGTGGATCATCATGTGAAGCCGTGGAGACATTGACAATCTGCACACCGCGGAGCTCGTGCTGTGTTCTCATGTGGTCCTGTCGAGGGCCGTGATGACACGGCTGTGCGAGGTGTATCTCGTCCCTGGCCCGAGACGCCAAAATAAAGATGTCCAAAACTGTCAACACCGCAACACGCCCTGTTGATGTGTTGTCATCTGGCCCCTGATACCCCGCACAGAAACAATTTTGGCAGTAATTGCTACCACAAAGCAGGTCTGCTAGGTCCGCCGCGCAGTAAGTACAAGGCCCGGGTTCAACGGCGGGCTGGAGTTTCAGGATGACTGCCATGGCGGGTTCGTGGGCTCCCGGGCCACCCAGGCCGGAGAAGAGAAAGTCGCCTGGCTCCAAGTATTGCCTCGGGAGCGATCTGGGCTCAGATACGAATCCAGGATGGCTGCAGCCACGGCAAGCCTTAGTGCGGACGCCTTGATCCAGCATCACTGTTGCACTCGGAAATATCTTTTCTTCGACTTCATTATCATCCTTGGTCGATATTCTCTCGGATTGCAGACCGGTCTCTTCTCGATTATCCTTGACCACCGGGTAACTTTCCCGCCCTGGTAGTTGCGGCAATATTTCTTCTGCTAGTACGTTGGCACCAGTGCCTTGAGTGAGGCGGTAGTCAATTGCACCCGTAGCAACAGGAATACTTTTAGCGATGTGAATGTTGTACATGGTTCTGAGTGTGCATGTGAGTTCGGGAGATTTGGCGGATCGAATCAGCCCCTCGACATCCTGAAAGGTAAGTTCGAGGGCTCGGACCAAAACCCTCACAAGCTGCACTATGGGAATTTGGTTGTTGTGATGGTCCAGTACGCGCACTGCAAGCTCCGCCTTGGACATGGAGTAGTCAACTTGTATCGGCCTATTCCCTGGCCAGTGAATGAAAGCCATTGTGCCGTAAATGCGATCCCGGGGGTCATAGCATCGCCAAGCAGAGTATCGAACCAAGACTCCGGCCAGATCTAGTCCGCTGCTTTCAGGTGCCATGTACCTGACTGCTAACGCAAGTCCCATCGGAGTGTTGCTAGTTGAATCTAGTAGCTCTGCGGGAGTGGCGTCCGAGTTGTCGTCTTGGTTCTGGTCTGCACTACCGCCGGGGCCCTCATCTGGCTCACCACCAGGGTTATCCCCAAGTGCCTCCCTCTCGAGTCGATCACTAATACGCGTCAAGAGGTATAGAGCCTCCAGGTCGACCAAATCGCCGTAGAGCATCAAGTAGGCCTGTTTTGACATGGCTAGCTCTTGCAAAATCCATAAGCGAGTCCAGTACTCGGCTCCAACGATCCCATTGATGGCATCACGAAGAGGCAGCCTTCTTTCTGCAAGGAGGGTGCCTCCTTCATCCACAAGGGAATCGAGGTTGTCCCTATCGTGGTTGGCCGAACGGGGCCTGTTCGAAAGCAGACCTTCCTTGATCACGTTCGTTAATGCAACAAGGGCCGTCGGGTCAACATTTCCAACCCTTGGCTCGCTACGAAGCGATGGCTGGATAGAGACAAGGACCCGCGACGCGTTCCTGTACAGAGTCGACATCATGGCTACTTGGGGGCCTTTCTCGTCGACATTGTCTTGGTTGATGCAGATAGAGTCGATCCAGATGTACTGCTTGATGTTTTGCTGTCGGCATTGTAGGAGAGCCTTGTAACAGTTCTCACGAACTTGGAAGCAAGTACCGTTGAGCGAGATCGAGGAAAGATTGGAGGGACTGCCCCAGGTGTATGAAATAGCAACAAATTCGGGCGCATCTCGAATGAAATGGGATGTAATGTGTAGCTCAATCATTTCCGTTGTGATGTCGAAGGAGCATATCGTGACCAAGCGGATTTGGGCTGCAGCATCTTCGAGTGGGCTGTACTGGAAGTTCATTGTAGAAATCTGCAAGGCGTACTATGAATTGAAAACGAAGCCACGACGGGTGTTAAGTTATGGCAAGCAAGAGTGTTTTATCCAAAATACGATCGAGAATGAAAAATGAAGACAGTAACAAGCTGGTTGTTGGAGGCCCAACCGGTTCGTAATATGGAGTAGTAAGCCCTGGAGCCTGATGGTGCCGGAGCATGAGTAAGCGAAACATCCTGGATAAAATAAGCACAAGTCTACAGGATGAGTTGAATGTAGGTAAATGGCAGGCAGTTTAGCACAGATCAGGAACTTAGAGGGAAACAGATATCTGACTGGATGTGATCTTCAGCAATCAATGTAGAGCTGTAAGAAGGTCGCGTTCGTAGGCAATATTTGAAATTTGTTCAGGTTGCCAAAAGTGCAACACTTGTTTTATGACCCTTTGAGAATGGCCGACGCACGAAATACATTGAGCATCTGAATCGATACGACGTGGTTCAAAGCGGGGATGGCGAATAGCCCCCAACCCAGCAACCAGCACAGCGACGACGCGGCCCCATTGGTCTTTCTATCCCGCTCGACAATTTTTCCGCGCAGCAAATCTTTCAGCTTGCTGTGTCACTGCTTGGGTGGTGTAACCTCGGTCAACAAATGTGTTTTTGCTCAGAGGCGCCATTGCCACATGTAAAGAGTCTTCCCTTTTCCTCACCGTCCTTTTCCTCGCCGTCCTTTTCCTTGAACAATGAAATCAACAAGATCTCACCACGTCTAGACAACTCTGCCCGCCGTAGGGTCGTTATCTGCCGGAAGCTCCGCAATAACCATCGAGCGCAATTCAGTGTGTATCTGCAGCTAAGATCCAGAGGATTCATATCATGCGGCGGGACTCAGAGTCATTGCAACCGGGAGGAAATCGACCGCAATCTTCCCTGCGCCTTCCAAGCGACGATGAGCACCAAGCTTCTGTCTCTCGTACGACAAGCCAGCATCAAAACGATGGCTTAAAGGCCATTCCACGATCCTTATCCTTTGCCTGGTGGTCTTTCGCCGCCGATGCTATTTCGATATTGGTGACTATCCCATTCATTGTCTTGGGAATCTTCCTTGCGAGAGCCAAAGGGGGTATCGTCGAAAAACACGCCCTCCATAGTTTTGAGAATGGCATAAGACTTGTTAGAATATTGATCCATCTCCCCGAATCCGGTCATCGCTAACCCAATCACTTAGGCGGCTACGGCTCTCCCATTCGTGTTTGCTGCCATCTTCGGTCGCCTGACTGCTCAGGTTGCACGCTGGAAATTGGAAAGAGGAGGCAGTCTGCCTTCCATTGAACAGTGGCTTGGCAGCCGCACACTGTTCTCTGCGTTCCTCACACAGGTTAATATGGGCGGCATGAACGTGATCGGGGTGTCGATGATGGTTGCATGGGCACTGTCCCCTCTGGGCGCGCAGTCTATCCTACGAATCTTGGGAACAGGATCCCGGGAGATAACTACGAATGGCTCTGTGACCTATTTCGACACAAGCACCCCATCGACATTCACAGCCTTGAAAGGGACGTCGAACACTGTATTGAGAAATGATGTTCCGGCCATGATAGACTCGATGTATGCTGCTTCACTGATGTCGGCAGACAGCATCAAGTCGAGTGGTCAAGACTTGTGGGGAAACATCAAGATTCCTTATTTGTTCTCGCATTTCGAAAGAGCTCCTGGAGACGAGTGGGTGAATGTTCCGAACGATGGAAGCGTCAAATTCTCGTCACTAGTCGGCATCCCATTTGCAGCCAACTTCAAACCAGGGCTGCGTCACAGGTCTAATTTCAGGATAGAGTCCAGCCACATCCAGTTGCAGTGCTCGGAATTTGTCCCTTCGAAACTCGATGACAATGGGCATATCGATACCTCTTACGTGAACTCCAGCCTCGGCGGTACGTGGGACCTTGACGGTGCATGGCAGAACGCTTGCATTGCTACCTCGGACCCTCCCGACAACGGCACCTTCCAGGGCTTCACCTGGTCTGGAGACGACGATGCGGTGCAGCTATCGTGGAGACTTGCTATGGACACTTTTATCGACCCATCATGGCTGTCGAGGCTTTGCCATTCCATATATGAATCGGAGGAGGGTCAACATTTTAGCCAGTTCTCTCCCGCGACATTTGCCAATGAGCACCAAATCGCCACATCCCGGGCAAGACTGCAGCTTCTGGCATGGAGGGGACTTTTGGGCACCTCGGAAAGTGACCCACGCGCAACCACCTGTGGGGTGTCACAGTCGTGGGTCGAGTCGCGGGTAGACTGTGAATGGTCTACCTCGTCGCCGTGCGTGGTAACCGCTCAGAGGCCCTCGCGGAAACAGCACGCCTCCTCCAACATCACCCATCTCTCGTTCCCCAGCGTCTTCACGGGCTTGACCTCCCACCTGCCGCGAGCAAGCGGCCTGAGATACTCGGCCGGATTTCTGGACGCCTCAACAATTTATCTTGCGAATACCTCGACCTCTTTCATGTTGGGCCGAGAGGGGCACGAGGCCACGTTCGACAATCTCACAGATAGCGATATCAGCGGCCGCCTGGGCCGGCTTATCAACACTTACCTGATGATCAGCCAAGCCTACGACCCCATATCGAGAGGCAGTCTGAGAGAAGGTGAGGTTCAGGATCTAGCAGGGTCCGCCATAAACAACATCACCACGACAATGTGGATAGTCAAAGTCGAGGACATCTACACGGTCAATAACGCATGGCTGGCCGCATACTTGGTGACAGCCGTTGCCATGCTCATAGGCAGCATCGTCGGCGCCGTCTTCTGCCACAGCTCGATCACCCCCGAGATCCTGGGGTTCGCTTCAGCAGCCATCCGCGACTCCAAGCACGTGGATCTTGCGCCGGGGTTTGGGGCGCTGGGAGGGCTAGAGATGACAAAGGCATTTGAGGAGATTGAGTTCCGCTACGGGGTGGTAAACAAGTCTGACAGCGGGCAGGAGGTGCTGGGGGTTTCGTGGAAGGTGAGTGCCCAGCGGGTGAAGAAGAGGGTGCCTTATGTGTAGTGATTTGTGATGCGGTAAAAAGGAGCCCAAGAACATTAAAAAAGGAGGTTCTAGAAGAGAGAGACACGGTGTGAGATCGAGGAATGACAAGTAGCTTCGTATTTGTCCAGTGTCGACGTAGATGGAGGGGACGGAGGGAAGCAGTGCAAATGTGAGATTGCACAAGGGTAGTGCAGAGTCAGTTATCTTCTCTCGATGCTCCGCGTGCTGGTCAACTGCAAGGGTATCTCGTTGGTCGTTGGGACATTGGGCTCAAGCTGGAAGATGCCACCAGGCCCCTGCTCTGCTTGCGAGACGTTCGACGCGACCCGTGCTCCAATAGCACAACATTGGCGTGCAGCTAGGAGTGGCCCTGGCCGCTAGGATCATCCGGGCCAAGACGGACAACGCCAGCGGCCAAAAGTAAGCGTGCAGATCACGCAAAAGCAAAAGGAATGGTCCCGGAGAGGATCGAACTCGCGACCTTGGCATCACCGATGATTCCTCATGTTGAGGAATTATTAGTACCACGCTCTAACCAGCTGAGCTACGGGACCATTTGTTGATGAATGGCGATCGGAAATGGATCCTATGGAGGTTGTTCAGTGAAAATTTCTCATCGGTGGGCCGGATATTGGTGGAGTTGCGGCGGGTCGGGTGGAGTTGCCGAGATGTGGCCCGTGCGCTTCGGCCGGGACCAGATTACAGACAGGCAACAGGATGAGCGACGGAGACTCGAGAGTGAGATGTCATTCCAGTATTGGACATGGTGCCGTCGTGGCTGTGAGAGTTGCTTGGAGTAGTTCCGGCGAGATCTGGTCGAGGCAAGCTGTGGGGCAGCCAGTCGGCTTACATGGATGGTCCCGGAGGTCCGTGCACCAGCTCTGATTGGTCGAGCGCCCAGGCCTGGCACAATATGACCACAATAACTTGGAACGCCTTGCTATCCACGGCCCAGCTTCAACGACGAGGTCTTTATATAAGGTTTGGTCAAGCCACGGACTGCTCATGCGTGGGTGCGAGAGGAATGACCAGACGTGCAGTGCGGCTCTGGTAAGACTGGTTGGGATCCTGTTCCCGCAGAGGTGCTTCTCCTGATTAATGATGGCGGCTGAGAAACCGTGGCGAGCATCTCGGAGAGTGGCCTCCCAAGGCAAGGAAGGCGTAATACTCACGCATCTCCCTACTCGTCAGGGAGGCGCGCCGCTCTCATGGCCAGGGGGCATTCCACTCTTGGAAAGCCGGCAGGTGGACTACGCTAGGGTATGCAGTGCAGCGGCACGAGTAATATCTGCGATGGTGGCATTCTCACACCTCTGAGTCAAATTTCCGGGGTTGAATTTCAAGCCTGATGCTGATGCCGGCTGGTGGATCCTCGATCTTGTTATAAGCGACGGCAATCTGTCTGAAAATGCACGTATGCGCAGGTGGGCACTGACATGTGGGCACTGGTGGTGATGGTCTCCACGGCGTGTTCATGGCTAGCAAAAGTTACACCACCCTTGCCATTGGTACGTACTGTTTATATTGTTACAACCGTCCAATTCTGGCCGTCACAATTACATGGGGATCAGCGAACCGACCTGGTGCATTCTGCTGGCCATGGAAAAACGCCCGGAAATGCTTGATGTCTTTCCACTGGTTGTAATCTTCATCCGTGATTGTAAACATATGAAGCTTGTCCAGATCATCATGTCTCCTCACACAGGCAATCCCTATCTCCAAACATGAACAGTGTCATCTTGGATTATCTCTACTCTACAGCCTACTACCATTTCTGTTCCGACAGCTGCTCTACTCCCCGTCTGCACCCTCTTCATCTTGCGCGTCGGGATCTGCACGCAGGAAGGGGTCACTCACCAGCTCGGCGGCAGAAGGCCGACTGGCCGGGTCCCACTGCAGCATGCGTCGAATAAACCGAAGGAACTCGGCTTTCTCTTCTCCCTCAAGAAGCTTTTCCTCCTGCTCGAGAGAAGTCTGCTTTACCTTGTTGCTCTTTTTGAATTGCCCTGCACGTCGCTTGTCAGCTTCAGACAGCCCAAGAGCTATAATAACGCCAATGACAGAGGGTGGCGATCTTTGGTACCCGGGAGGCCATACGCACCATGCTTGTCAAAGAACTCATTTGCCTTGGGACTCTTGTCGAGGAGGCTTTGCGGCGGTGGCCCGAGGAGACTGATCATCCGCGCCATGTGTGGTACGGCCGATTTGAACCGACCCCCGGAATTGTCGGTAAACAGGTTTTCTCCCTCAACACACGTCCATATCTTGGAGTAGGCAGATTCGTCAGTTTCCGAGTACATGCGTCTTTATGCGGGTAGAACGCTTCTCACCGTCAACCCCAGAGCCCATATGTCGACCTTTTCATCCCAGGGAACACCCAGAAGAATTTCAGGCGCCCGGTAGAGGTCTGGCATGACCTCTTCCTCGTATGACTTCTGCCCAAAGCGAGCCTCGCCGAGGTCGATGAGCTTCGGGTCGCCAACTTCTGTGAAGACCTGCCGGGTCAGGAATGTGGCTTCATCCTTGTACACCTTTCGAGAAGAGGGCGTGCTCATCTCGTCGTCCTCGATTTCCTTGAGCTCCGCCTCGTCCTCAATCGAGAACATGATGTTTCCTTCCTGAATATCTGAGCGGGATATCAGTAAAGAGATGTCTTTGGCAGCGTGTCATGCCCCAGGCCACTTCAGCTGCTGCATAGTCATAGTCGTCGGTCCAGCATTTACTTACCAGTGTGCACCATGTTCGCCTTGGTATGCATGAAATCGACAGCCGCCAGGAGGTATGGCAACATGGGCTTGAGCAGCTCCAGCGGCACATTCCCATCGCATGCGACCCTTCTCAGGTCTGCCAGCGACATCCCCATTGGCTCATAGACGAGGCAGAGGTTCTTCTTGGCACTCTTGGGGTGGTCGAGCTCGAAGCTCTTGTGCAGCAGCCGGATGAAACGGGCGCCGCCACACCCCGTTGCCGAGGTGTTGTTCAGAACCCCCTGGATGTGCTTGAAGGCGGCAACCTCCCGCTTGGCCTGGCCTTGGTTGGCTGCATACACCTTGATCGCCACATACCGATGACCCCTGGGCAAGGATTCAGCAACTTTTTGTGGTGTGTGTTGATAATAGCTGGTTGGCGGGGCATTACTCACTTCAGGTCACGGCAGAGCCAGGACGTCGAGGACGTGCCATAACCAAGCTTCGTGATGACCTGGTACCGATCACGAATCACCTGGCCGATGCGGACAGGGTAGAATTCTTTGTGTGAGAACCACGAATAATTCTCCTCGTCTATCTTGCGGGACTTTGCGAAGTTGTGAAACCCGGATGAGGGGAACTCCCTTGCTGGGGATGGAGGACGAGATGGCGAGCCTGAAGACATGGTGGGCTCCTTTTCTGTGTCGGGGGGCTCTGGCTGTGCTGCGGCAAGGGTACTAATAACTGGCGATGATGAGTGGTTCGGCGCTGCCTCGTCGGCGTTGGTAGGCTCGGGCTGCGGGGCTTGTGTGGCGGCCACGGTTTGCTCCTTATATCTCTTCACAGGGGGCAAAAGTCGTCGCAAAAACGACGACATGACGACATGCTTGACGAAAGAGCTGTTGCAGACGAGTGAAGCCCAGGAACTGGAAAGTATCGGCACGGGCGTACGTCGACTGAAAAGCTGGCTTCAGACGCGGCCACTCACTCTGACATGGTTCAGCCACTGGCTAAAGATAGAAAGGATGAGGAGGTGGGATTGCTAGTTCGATGCTTATTAAGCAGAAAATCAACCAATCGATCGCCTCTCTAAAGTGGGCCTCTCAGGCTGTTTCCCACCTGAGCACGCAGCCCCATTCAACTCTGCATGGATTTCTCCTTTTTAACAGGTGATTTGTATGAGCATGGGTTGACTTTTTTCTTTAAGTGTCTCCTTTTGCAATTAATTTTGCTGTTCCAAAATGGATTTTCTTTCAGTTTCTTATCTATTGCCATTTCACTACGGAAGTACTTATGCCACAGTGGGGTGGGTTCACCACGGTCATATTAGTTCATGCCCATTTTCAACAATTCCAGCCTTTCGGAATCACTTGGCATTCCGTTTGGTCATAACTTTAACTGTGGAATGCATTTTGTTTGCATCATTCCTCGGAAGACGGGTGCCTGAAGCAAGAAGGATTGCATTGTTTCGTACTACTTGGCTTAGGTGAGATGTCCAGGCCAGGAGGAGCTTGACCCTGGGGGAGCTGACAGGGGTGGCTCCACCCCTCCACCTAATCCTCACCTGGCCTTGTTCTTGTCAAGGCCAGCAGCAAAGCAAGTAAATCCTACGTAACGTTTGAATTGGAAAGAATGTCTAGAACATAGGGTAAATTATGGAAAGAATTAATGGATATATAAGAGGAACTTCTTCTTAAGTTAGGTTGGGAATTAAGGGCTGTAGATAGTATAGTAATCACGGATAAAGTTTAAGATTAGGATATATATAAAGTGCTATTATCTAGGCCTGCTCCCATGTGTCAGAACTGTAGGTATCTCGAGGATTTTGAAGTCTGACAGTACACGCAAATGGATTGCCAATCCCTTTGCAGGTTCCATGGCCCAAATGGGTGGTGTTTTCAGCCCTGCCCAGCGTTGCTGGCTAGTCTAGCGCATCCACAATACCCACGTACTGTCTTGGACCCCTGCTCAGTGCCTTGGTGCCCTGGAATTTTTTGCTAGGAAGTCAGCCGAGGTAGGGTAGTAACCCGCCCTGCTCTGTCCGACTTTAGGACGCCTAATTATAGTATTGAGGCTCATGTCAACTTCCTTCCCGGCCATCCTTGGATCGACCTCCATGGCGGACGAGATAAACTTGTCCATGGAGGCCGGATCCGGGCCCGTTTCTAAAAGCGCAATCAGGAGCCGCATTAATACGATTCGATACACTCTGGGCCTGTTTTTAGCCATGGTCTTGATCCGTTGATGTGGTCAACATGTTATCGGCCCCGTTATCGATGCCGCGGCCCGGCCAATACCAGCAACCTCATGAGGATGAGTTGGATCCTGATACGCCTCCTGTCACTGGTCCCTGTAAATATCCATTCGAAATAGTCTCAGTAGGCTCTGCCACCACCGGGCTGACCATTGCTTGGGCGTGCCGCAAACCAGGCCCGGCCACCGGGATGAGGCGCGCACACTCCTTTGCGACCGGGTGGCAGGCCTTGAGCGACGGAAACCCGTTAGAACCACGAGGTATGAAATCGGTCACTGAAGCCTATCGTTGTCGTCAAAATACAGGACAGTCCAAGGTATAAAGGACCAGGCTTTCCTTCATTCACCTTTTGCCTTTTGAATCATCATCATCATCATTCATACTTACTCTTCTACATCCAGTCAACTGTTCCAACTCTTTGTGTTATCTACATTTTATTATATTCAACTTCAATCACTTCAACCACCCAACACTTATCCAAAATGTCTGCTCGCGGATCTCAATCTGGTTCCAGGCCTTCTAGCTCAGGCGGGCGTGTGCCGTCGTCGGACATTAGCAGCCTCGAGTTCGTCGCAGGCACCCTGCCAGACAGTCTGCCTGAGCCATACAGGAGCCACGTCAAGGACAAGTCATTCAAGAAGACTGTCAAGGGCTGGGTACGCACTCACACTTCAACCTGGGTCTTCAGAACAATTAAGCTAATCTTTGATTGACGGATAGAGCGACAAGATCAAGAAGGCCAAGATCAAGTAAGTAATCCCCATGGTCTCGTACTTTGAGTGTATGCGCTCTGGTTCGGACGCTTACACGGTTTGCTCTCAAATAGGGGACAGCCTCACCAGTCGTCCACTGCTCCAGAGCAAGGAGTGGTGACCTCTATCCAGCTGCTGAACGCGGCCGGGAAGAAGGTCGTCGACACAGTTCACGTGCTTTACGATGGAACTCTGGAGAGGGCCAAGGCCTACTACAAGAACAAGAAGTAGAGAGCGGGCTCTGAATATTCTACCTGGAGAGCATTCATGTTCGTTAGAAGACGTCTGGAAACAGACTGAGCATTATCGGGCGCTTGGATAGAGGGGACAGGAGAAATTGTTATTACTTGGATGGGTCTTCACTGCATGCACTAGCGGGTCTGGTGCAGGGCAACACGGTTGGATGAGGGCAGGAACCATTAAATATATCAAATACACTCATTTACTATATATTTATTCATTTTCCATGCTTTGTGATGTCCAACCGGCAAATTATCACCCGACACTGTGATTGAATCCTCTTTGTCTGCTGAGATTTCTTGCATTGTTAGCTACCCCTTTAGAAAGTTGCCCTGTCGTCAGCCTTCTGTGATATGGCGATGTCACTTTAGCGAATCGTCAACCGTGTTATCCCTTGCGGTCCCCAAAATATGATGAAGCTTGTGACTGACCTGGCAGTCACCAACGCACCCACGCTTTGAAATTTCACGTTCCATTTACGAGGTCCCCTGACCTGCGCCATGATTTAACGATAGCCTGTTAGGTTGGGTTGCAGCTGTGCCGCTCTGCCAGAGACTGGCAGGGAGCCCTTAATTACCTAGGTATATAGGCTGACCCATACGCGCATTTTGTGAGAGAACCAACGTATAGTGTGTCCAAGTGAGCCGTCGTGTACGGGCCAGGCCGTCTTGTGCTGGTTGACGACACCTGCTCTCCGCCCCTCTGAACAGCTGTAAGAGAGATCCAACGATCCTTTGCTGGGTTATAAAATCATCTCTGTACTACTCCCATATTGACCAGCTCTAAATCAACAGTTTTAGTCCAAGCCGTGATGACTTCAGGATTCAGGCGATGTGAGCTAGTAAGTTCCACTCTGAAGGAGGTAGAAACTTTATGGTTATTATTCTAGGTATTTAAATATACGTTTCAAGACCATTGAATTGTATTAACGTCCCTCGTGATCAGACCACTTCATAACCTTAAACCTCTAGCTTTTCAACAAAATTCTAAAGGTCTTCCTCTTACCACCCAGCGTGTCAGCACGCAGATACTCGCCCAGCAGCTTCGGGAGGCCAGCCGCCTCGGCCCTGACGATCCACTCCTCATCCGCAAGCACGGGGAGCGGTTCAGCCCGCCCCATCTTGACGCGCAGGTACTCGCCCAGCCGGTCGAGCCGGACAGCATTCTCTGGACCGCCACCACAGTGATTTATATATCGTACAGCCGGCCCGTCGCCACCATCACCAGAACCAGCACCCGAAAGAGAGGCGAGAGGCTCGTCGTCGACCGCAGCAGCCACGACATCAGCAGCGGCCTGACCCACAGGCACGAACTGGATGCTCCCGGCGTACCCCTCCAGCCGCGGGACGGCGCCCACGAGCTCCGAATACCGCACCACGGCGGCCACGACGTCAAGCTCGGGGGCGCCCGGGCCGGACAGCGCCGTGGGTCGGTGCACGGTGGCGCGCAACAACAACCCCGCCGACCCCCCCACGGTACGCTCGACGAGCATCTCGCCAGTCCACTTGGTCAGCAGGTAGCCCTCGGTGACGTGGGGCGGCGGCGGCACCCCCAGGGCCTCCTCGGCGAGGTCGCGGCCCAGGAAGGTGGCGACGCCGGCGGTGGAGACGAGGTGGACGTGGGCGGGCGGCCTGCGCCCTCTCCCCCCCGGGCTGGTGATGATGGAGCGGTGCGTGAGCGACAGCCGCACGAGGGCGCGCAGCGAGCCGAGGTTGGCGGCGCGCAGCGTGGCGTACGACTTGAGGAAGGACGTGTCGGCGCCGTTGTGGATGAGCACGTCGGCGGATGAGAAGGCCGCCGCGGCCTGGTCGGGGGCCATGCCGAGGTCTGGGTGGGAGAGGTCGCCGCGGTGGATGACCAGCCTCGCCTTCGTGTTGTTGTCACCCTCGAACCCGGCCTGTAGCCGTGCGGCGCCCGCGGCGCTGCGCACGGCGAGGCAGTGCACCTCGGCGACGCGCGGGTGAGCCGCCAGCCGGGCCACGATATGCCGGCCCAGGAAGCCCGTCGCGCCGGTCAGGGCGACCACCAGGCGGTTTCTGTGTGGGCTGCCGGCGGCGACGATGGGGTCGAGCCTGGCCAGCTGCGCGGCGAGGGCCAGCTCGGGCGGGGGCTGGGCCTCGTGGTCCCAGTCGATGGCGCCGTGGCGTGCCGGGTTCTTGTTTGGGAGTCCCCGCTCGAGGAGCAGGGCCATCTGGCCCAGGGTGCTGCTGTGGAACAGCTCGCGGAGGGGCACGTCGACGCCGTGGTGCCGCCTCAGACTGGTCTGCACGCGGGTGAGGAGGAGCGAGTTGCCGCCGACGTGGAAGAAGTCGGCGTGCGGGTCGAGGGTTTCTGATCCCGGGAGGAGGAGGGGGAGGGGAGACTTGTGTCCTGTTGGAGATGCTAGGGCCTGGCGCCATATCTCCCTCATCCTTTTGAGGCTCAGGTCGCTGGCGGGGCTGGGGCTGACTCCTCCGTTGTGGGGCGGAGGAGGTTTTTGCTGCTGCTGGTGATGATATACTTCGTGGTGTTGCTGTGCCCGTGGGTACGGGCGTTCCGGACCCAACCGGACGGGCAAGGCGGCGATGGCCCTGCGGTCGAGCTTCCCGTTGGGCGTGAGCGGCAGGGTCCCGACGGGGATGATGGCTGTCGGGCGCATGTACTCGGCCAGGGGGAGCCTCCTGGCCAGGGCGCGCAGGAAGTCGTCCCTCTCGGACGTGGTGGCGTACTCGATGTTTGCCGACGGCCGGAGCACGACATGGGCAACGAGGAAGCCGTGTGATGATGACGACGACGACGAGGAGGGATCTGTGGAAGACTCGCACTCGTCATGGTCATCAAGTCGCCGCACAGTCACCACAGCCTCGCTGATCCGCCCCTCAGCCCGGGCCATGATGCTCGCCTCAACGTCGCGGAGGTCGACGCGCTGGCCGCGTAGCTTGACCTGCGTGTCACCGTCGATCCGCCCGAGCAGCCTGAACACACCTGCCCCTTCCTCTATGCTCAGATACCCCCGATCACCACTCAGGTGCACCCGATCCCAGCCACAAGAAAGGTGCGCCGGCAGCGGGTGCCGGTCCAGGGGGAAGCGCCGCGCCGTCAGCTCAGGCATATCGACATACCCGCTCGCGACGCCGGCGCCCCCGACGACGAGCTGGCCGGGCATGCCGGGTGGTAAGACACGACCACCCTCGTCGACGATGTGGACCGTGTAGTTGGGCATGACGGAGCCGAGCGGGACGCCGCCCTCGCCCTCGCCCTCTTCTCCCTGCTGGTGGTAGCTGACCTCATGGGCGAGGGGCATCCAGCACTCGGCGGGCCCAAATGCGTTGACGACGCGCAGCCCGGGGCTGCCCAGTAGTCGGAGCTCCCTCCGCAGGGCCGGCGGGAAGGGCTCGCCTCCCGCGACGTGCCAGCGCCAGCGGGAGGAGGACGGGGCGCGCAGCGCGGCCGGGTCGTCGGCGCTCTGCAGCCAGGCGAGCGTCTCGCTGGGCGTGGCGACGGTGAGGGTTGTGCCGCGCGTGACGACGAGGTTGGTGAGGGCCCTCGGGTCGCCGCGGGTGCTGCGGCCTGCGATCACGGCCGTGCCGCCTGTCGAGAGGCCCAGGAGGACCGTCCACCAGGAGAGGTCGAAGCTGATGGACGACTGCTGGAGGACTGTCTGTTGGTGTGTGGCTAGTTCTGGCCAGCGGTGGAGCATCCCTTCGATCCCGTTGACTATTGTGCGGTGAGGGATAGAAATTCCCTGTGTTATATCATAACCGCCAGTTGGTTAGCTGCTTGTAACAACAACCACAACAACGACAACGACAACGACAACGACAACGACAACGACAACGACAACGACAACGACAACGACAACGACAACGACAAGAACCATAAGAACAACAATAAAAGTTCGGCAGTCCACTCACCTTGGGCTCTCCAGTGGTGCCACTCGTATATAACACCACAGCCTCGTCACCACCTTTACTCATCATTCCCGGGTCAGTAAAGCTATACGAGAGCCCTCCCTCACCCAGCCCAGGCACATCCGCAACATCAACAACAACAACCCCCTCCCCAAGCCCCAGCCTCTCCCGAGCCGACAACACCGTCGCCCCGTGGACGAACACCGCAGCAAGCCGCGCGCCCCTCGAGATCCTGCCGAGCCTCTCGGGACCCTGCGCGGGGTCCAGCGGCACGTACGACGCCCCGGCCCGCCACGCGGCCAGCACCGAGACGACCCAGTCGACCGCCGGCTCCTGGAAGATGCCGACGCGCGACCCGGGGCCCACACCCCTGTCGGCGAGCAGCCGGCCGAGGTTCGTGGACTTGGCGGCCAGCTCGGCCCACGACACGGAGCCGCCGTCTGTGTCCTCGAGGGCCGTGTGGGTGGCGCCGGTGCGGGGGACGGCGTGGGCGGCGGCGTCGAGAAGGGGGAGGATGGAGGCGTGGGCTAGGGGGAGGATGGGGCCTAGGAGGTGCTGTTAGTGGTTGTCGCTTATGATATTTCGTTTTCTTTTTGGTGTGTGCGTGTGTGTGTGTGTGTGTCAGATAGAGAGATAGAGAGATAGAGTGAGAGAGTGAGAGAGTGAGAGAGTGAGGGAGTGAGAGAGTGAGAGAGTGAGGGAGTGAGGGAGTGATAGAGATGGGGAGAGTGAGAGAGTGATAGAGTGAGAGAGTGAGAGAGTGAGAGAGTGAGAGAGTGAGAGAGTGAGAGAGTGAGAGAGTGAGAGAGTGAGAGAGTGAGAGAGTGAGAGAGTGAGAGAGTGAGAGAGTGAGAGAGTGAGAGAGTGAGAGAGTGAGAGAGTGAGAGAGTGAGAGAGTGAGGGAGTGATAGAGACGGGGAGAGAAAGGGACATAGAGATAGAGAGAGGATGTATCCAACTCACCCTGTCCAAGCCGCAACGCCTCCTCGACCTCGCGCGGGTCAAACATCTCCGCCTCGCCAACACTCATGTGGCCATCGCCCGCCCGTGACAAGGAGCCCAAGAGGTTGACATAAAACCCCAACAACCTGCCCGCCTCCT